TTTTGTTTCATATTTAGCCCTCTGTGACTTTAAAGTGCCCCGTTGTGGCTGGTTTGCTCATGGCGTCCCCAGGTCCGGTCACCTTCAGCCTGCCGGAGCAGCTCATCCAGAAGACGGATCACTTCCTGTTCTCCTACCCCTGGTTCCACGGGCCCATCTCCCGCGTGAAGGCGGCCCACCTGGTCCAGGGCTCCGGGCCCGAGGGCCACGGCGTGTTCCTGGTGCGGCAGAGCGAGACGCGGCGGGGGGACTACGTGCTCACCTTCAACTACCAGGGAAAAGCCAAGGTACGCCGGAGGGCGAGGGACGCCGGGGGGAGGGCGGGGGGAGGGCGGGGGGAGGGCGGGGGGACGGCGTGGGAGGGCCGAGCTCTGACCCTGCTCTTGTCCCGGCAGCACCTGCGGCTCTCGCTGACGGAGTGGGGGCAGTGCCGCGTGCAGCACCTGCGCTTCCCCTCCGTGATGGACATGCTCAGCCATTTCCGCTTCTTCCCCATCCCGCTGGAGTGCGGGGCGGCGGGCGCCGTCACGCTGTCCAGCTTCGTGGTCGCGGGCTCCAGCCCCCCCTCACAGGGTGAGAGTCCTACTCAGAGGAATTAGTCCTCATCTTTAACCTTCTGAGACCCCAGCTCTTGTTCGGTGTGCAGTTTTGTTTGTTTTTTTTAAAAAGACATATGGGATTATCAGGATTTAATAAGTTTAATAACTAGACTTTGTCATGGTACAGGTAGTTTCTCTTCATATAGGCTAAATGGGTTTATCTTTAAACCCATTTAGCCTATAAACTTTATTTAAAATGTTTGTTTATATATTTGACTAAATGTGTTTGCAATTTGGTTCTGACGATCCAAATGACTTATTTTCAAAATTTAGATTTAATAAATAAAATGATTTTACTTTAGATTTTAAACAGTAGTGTCTGCTGGCGTCTACTATGAGGCCAAGAGGTCAAAGTTGAAAGAAAAAAGAAGTATCATGGTAAAGAGAGGCAAAAATGCAATGTCCTCATATAAAGACGCAGACTCTCAGGTTAATTCAATATTTAATAATTGTCATGACTAGGTTCTGAGAAACCCTCTGAAAAGTCTTCAGAATGATGAGGTCACATGATCAGTTTCAGCACCATTAGATTAAGGGACTCTAATTATCTTAGAAGTAGCTTCATAAGAATGTTGGGAAGAGCTTTCCACTCTGAAGCGGTGCTCCGGTTCTTCCTGTAAGTGGAGCCAGTCCTCAGTAAGGGGCAGGAACCGGTCTGACCCCGGCTCTGAAACCGGGCCGGTCAGGCCCTGACCTCACCTGTTGCCGGGTAACCGCCTGACCACTCACCCCCCCGTCCGTCTGTGTCTCTCAGGGCAGCTCTCAGGCGCGCTCCTCGTCCCGTTCTCCCTGCACCGGTGGAGCTCGGAGCCCAGTCTGGCCCACTTCAGCCTGGCCCGCAGCTCCAGCCAGCCCCCCCCCCTTCTGCTCCGCCTCCTCCGCTCACAGCTCCGCCCCCCCGGCCGGCCGCGGCCCCGCCCCCGAGCCCGCCGCCCCCCCGCCGGCGCTGGCGGTGGCTCCGCCCCCCCTGCGGCGCAGCGAGTCGGTGGGGAGGAGGCCCCTGCTGCGCAGCCCCGCCCCCCACGCCCCCATCATCCCCCAGCGGGACTCAGACTATGAGCTGGAGCCCGACCGGGGCCGCAAGCGGGCCATAGACAACCAGTACATGCTGACTCACTGAGTCCAACGCGCTGTGAAACCAGCTCACACACACACACACACACACACACACACACACACGCACACACACACGCAGAGGGAGCCCCCGTCCTCTGAGCACAGGATGTAACCCGATCACAGCAGACTGATGAACTTGAGCGAAAAGTCTTTGTCTGATGAATGGATAACACTGTGTACGTCAGAGCTAACACACACCTGTCCCCCCCCCCCCCCCCCACCTACACACCCCCCCCCCCCCCCCCCCTCCACAAAGAGTGTCCACAGTGAATGTATTTTTGCAGTTTTATACCAGTGTTAACTATGATTAATGACTAATCTCGTTTTTATTGATGTTCAGGTTCGCACACCAGTATTTGTCCTCGAGCGTTGGCAAAAAAAAAACAAAAACAGACAAAAGTTTTTTGTTACACTCCACTGGTGAGTTTTTTTTTTTCTTTTTCTAAAGAGGTGCACATTCTTTGCACTTAACCTGAACCGATGGAAAGCACTGCCCTCAGAATGATTCCGACTCAGGCTCCCAGCCTTCTGCCTTTTACACCAACACACAGCACTGTGCTCTGGCGGTGCCGTCTCCTAGTGTCTCTCCTCTCTGTGCATTATTAGAGCCCCCAAGTGCACATTCATTGCTTTTCAGTGCACTTTGTAAACATTGTGTATTTTTCTATACACACAATCTTTTGTAGAAAAATGTTCCTATAAAAAAAAAAAAGGACGAAAAAAAACAAAACAATAAAGTAATAAGGAGCAAAGTTTGGTTCTGTTAGTTGGAGACCCCCTGAAATCTTCCACTCTAGAAACGCAGTCTGTTGTGCGTCCGTCGTGGTGTATGGCGACACCAGAGGGAGCGTCCAGCCGCCATCACGTCCTGCCAAAGACGTGCGCCCGAAAGGCCAAAACCAGAGGAAAAGCCACCAAACCCAAGAAAAAAAGAGTCACGTGACGGCAATGAGAGGACGCCCACGGCAGCCCTCACCGGTGGAGACGTGGACGGACAGCCCTGGTCGTTCTGACCAGCCCTGGACGTGGAGGGAATTTAGCTGGAGCGGTCAGTACCGGGCCCCTGGTACCTGATCCTGTTCCGGTCCTACCTCAGCCGGCTGAATCACGACCCTACACACACCGCTCCTCCTTAATTTTCTCAAAGACAGTCAGGCGATGCAGCGGCCACTTTTCCCCGGCCGGTCTGCACGTGGACCAGCCGGGTCAGTTCCTGTGTCCAGTCCGGCCCCGGCAGCAACCTCCACTCAAGCAACAAAAATGACCCGGCAAAACTTACAATTAGTGTGTAAAATTATTTAAGCAGAACACTGATTACCTATTTCGCAGTTTCCCACGTTATTGAATAATGTGAACTCCATTTTATTGGTCATGAAGCATTTAAATGTGTTTTTTTTAAATATATTTTTTGGGGTTCAGAGTGGTTTGGGTTCATGCAAACCAAAGATGCACATCCAGGAGAAACAGACCAAAACCAAGATGGGCATTCAAGGATTTGTAAGCTTTGTTGTTGTGGTGTGTGTGGGCCCCCGGCAGAAGTGAGGGCCGGAGGGCCGGAGTTCTGTTCCGAACAGCCACACGCAGCTCTCGGTCGTGGGAATAGCGCGGCCAAATTTTCTAGCTCGACCTTTCACACTCAGCATTAATGACCCGGGTCTTCTCTGACCGCCGCACAGCAGCTAAACACAAGAGGCCTGCGGAGAAGATGTCTTGCACTGCCGTTTGTAATCCGTTTCATCTTTTGATAGAAGTATTTGGGACGATTGTTTTTTGGTAAAAAAAAAAAAAACGTTTCAAAAAAAATTTGAAAACATTTTTTAAAAGCTTTTTAAAGTGTCCAAAGTGGCCGTCGACTTTTTGTGACCCCTCCCAGAAGGTGCCTTTCCAAAGCTGCAGCCTCTCAGGTGAAGCCTTTTCTCGCTGAAAGCTAAATGCTCGTGGGCGCACGTGCAAATACGAACCCCCCCTTTTTACCAAAGTGTGACGTGTGGAGCTCGCAGAGGGGCCCGACCATCTGCGGCCTTCTGGCTTTGGGAAATAGCCTTTTTTTTTTAAAAAGAAAAACCTTGCTTAAACACTAACTTTAGCAGATATTTTAGACTTAACCTTCAGTAAATGTGTGCTTAATAGCTCGTATGGTTTAGAGAAGTTTAGTTTTTAAAGAGAAACGCAAAACGGCTTCTTGTCTTGTCCTGGACGCTCCTCTCCTGACGCCTCCCGCCACCTCCCTCCACCCGGGTCCCGTTCTACCAATGGTTGCGTTGTCCTCTTGAATGTATCATCCCGATCGAGACTGACATCTTTGAAGGGGGGAGCAAAAACAAGGGGATGTTTTGGGCAAAAGCGCGGTTGGTCTTCCTGCACCCGAGAGTCCGAGCGGGAGCCGGCCGGCCCGCGGCCCTCCCCAAAAAAAGCCCGGGGTGTGATCGCTTCAGTGCAATAGATGAAAGACACCCAGAGCTTCACACCTTTTTGGGAATTCAGTTTTGCCTCCGCTCCTCAGACTAGAAGACAGATTTTTTTTTTTTTTTTACCAGAAAAAATCGAGTTACAGCTAGAGAAAATCCCCGGTTCCCCAGGGGTTTTTTTCCCCCAACATCTGTTCCAGAAACTCTTTGAAGCACCCTCTTAACACCCCCCATGTGTTTGTTTGAAAATGTCCAGTCGATGAATATGATGTGTTCTCAATACTGTTCATCCTGTTTCACTTGGCACTGTAAACATCCCAGTTCAACCCCACGTCCCGTCTACTGCCCAACCACAGCAGCTTCTGAAACGTATCATTGGGTCTGCATTTATTCAGTTACAAGCATCTAAATTATATTGAATATATATCAACTGTATATTCGACTTTTTTTTTTTTTTTTTTTTTAAATAATAAAGCTAACCAAAAATGACCTGTTTTCTGTTTGATCTGTTGTGTTGAGGAGCTGTTGGAGATTTTCTTATTTGCAGCTAAAAACTAAAGCATAAGTGTTTCCACAATCATTTGGAGAGGCAACTGGAACAATTAGTAATATTTAAACAATATAACACCCCTCTGGAAGATGGAGGCAGATAGTAAGGCTTTTCCTTTTTTTTAAATTGGTGATTTGGACATTTTTGGAGAGTGACTGAATGGGGTGATCGTGTGTGAAGAAGCTGCCAGGTTGTCATCTCCACTTTATTTAGATTTTTGTTCCGAACAGCAAGATTTTTTTTGTTACATTTAAAATGGTCTTTGAGTAATAATTTTCTAGGCTATTTTGTGTATGTTAAGCCCTTTTGGAAAAAAGAAAAAAGCTCTGGCTGTTTGGAACGGAAACCTAACTCGACCCCTTTTCTTTTGCTGAATCTTTGAAAAACGGGCCCAAAAGGCTGAGCTATTTCCAAATCGGTGGCAGCAGGTGTGAAGAAACCGTTCTACAACCTGAGGCGGTGTGGGGTCGTCCCCGTGGAGAAACCAAAAAACGCTCCTTAAGGAATGAAAGGAAGTAAAAAGACAAACCGTCACTTAAACGCTTCCACGCATGCCCCAAGAAATCTGGATTTCCTGAATGAGGATTGAAAGCACAGTAGAACAATCCAGTTTTTAAAACTTTTTTATTGTTTTTTAAATTTTTTTGCTCATTTTTTAAATTATTTATATTATCTACAAAGTAAAAGTTTTAACTTAAAAGTTACATAAGGGTCAGGTGAGAAGTGGGATCTGATCACCTCAGCCGTTAGAATTTCATAAATAACATTTCTCCTGTCCTCTTGGCTGCCCAAACCAGTTTGTTTCACAGGACGTTTCTGGTCATGGTTTTGCTTTTTAGTTTGGTTAGAAACTGGTGGTCTGGAAACAAATGCAGCACATAGCAGCAGCGATAAACAGTAAGATTAATACTGTCTAAAAGTTGGAAGATTTTTTTTTTTCTCATAACAAGGTGCAGGCAAAATACAAGTTCCAGTAGAAGCTTCCTCGTTGTCACTGATTAGTTTCTCTCTTTTGTGTCTTACTTGGCAAGCGGACATCGACTGCAATCTGAGACCCCTGCAGGTGTGTGTGTGTGTGTGTGTGTGTGTGAAAGATGGCTTCGTGGGTGTAGATCTGTGTGTGTGTGTCAGAGAATGGGGTCGGAACAGAAGACAGTCTTGTCCATAAAATCTATCTTGTTAAAACATGTCACTGCATCAACCTGTTAACATTCTCTTATTGCCTAGTCTGGGAGGGAGGAAGGGAGGATAGAGAAAAGCTGATGTGAAGCATGTCTGGGGAGGATGAGGAGAGAGAGGAGAGGAGGAGGGGGGGGCTCTCGTTCTCTTCGTCGCCTGGTTATGAAGGCTCTGGTTGAGAAGCGGGATGCAGAGCGGGTCCCTCGGCTCGCTGGCGCCCCCTATCTACAGCTGCTGCTGGTGGTGGGCCTGCACTGCAGGGACAGAGAGGAAGAGGAGGAGGAGGAGGAAGAGGAGAGGGTCAGGACACGCTAAAACCATCCTTTATACGTTTGCATTTCTGCAGAGCTGGGATCTAAAGTACCTTGTGGATGTGCCAGGTAGGAGAAGTGTGTTGTGGAGGAAACGGGGATGGGGTTGAGGGCGGTCTGGGCCATCTGGGGCTGTGGGCCCCCCGGAGGACCCTGGGTGGCCATCAGCATCATGGTGGGGTGGCTCTGTGCCGGGTGGTGGGACTGCACGATGCCGGACTGCATGTGGGCCTGTGAGCGACAGAGAGCGTGCACGTGAGAACAAACAGGGACGCCGCAGCGCGACGGTGAGGTGGTCAGAGCCCCCCCCCCCCCCCCCCCCCGTTCCCTCCATGGGGCCTGGCCCTGTGGGGCTCGGCTCACAGGGAGGGGCTGTGTGCCGGGCCTCCTGTGAGTCCACACCAGCTGACAAACACACAGCGACGGTGTGACTTACTTCTGAAGGCTCTTCTGAGAAAAAGCCTTCACACCTCAGAGCACAAAATGTGCCCACCCTGAGGACACATGTCCATTCTTCACCCACAACTGAAAACCAGACTCACTTCTCCGGCAGAAGCCAGGCCCCCCATGGGGGGGGGGGGGCAGCAACCACCCAGCTACAGCAGACATCTTTTAACAGCCTCCTTTTAAAGAGGAAACCTACCACCGGCCTATTGTTCTGATTTCTACCACAAAGTCTGGGATTTTACCCCTTTTAAGTCGATTTTACACAGTAAGAATGTATTTTGCCAGAGTTATTGAACTAAGGCAATCTCTGGGTATAATTAATTTGTTCTAAAGGGATGAAAGCACTTATTAAACACATATTTACACCACTGAAAATACAGTACTTTCCATCAGGACACAGTTCTAAACAACGCACTCTGGAACCTAAATGGAGTTAACTGTCTTGTAATTGGAGGTCATTTTTAATGCAGCATGTTCCACAGCTGGTCCATTAGAACTACATGCTATTTTTTTTACTTGAGCACACAGCAAAAACAACAAATCCACCACAGAGACAGAATTGTGAACATGGGAGCAGACATGGGGGGCTGATGTCTGGGTACCTGCTGCACGTGGGCCATGTGGTTGGGGTTGTAGCCGTGCTGCACCTGCTGCGGGTGGATATAGACGGTCTGCTGGGCCGAGGGGAACGAGGCCTGGGGGGACTGCGGGTTGGGCCCCGGTGTCATCGACGGGGGGGTGGGGGCCAAGGCCGAGTACATCTGCTGCTGCGGGGGCTGGTTGGCCAGGTGGAGGGCCTGGGCCGCCGCCGCCGCTGCAACACACACGTCCGCGTTTAAACCCCTCCCACTTCAGAGAGGAGCTGGGTAACCATGGCAACATAAAGGGAGGAAGCGGTCACCTGCTGCTGCCTGTTGGTGCTGGGGGTGCTGCACCGGGCTGGCGGCGGGGTGGCTGGGGGGGCCTCCGTGCTGCGGAGGACCGCCTTGCTGGGCTTGGCCTGTGGGGGTGGCAGAGGGCTGTGGGTGTTGGGGGTGAGGGTGTAGGGTGGCACTAGGGTGGGGGTACTGCTGATGCATGGGCCCTGGAGACACTGTGGTACAGACGGGCGTTTGTTTAAATACAAGCAGTGAGTCAGCACACATTCCAGCCCGCTATTCGCTGATGAATTCACTCAGCTGATTGGGGGACGTACCATACATGGTGTGTGTCTGCTCCGGGTACTGCGTCGTGGAGGAGGATACCAGGCCGGGCTGGCCGTGTGTGGGAGGCGCCATCATCCTGGCATTGCCCTGCATAACGGGGCTGAACACATGCTGGGCCTGGAGAAAACAGAGAGGGGCCGACAACGTCAGCTTTACAGCGGCGCCTTTTCAGGTGCTGGGGGAAGGAGTGTGTCTGTGTGTGTGTGTGCGGTCGGAGGACATTAAACACTGGCATCTCCTCGTGCCGCTGAACCACAGGCATCTGTCAGACAAATCTCTGGCTAGTGAGCAGCTGGGAGAAGAGAGGCCTGCCAGAACAAATTACATTCAGCAGAGGAGCTGGGTGGCCTCCCGGGCTGAAACGGGCCCCTGGAGCTGCTGAGGGCTGGGGTTTTCTGCAGCAGGTTACACGTCTCACCTGGGACTGGTAGTGTGGCATCTGCTGGACGAGAGGCTGACTGGTGAACTGCTGCGGGCTGCAGGTGAAGTACTGTGCAGAGTAGGCAGGGCTGGGTGCTACGATAGGAGGTCCTGCTGCGGTGGCGGGGTGCATCATGGTGGGGGTGCCAGTCGGGTGGTGCTGGTCTGACCTCTGCTGGGGCATGTTGGGGACTAAAGATTCATGTCGGGAGATTGAGAAAAATGATCAAACGGAAGATCCCAAAATTCCAGCCGATGAGGACCTCCCTAAACAACTCTAAGGTCAGAAGCAGGAGATGATAGGATCCACTTATTCCAACCCCCCTCCTCATAACAGGTTTCTGAGGCAGAGGGGCGCATGACCTGATCCACCGAGACAGGAAGCCGATTTCTGAGCTACTGGAATCCTTATGTTGAGTGTTACTACATATTCTATATCTTAAGCAATTCAAGTTTAGACTGAAAAAAGAACTGCACACATCCATTTACATTCAAATCTGTGGCTGCTTAACTAAATTACTATGAACTTAATTGGACATCCTGTGTATAGACTAAAAAAGCAATGTGACTTTACTAATGTAACACTTGAACTGTTACTTGTATCCGCTTTAGAAAATACTGGTGAGAACATAACCCATTCTTAGTAAAAAATTCAGAGAGTGTGAGGGAAAGATGAGAAGAAGGAAAGTGAGCGAGAAAACATCAGTTATTCTCACCTTTACCTGGTCTGAAGGGTTTAGACTGGCTGACCATATGAGACATCTGAACCGGGTACATTGCTGGAGACTGGGAAACGAAAACAGCCGATTAAATAAATACGTAGAATTCTTTTTTTTGTTTGTTTTTGTAATTGAAAGCGATCTTACACTACAACAATGAAATGATTATGTGTGTTAACGTCTTGCTGCCCAGCAACTATTCGGCTTTTAACTGTTGCTTTAGCAGCAAACCTCTCCCCTACATGGCATCAAAAACACTTGTGCGAGTTCATCTCTTACCTGGGGCCACATGCATTTTCTGTCTATCATTTGGTCAAATAGAAAAAAAAATAGATGGCTTATAAAGATAAAAGTGACCCTAACAGGGCTGGGCGCATCCATAACATTATACATCATGCATTTCTATCACAGAAAATACTGCAGAAAAATAAAACTGTCCACAGCCATTTGTTTGGTAAACAGGAGAAGCCAACAGAAGTAACATGAGGTTAGAATTCTGCCGGTGATGGCAGCTTAAAATTGCAATAAGAAGTTGGCAAACCAACATCTGATGGCATTAATTCAACAAGCAAGCAAAACATCTAAGTACTGATTGGGATTAAAAACAATAAGAAGAAGAATGGTAAGAATAAAACAAAAAGATTGAAAAATAGAAAATCTTAGAAAATTCACAAACCTTCCATATTATGCTTTTCTAATGGAGCAAGAGAGAAAGGAGGAGGGGGAGAAAAGGGAAAAAGAACCACTCTTTAGTTGTTATCTTTTGTACGTGTCTGATGTTGGATCACCAAGTTTTTCTTAAAGCAACACAGGAAGTAAACCTTATATCCACAATGTGAAACAGATTTCATTAAAATGATGCTTAATATTAGAGAAAAACATTTTGATGATGGTTAAAGTGTTACGCTGAGGTCACTGTGTGAAAACTGTAATTAAGAGAAGGCTTTTAGCAACAGTTTGTAGAAGTCCACAAAGTGATGGCAGAAGATGAGCATTTATAGTAAGATGCACACGGAGCACTAGATTAGGAAAATCTGAGATGTGTCAAAAATTAAGGATGATGGAAATGATTAGGTACCTTAAGAAATAATAGCAGAAAAGAAAACAAACTAAAGCAGACACACAAGGGGACCATAAGGTGACTCTCAGGGATTAGTAGTCATTAAATCCGCATCATGCTGACATCTTATGCATGTGATGATCAGTATTCAATAGGAAGAAATGTGACTGAACCAGTATGTTTTAGCATGTAGGGCGGGGGCGTACCTGCACTCCAGGGCTGACCGGTGTGATGGGATACATCTGGGGGAAGCAGACTGTCTGACCATATACAGTCGGAGGCTGCTGCACTACAATGGAGGGGCTGGGCTGCCCCTGAGGGCGGGGAGGTGTTGGGGTGTTGGCTGGTTTAGGCTGATGGAGGGGGGGAGAGCAAAGAGAAAATAAGACCCAACAATGACATCAAAGGCATGCAGCGCACGTTACAGCCTAGGGGCTCCCTTACCTGTGCATTAAACCTGGGTTTGAACTCATTCGCGTTTGGGTTAAGGGTTGATTTTCTTACTTGACTGCAGAAGGAGAAGAAACAGTTTAGTTAACGTTGTAAGGATAAGTCTGAAACCATTACATCTTCACTGTAGGTTTATCAGATCACTAGAGAATCAAATACATCAGGTTTTAAAAACACTGTATATTAACAACACACAGTGAAATGACCGTGAAATGAATAGAATTTGCTGATAAGAAAGACACTCAGTCTCCACTCCACTCACTCTTGTACTGCCTCTTTTTTCTCCTCCTTCTCCTCATGCTTGGGGCCACTGAACGTGGACGTGGCGGTTGTTTGAACTCCTTGTGATGTCACCTCCAGCCCCGCCCTCTTCTGGTCCGGTGCAGAGGGAGAGGGAGACAGCACAGCCGGGCTGCCGGGCTTACTGGTGTTGGTGGTGGTCGTGGATGGAGCGGAGGAAGCCCCGGGAGTGCCGGCAGGAATCACTACTACACCATCCTCAGAAGCATCCCGTCCCACGGCGGAGGCTTTGTCCAGGGGCAGGGGGAGGTCTTTAGGCTTTTCTGCTGGATCTCTAACAGGCTTGGTCATCATCTGGTCAAAGGGTGGGTCTGGATTTGAACTAGACTGCAACTGGAAAATATGCAATTTAAAGATTAGTTGAAAAGATCCACGTCAAGTTAAATCTTTTCTTTTTCTTTCGTTCATCTTACTGAGGTAGATACTTACTCTAAAATCTACACTAAATTTCTTCAAATTATCTATTTGTTTTCTGTGGTCTGGTGGCATGGAGGGGGGTCCTGCAAAATACAGAAATAGCCATGTTTAATAACCAAGATCGTCTAACAGGTCCGGGTGATCGAACTTCTGAAGCTTGAACCATGCTGACATCAAGTTTATACTCTACCTTTACAGACTGGTCTGGTAATACTAGTAGAGCTATCCAAAGGCTTAACGTTCTCCTTGTTTGCTGTGGGGGAAGACTGCCTGGTCTCCTGGATACGACACTCCTTTGCTGGATACAAAAATAAATACAAATATATAATCACGGTCACTCTGAACTCAGAAGATTTCAAAAGAACTCATCTGATGAACAAAGCCAACAATAAATCCTAACAAAAGCAATATTTCATGCCATTTCATCTCAGTAAATCCAAGTGGAAGCCTCTCTCAGCTCACCGTCTCCTGATGGAGAAGCCACCATATTGGAGGTGGGGCTAGCAGCAGTAGGAGAGGCAGCTGATGTCAGCGGAGCAACAGTTTCCACAGGAGCTGCTCCTGTCTGGGCTGAAGGAAGAGAGGTGCCCCCTGGGGATGGGCCCCCCATGCTATTCTGTCGGGGGGAGCGAGGTCTGTGAGCTGAGGATGGGAAGAGGAGTTAGAAATCCTCTATACAAAAACTAATAAAATAATTCATGTTTCATGCAAACTCAAAACAAGCATAAAAACCACCAAGAAAGGGGTTAAAACAGTGTTACTCACCTCCACTGACGACTGAGGACCAGGTGCCTCCAGATGAACTATTCCTAGTTGGGGGAGTCGCTTGAACATCTCCAGATGCATTGTGGGACATCAAGTCAACTCCAGGGGGGACCCCACTGATTCGAGAGGGAGGCACTCTGTGAGCACGAGGTGTCCGCTGGGACTTTGGAGACATCCTTGGAGGACCTGTGAATGGATTGACCCCATAAACTGACAGTGGCAGTGATTGGTCTTGAGGCTGTGACATCCAGCAGTGACGGCCTATATTTCCTATTTCACTGTCTAAAAAACAAGGAACACACCCTGTCGCATTGACTAATCCATAAATGCAGGTTCAAACACCACGTCCAACAGCTGAAACATGCATGTTAGTGAGGAAACAGCGATGATCCCGGAAAGACCCAAACACCACGCATTTCAAACCACACGCCAAGTGGGAGGTGAGAAACAAATACATTTAAACAAAAACAGGTGATTTGTGAGAAACTGTGTTTATCGACTGTGTTTAAGACTTATGGAGTGGATGGTGGGAGTCAGTTCAAGCCTAATTGAACTTTTTCATTCCACAATAAACACATTTGAACAGCAAAAATGGTTTTCATTTGTCTTCCATCCTAGGTAATGACATATTCTAGTTTACTGGATTTAACTTCAAACTGAAACTGGAGCTCATCCAAAAAAAGGGCAAATACTGTCAGTGGGATGAAGTTTTCAAATCTCTTTAATGCCAGCATTTTGTCCTGCTCTTTTTAAATAACTGTCTGGTGTTCCGACTCTTTCTTGTATGGAATGTATATATGTATATGCTGTTGTATATCTGAAGTTGGCAACAAAAATAATTTCCCTCTGGGATTATTAAAGTATTTCTGATTCTGATTAAGTGTTTAAATGTCCTTACAGCTACAACCGATTAGATAATAAATTCAAGTTACAAGTAATTATAATATTAGTTATTATAGTATAAAGGTTACATGAATCTGAGCTGTCTGATGTAAATGACTATTATTACCTAAACAGCACTGTATGTGCAATACGGATGCAAAAGCAGTCAAATTCAAGCCGAGGGTTGGTATTTTAGTTTCACTGATGCAAAAAAGCTCCATATGAAACCAGAAAACCTGCATGACATCTAAATATAATGGTTGGCCCAAGAACTCTGTTCAGCCAGAAAGCACAGAAAAAAACTCAGCGCAAACACCTCAGTCCACCCACATGCCAAGGTAAAAGTGCCTGATGCACCGACAGAAGGGGAAGCTTTGTGCACACAGCTTCCAATGAGTGGAAATCCCAAATCTGACACAAAGTCAGTCTGAGACAGCAATTTCCCCCATTACTGTTGTTCCAGACTTGACTTGGGCAAATTGAAATTTGAAAGTATTTGAACTCTTTTAGGATACTTCAAATCGGCTTCCAAATTCTGCCTGGATTTTTTTTTTTTTCCCAAATACGGAGTTCAAACCCTCCAGCTTCAACTCATGCCTTTGCCCAGGTCATCTCCACAGTGATGTGGATACCTTCTGATGACATGCGTTTGGGAAGAGTGGAGGCTGGCGATGTGGGCCCGTGGTGGGAAAAGGAGGATGAAGAGGAGGAATAGGAGGGATGGGATGAATGAGAGGGAGGCCTGGAAGGTCGAGAGGGGGGCCTGGAAGGTGGCCTGGTGGGCGTGGTTGCCCGAGGAGGCAGGGAGGAGGGGCCAGACTGGTAACGAGAGGGGGGACGAGAGGAAGGAGATGGACAGGGTGAGGGCCAATGGGATGAACCTAAAAGAGGCAAGGACAAATGATAAGGATGGTAAACCAGTTCAAGTGGGAGAAAACTAAGAAACAGCAGAAATAGAAAGGTAGGGGTTAATCATGAGAGAAAAGCAAAAAAAAAAAAAAAATGTAGGGGCAAGAAATGCAGAAGAAATGCAGCCCCTATTCATTTTATAGAGGCGGCAAATTTAAACATCTAAGACCCCATCTTGGAGAAAAATACTTGTTTTCCAGGCAAAGTTGATCACTGCACAGAAAAACTTGCACAGGAGGAGTATCTGCACCGACAAATCCTGTTTCTATGCAGGAAGTAGCACAATGTGTTTAACATACCTCCGTTAACAACCCTCTGGTCACTGCCAGAGCTGGGACTGTAGTCATGAGGTCCCGGTCGAGGTGCCGACGGTCCGGCTGAGCTCTGACCCAGGCGGGGTGAGTTCTGACGTCCTGGCCCCCATGACATGGCTTCCCTGTTCCTCTGACCTGGAGGAATGTATTTGTTCTCTCTACACTCACAAAATAGAAGGTGACACAAAAAAAGTCAGATGGTTTGTTATTTATTCATGATTCCGTATGGACTCTTACATTTAAATACATTTCAGTTTAAAGTCTGAGTTAGTTTATGAACATGCTGTTAAATTTGTAGAACAAGTTAAAGAGGAATTCTGATCTTTATAAAAGAAACAGTTACAAAAAATAAATTCTTACAAATCTACTTGGGTGTGTGTACTTAAGTGTAAATAAGCATATTTATCTAACCACACAGGCCAGGGCCATAACTTCATACTGTGAACATTTACCAGTAACACAGATAACAAAACCCACAAATTATATAAATGTTGCATTACTGTGGTTTGTGTCATAGGGAGTCGGTGTCATACATCATGTCACATGTAAAAAAAACATAATAATAATGACATATATAATATTGGAGAAACCTGAACATGCTGGATAAAACACTCCCTAACTGCAAACTGCTTCTTACAGACTGTAATATCAGTTTAAACAGGCAGGCATTTACAGTGTCCCATCTCACCTGTTAAGCGTGTGTGTCTCTCTCTCCCCTCGCACCACAGCAGTGTATTTCTCCTCCTCTGTGCGCTCGTCGTTCTCCAAGGCCACACGGGCCTTGTATGTGGCACTGGCCTCAATCTCCTCTGCCAGCTGGGCAGCACGCGCCTCTCTCTTCAGGAACTCCTCTGAGTTGTCGCGCTCTAAGGGCACGCTGGGAAACAAACAGATGAGGACTGAGACGGGAAGGCTTGATTTTGAGGTGTAACTTTCATGTAGTAGGTTAAATAGAAGATGCAAGACAGCTCAGAGGGTTTAAATAGTAAAAAATGCTACTCCCCAAAGTAACATTCCCATTCTGGGATGGAGACTTTGGACAAAGCACACAGAAACTTACGTATATGTGGAAAGACTGCTATCATATGTGGACAAGACTCCATACTTCTCCTCGTTGTACTTAAACATGTCGTTGGGATCCCATCCATTTGACTGATATGAAAAGAGGCAGCGGCAGAGAAAGAATGTGACAAAAAGAGCGCAGATAAATTCTTGATCCTAAATCTGTATTGATGCCATCTTATGTGTCACATGGGCTGCTTGGCTTCTTTATCTCACCACATCTGTATCAAGAGACTCAAGGCTGTCAGAGTTGTGGGTCTCTCCTCCATCCCAGGGCTCCAAATCTTTCTCTTTGTGCTCCCCATTGATCCTACCACTCACTGCTGTATCTGTGAAGTTGTCTGTAAACAAAAAAAAGAATGAATACATAAAAGTCACACACAAACTTCTAGTAGTTTTCAATAACATGGCTGCACACTCAATGATTTGTAAAGAGCACATGCCATAACAGCCTCTCCCATAAGCTCTCACAGCAAAGGCCCAAAGGGGCTTGAGGTGGTTAAAAGGGATACCCACTCAAATCCAGACATGAGTTCAAATGGATTGTAAAAAGTATTGTTTCAAAAACCTTTGATTTAATATGGGTTTGGCAGAGATAAGAGTTAACCCAGTGAAATCCAAGAATCAAGGAAACTCTAAAAATACAGCAGAGTAACTAAAGATTTACCAAGTTACAATTTTGACTTGCTTTTCACAACAATTAACATTCCTCTGTCAGTATCTGCAATCACTTGACTTTTACACCATCACCATGGCAACGACTGATCAGATCAGCATTCACATGCATAGAATTCCTGTGTCCAGTCAATAGCTCAATCTCTGAGAACAATCATAATAAATGTACAAAATAAGGCAAGTCGACAAAATGAATCCTTGCAGCTACGATCAAAGATAGACGCCAGTTATATTTGTCAGCTCTCACATTCTCATGTCTGCCACCAATGGACTTTGTGCTTAAAAACATTCCAATTGGAAATTTACAGCTACACACACCAACTCTTCCCCTCTTTCCAAAACATTTTGTTACAAAGGGTACATGTTGAAAGGGTGGATTGGCACCAAACACACATTATGATTACAGGCCTGAATTATAGTTTGACAGCTTGTTGGCATGCTTTGAGCACAGCGTCCATGAAGGGAACTGCTTATGCAGGGTATAAAGAAATTGTACAACAGTTTTAATCTACAAATCAAAAATGGGCAAAGGATGGGGTAAGACAACACGCATTCAAACTGCAGCCAACTTCAGAGTCTTTTTCTTTTTGCAAATCAACATTACAAGCATGTACACTTCAATTTATACTTGCAAAGTCTAATTAAAGAGATTATGTTTGGGTGCATAAAGATGTGTGAGGAGAAAACAGTTGTTTATTACCTGTGTCAGAGGAGACTAGATCGTTGGAAAGAAGAGACACACAGATGACAGAGTCAGAAGATGGACTGACAGATAGAATGACCAATGAACACGCTAATAGTTGAATGCCCCACCCACATTTAGAGTACCCATCAACCACATTACAATTTTAAAGGAATATCTAGCTTTATTCTGTGCAGTATTCCTAGTTATATTCCTCCCATGACAAGAGAAATATCAGGAAAAAAACACTTAAAAGAATTCCCTATGAATTCAACTCATTGTTACAATTTGATTTCACACTTGGCACCCACACTTTTACCTCATTCTTAAACAATAGACATAATACCCAGAGTCTATTGTTTTTCTTTTAAAAACAATAAGGGTCAAGACAAATGACCCTATAACAGACTCACTTAACCTTTATTGAGTGTCCTTGCCGCACTGGGGCAACCTTCAGACCAATCAATATATCAAATTAGTCTTCAATGACCACTCAGGGCAGTCACACAAGATCTAACTCATGGCAAAGCCTCTGTGACATCAGGACAGAGAAGACAGAAAACAATCGATACACTATGTGTTTGCACTGATGGGCACTCACTTGGCATGTGTTTACTCTATGTGTGTGATAAATATCAAGTGGCAAACTAAGCAGGTTATACATGAAACTGTAAATATTTCCAAATTCTGACAACAGAAGCAAACTCAATACCTTTCCTGGCGAAATTCAGGTCCACATCTTTAAAGGTCACCACGACGACATCAGAAGCTTTGAAAATGATGCTCTCAACAATGTCTTCTTTCCTGGGGCCTATGCTCAGCTCTGGGCTCTTTCTGTGGGCTGCATCCAACACCAAGTCACACTAGGGAACATAGTCAGGCAGAACTGGATTAAAGGGAAATCTCAACACAGAAAAAAGTCACCCACACAAAACATGACAATCGATGTACAAATGTAATTCAAGAGACACTGAAGACAGAAGCAAGCTAACTTAGATAGCAGGGATTTAAAAAAAGATAATATTTTAAAAAAACAGCGTGTTTTTATATTATTAGAAATGAAACATCTATTTCTCTATTAATTGCATGATCTGGGGAGGATGGGGTTATGGTCTGTTCAGGATTATGTTCCTTTTTGTAAATATCAATTAATCCCAAAAAAATAACTGATATATCAAAAGATAGGTAATTCAGCCTGATGAGAAAATCCCATAGAGTATTTAACTAGAATTAAGTCTTGGCACAAACTAAACATCCTGAACCATGGGAAACCACTTGACATCACTGAAGTGAATCTTCCATTTATTTGCTTCCTCAGCAGCTGGATGAACTTTTGAGATACTGATAAAAACACAAATTCCCCCAAAATACAAAGTGATCTCACAACTTGTGTAATAGTTTGTAAGAAAATTGAAATCACAAGGCACTGGACACAAAACACTAGTGTTGACCTGCAGACACTGTGCAAAGGGGCAATGAGGACAGCAGCATGTAAACAGCGCAGCATGTTTGACCGCTTAACTTGGACATCCGGTAGTAATAAAACCAAAATTGAAATGTGTTTATATTTCAAAACAGAACCTTTGCTACACCAAATTAAATTCCAGTACCCTTCAAGTATTATGAACATTTCAGAAATGCAACATTAAAAAGGAGAAGAGATATAAAGCTACGATCCTGTAAATAGGATCAGAAAATCCTCTACTGTTGCAATAAAGACACTAATTTGTTCAAATGATCTTCTCCACAGAAAATAGGCTGGGGAATACTTCACCCTAAAAGGGAAGTTGAAAGGCCACATACTTCACTGCCATAAAAGGTAAGTATGGAAAGGCTAATCCTTGGCTCGACCACCTCAGGGGTAGGGCTTCTATTGAGCGCTGGCAGGATGCTATCACTGATAAAAATGAATAATTTATTCAACTACTACAGCTACTAATACTCTAGCAGCTTTGCGTCCATATTGTCCTTTGCTGAAAAAAAAAAAGGAAAAATCCAGCGTTGCATTTTTTCTTACCTCTGGACCATATGTCTTGAATACTCCTTCATATACCGCTCCGTTTTTCACTTTGAGCTCACACTTGGTCCCCTGTGAACAACAATCCCATGGTTATTTACAGTGTGCGGCGTTCATTCAATAAACTGCCAGCATCACTTCACACATTCAGAAAACAAGTTCAGGAAGCCCATCTGCTCTGAAGCTGAGAAATGATTGATCAAGCTTTGCTTTGTTTATGCTACCAGCTGTCCCTCCAAACAAGCTTTGTTTACTGCAGAGTAGACATTCTGAAGACACAGTATGTGCCGAAAGACAAACTGTAGTACTGTTATCACTCAGTAGTTTGCAGTAAACATGAATCATGGGGCTATCTCACCAAAGTAAATTTGCTACTATACTTTGTCTGTTCCAAACAGCTACGAAAGAAGCTAAATTCAAAGAGTTAAGAGTATCTTAAAAACTCGCATGACACAAAGTAGACGTACCACTACTGAAGTCAAAACGTGGACCATCCTCATATTTGAATATACACCATTGAAAATTACCTAAAGAAAGAAAAACAATTAAGTTTTCATGTTCTCAAATTGCAGAGAAAGACTGTATTGAGTAGCATCTCACAGCTGTGCAACACATGCTGGATATCTTTACATTTTATTATTATTTTAAGAGACCAGATATCCTAACACTGGACCAGATTTCTATTTGTCATTCTTGAATTCAAAATTTGAGTCCCAGAAAATTAAACAATAACTTTCAAAAATAGCAATACTGCAATATAACATTAATCTTCACACAGCTTCTGATGATGCAGGATAACCTGTGTGTGTGAATGGACATGTGAAAGTTAGGTTACTTACAGCAGCAGGGCTTTTGCCACTGTGTCTTCCCCTGAAAGAAAAAAAAGTATAGTATTGTCAAACTGCAGGCAGGTGAAGTACTTCAGAGTACACAGAAATAAGTAGTTCTCTGACAGGGTCAGCTAAAGACCAGAACTGTAGGAACGTGCTTGAGATGGAAAACAAACAAACATATAAATCATCAAAATCCGGTCTGTCTTATCGGCTTTTGTGTACCGACATAGCCCCTGAAAGTAATAACTGATGTTTTGGGATTTCTGGTGTAATCAGCAGAGATTTGGATAACAGACTCCTGTGTCAAGACTCCCCACTCCTCTTTGTTTGAATGCAGATAAATTCAGGAGCTAACGACACGCTCCCTCATTGTTAGACCACTGATGGCTTCAGGGCTGCCTCATCTGATGTTCACGAGTTGTTTACCTGCTTGAGACCAAAGCCTTGTCAAGATGATGCTATTTCTACAACAATTTCAGCTCAGGAGACCCCGGTGCCAAAATCCTTGCGGACAGATTCTGAGTGTTAGTATGAGGATATATTGTTAAAAGAGCATTTTTAAAACCACTCTAACTTGCAAGTATGGTTAATTAGATGAGATTACAATGTGGATACTGTAATTTACAGGAGGCGAGAAAACGTTTTGCTGGATAGAATATTAAACAACCGACATTATCCCCCCAACAATGCACCTCGTTCAGTAGCTGGCATGTGGCCAGGCTTTTACAATGGTTCACTGACAGCAATGACCATTTCTTCCAATAACGGAACAAATAACTGGCTCCCTGAAACGCACATTGGACTTGAGTATAGAAAGACAATACGCAGGACAAAAGGCCAATCTTATTTTACGCTCTTTTTTTTTCTTGGCCTTAACAGATAAAACCTGCGCAATTAATGTAGCTGTGCTAGTGACCAGTGGAGAGCCGTCGGCTCAAATGTAGGGGCGAAAAAACACGTAAAGAAAAGCATACCATTTCTTTAACTGACAGCGTGTGTCAGATTCATCTTAGGGCGACATGTGCAAAGAAAGTCATGCTTCAAGGACACCATTTCACACGAGAAGCAACGACAACGTCAAGGTTGAAAGCCGGTCAGTATGTAATTCCCCTTCTTCTCCTCGCCCCTGCCTCACACCCTCCCCGTTCTCTCATGCGCCCACACGCATTATATATTTTTTTTTTCTTCCCCTAGCAATCCCGTTTTGCAGCAATGTTGCGGTAACGTGCCCGTGCTACAAGGAAAACGAATGAAAACTAACGCACGTGTTTAAATAAATAAAAAAAAGTGGCCGACCAGCGTCCCGTAAGCTAGCCTGTACAATTCTGCGAGCAGCCTGGTTTGCAAGCATGGGCTGTCAAACGGCTAATTAACTCGAGCCAAATTGACTCCGGGCTGGCACTAACTGATATCAGCAACTTGGTCAAAGATAGTCCTCTCAAAACACTTGTGGGGAAAAAATATTTGACCGACCAGAGACATTTTTATACCGGATCAATGATCACAAAATGGTCTTTAATTCACGTGCACAACAGACTAATGTGACGTTCAAGTTGCAACAATATTGGACCAAGCACACAGGCCTCGCTAGCTACACCGCATAACGTTGCACTTGACGACCAACATGTCGTAAGGCCCATATCGTGTTCACAAACGCGTACTGATTTTAGGCCAGTTGTAATTGATGACATGTCTCCAAATTGCTCGAGTCAGAAGGGAATGTGCTAAAGTATGTAACACAGACCATATTATCTCTCGCTGCTGCGTTTTTACTTCGCCAAGTTAAAATTTCACAGACCTGCCCATATTCTGTCTTCCCCCGCCGCTTCCTCCGGCACCGGAGGTGGCTGCACCAGCGATGTTACCACCGCCGGGCTTGCTGCGATTTCCACCGGCCTTCATTGACATGGTGATCCCATAAAAGACAGCGTCTTAAAACAACCACTTTTAGTCCGCAATTTCTTGGCAACGAGACGGCGTGTGGTTGTGTGACAGCTCGCTAATGTTCTCGCAGGCTAATGTCAACGAGCCTCTTGAGGAGGATGCTATGCTACGCAGCTAGCTAGCGTGTTAACAGTCGCTAGCCAAATTAGCAATCTGTACAATTCTCATTAAAACCGAAAATAATGATATTTTAAAAAGACAGCACGCTCAAGATGCCCTCTTAAAATAAACATGTGCGTTAGACCTCTTGTCAATTTACTTTGTAATCCGAACAAAAAAATTCGATTATTTCAAAATAGGGTTTGTAGCTAGCTCGGGTTCTTTCCGTTGCTAACAGTGAAAAGACCAAAACAGTCTGAAAGGGGACAAAAAAACAGCGGAGGGATATATGAAAGGCGGAACGTCTCCCAAAATGTAAGTCAGTAATTTCTCACTGGCTTATTTGAAAGCGATCTGTTTGCTAAACAGACAAATGTGGTGATATTTACTCAATCATTTTAGTAAAGATATTTTAATGATAATTTATTTTAAGGATTACACATACACCTTGGCACTATTTTCAGGAAGTCCATGAATCTCGAACGGCTGGTTAGTGGCATCCACGTGAGCCGGCGAACACACTACACACAGGGGCGGACAAACGCAATTTTACTAGCGACCAGTATCTACATTGATGGGAACATACAAAGCACTTAGAATCGAACACCTATGATCGAACCTAATTTTCACAATGTGCAAATAAAACACACACTGATTGACCCCAATTATCAAAAACTAATTCAAAATACTGTAATTGTCTTTGAATAGGGAAAAATATTCCTCAATGTTAAAATAAGTCCATTATTACATTTAGAATGATCACATATATTATGCCAGGAGGGCACTAAACCTCTACACTTAAACCATTTAATTGTATAGTCACTATTATTTTATGTAACATGATTACATGGAATTTGCTGCTTTTTTAAAAATAATATTAATGTTTTTTAGAAACATTAAAAGGCAGAGGGCACATGGTTGTACTGATGTTGCTGTAACTTCCTCCAGCAAAAAAAAAGGTGCATTTTCATATTATTTCAAACAGGACCAGACTATAATCAATATCTGTCACTTATTGAAAATGTAAATAGCATTATACAAATTCAAAAATACAAGTTGAGTTCAAAATCTGGAAGTATTAAAATAAAAGCAAGAATTTAGTCTGATTCGTTATTTAATCACATTCCATTATTGACAATGGTGTTTTCGAATATGTGCTATTTCATTTATTTGTTTGGAAGTAGTGTACAGGAGCAATATAAACTACGAGGGAGTCCCACAGGGGACTCATACTTAAGGATTATAATTTCATTGTTTATAAGTATTTATATATAACATATATACTTCTTGCTAATAGGGTTATATATGTATATGTGTGTGAATAATATATGTGTAATATTTTGGTATCTATCTGTTAACATATAGTTACAACTTTAAAAAATGTAACTTTTATTCTGGGAAAAAAATGTTTTTAAATGTGAACTCACAAAATGTGTTTTGTGAAAGACAATGGTCTTTGATTCTAATCAGGCACTCTACACGGGCTGCTATTGCGTCGTGCCTACTTCAGTTGTGTATTCTTATGACGAGTAGCAATGGGATTAGCAAAATTGCCCAGAGATGCAGGTATCTCCTTGGTCACCAGTGAAAACATTCTTCGCTAACCCCTTCTATCGTTTAGATATGTATATTGGCCTGCACGATATTTGCTAGTTAAGTATACTGCCTTACTAAAGAGGGCTTTAAGCGGGGTTAAAACTAACTTGTCTGAGCTAGCCTGCTAACGCGTGAACCCCGACGACATATTAAGCTGCCGGGAACGCGGTGTGCTCGTTGTATCAGATCAGTCAAGCCTTTTCTCGAGGACTGCGGTATTGAGATACCTTTACCCGTCATGTTAGTCTCTGGCGACTACCACTGAGGTATAACTAACTGTCATGAACGTAAGGGATCCGCTTATCTGTTAGCAAGCGAGCTAATAGCGACTGACTCAGTCTCCGGTGGCTTCGCAGCATTTCGCTGGCTAAAAATACCACTTTTACTCCAGTGGCCGCTTCGCCTCCAAAAACGCGTGGCTAGGAAACCTTGGGCACGTCCTCAGCTTTTCTGGTAACCTTACTAAGAGTTCGGCGCTCTACATGGTCACTACAGTGCATTTGAGACGACTGGAAGAGCGAGTCGGACCCCGAGGTTGTGAGCCGAGCTGGCCTGACCTAACGCTTCATCCTACCGGCTGCTTACGGGCTTCCGATATCCTGGAGGACCACGTTCGGCTCTGGCTGGTCGGTGGCCGAGTATCTTTTTGCTGTAATGGCCTTAACTTGTCATCAGTAGTATTATTATAAGCCTTGGCCCAACTGAGCTTTCTCAAAGCCGAAAGTTTGTACGAGTCGGAGGAAACTTTGTTGGCGCTGTCAGAGTTCGGCGACTGACTTCATCTGTGTGGAGCCACGCACCATGTCGGAGGATATCAACGCAGACAAGTTCATCAAGGTCAGGACATTGCAGATGTTGTGTCTTAACTGCTGAATTGCATTTATTTGCGCCAGCTGGTTATCTCTCAGCTGTAACATGTTTTAACAGTTTTTTAAAAGTCTTTCTTTCCACAGCAAATGTTTGAGACATGGCCTATGTGTATTAAAAAGCTGTACACACGTTTGACATCCTTGTGGATAGTCAGTCTTAACCAGGAACATTTTTCGTACTGTGTGGCCGTACTATTTGTTCCTGGCCTGCTCCCCTTATGTGTCACTGCCAAGGCATCTATGTCTGCAATAAAATGGGAGTGCTTTAGCACTCACTGGAGAACGAATAGCTGAGACTTACAGCTCATACTGTGAATACTCTGAGGGTGTTGTTTGGAAGAGCGTTTAGTGGGTCAACTTGCAAAACATGTGTTAGCCCAGACTCCTGTTATCTGTAACACAAATTCATGGTGGTAATGGGCCCTATTCTGCTCAACAAACTTACCCCAGAAGAGGTGGTGTCGAACTCAAGCATGCCTAGCCTTAATTTTTTGTATTTTATGCAGCTGATTTGATTGAATGTTTACATATCCAAACAGCCAGAAAGACTGGTGCATTTTAAAGATCTGGGACTCCAAAGGGCTTATGGGTTTTAGATGCATTCTCTGTAACCCACCAGTGAACCAAGGTTATATCAGACTCTTTGTTTAAACACATCAGATTGGACTTATCAGGCCAGTGGCACAAAACAATGTCATGGTGACCAAGAGCATTAGACACCCAAAGTTTGAAAAAAGGGAATAAATGATATTTTGCCTAATGCCCCCTGATTTTGAGGCGTTGTAACTTATTGTAAGCAGACACTGGAGTTTTAATTGCGTTGATTACATTAGTTATCCTCCTCCTTCCAGGGGAGCATCCTAATCCTCTGTATTGGCAGCAGTGGCTAATCTCCCACGAGTGCATGTGTTTTGTGGTTTTCTTTGTTTACAAATTATATTTGATAAGGATAATGTTGTTGTGAAGGTAGACAGCTGATAAAGAATACACAATATAATACTTGCCCAGCTCAGGATGACAGTATGCACGGCAGCTTATTTAAATAAATGTAATCAAAATCAGAATCCTTATTTATGACAGAAGTTTCAATTCATTTTCTGGGTACTGGTTCTTTTCCCCCTTTCTACCACTTTTTGGACTTTTTGTCACTCTTGTGCTCTGTCCTATAAACTCTTCACAGCCATGGGAGGTTAAGATGACATGTCTACCTTTTTTATTTAGGGGAAAACAAATCAGTATTCCTATCTGACTATCTTCCTTTTCTTAATATCTGATAAATGATCTCCTCTGGTTTGCATTTTGGTCAGGAGACATCCATTCTGGATGAGTACAACATAAACTGGACGCAGAAGTTGGGAGCTGGAATCAGTGGACCTGTCAGGTGAGTTAAACTCAACATTTCAGGTGGTTATGAGGTGTCCTGTGTCAGGCCCTCATTCTGGGCTGAAAGGGAAACTGTCATTCAAACCTGTAAATGAGCTATCTGCTGTTTTATCATGATGTTTGTTAGTTTGGAATGAATTTAAGGCAAAATCCACATTTTTGTCATGGGAAAACTGAATCTGTAAAGGCTGGCAAAAGTTTGTGGGTTTATCCAGCAGTTGCCCTGCCTGTGTTCAGGCTTTGTGCAGTTCAGTTTTAAGTTGTTCTGTGTGTTCCACTGATTCCAGCATGAAAAAAGGCAGTCATTTGTCAATCTTTGCTACCGGTTCCTTCTGCTCATTTAACGCGTGGAGCTATCATCAGGAGAGAGCAAGCCGTAATTTCATATGTGTGTGGTTTTAGCCTCAAGTGACAAGAATACTGAGAAATCGACTCATCGCCCCTCTGTGCAAACACACTCTGTGATTCATGCCACACTGTTTCTTTTTCAAGCTGCTCTTGCTCATCTTGTTTTTGCATTTGTCTCAGTCAGTATTCTGCTCTGATATTTATGAAAATGTTCACCTTTGCCTTACTCACCCCCTGCTGACTTACCATTGTATGGAATGACCCCCCCCCATCTAACCAAGTGATTCATTTAGTGTTAGTGGTTAATTCTTTCCAGTGGAGTGACCTTTGGCCAAGTTGTGTGTCTTTAGTTAATGCTTTAATAGGGTAAACTCAGTTCAAGGGTCAGAGGCTGCTTTCAAAAGGTATTTGGATCTTTGCAGGTTAGAGGAGGGGGAGTTTCCCAGAATATTAAATGTATCCTATATCAACACTGTCTGCTTCTAAAACTGTGTTCCTCTGTGACCCTGAAATTGCACATTACCCAAAATACAAAACATTGTTCCTAGTGGCAGCTTTGTGCTTCTATTAGGTCAAATTTTATTAGGAGTCGTATCAGCTTCTTACCTGATATGACTCCATACAGACAGCAGAGTTTCTGCTTTGAGGTCTCCCGACTCTTCCGGTTCTAAAAAAAAGTATTAGATAGAGGTCAGTTTTAAAACTCGCAGGATGTATCATTTACCGAGGCCCATCTGCTTGCCTTTTTGTGTTTACTTCTGAAGAGACGGGGAACAAAGCGGCCCGAGCGCAGCACAGGGGAGCTGTCAGCAGACGCCGCTTTACTGATTCTAGACACGACTTTTCATACTGACGAGCATTTGCATTGTGGGTTTGAACGACTTGTTTGTTGACTCTTGTTTTCTTCCAATTTAATTCAGAGTTTGTGTGAAGAAGTCAACTCAGGAACGCCTGGCCCTGAAAATCCTAATTGATCGCCCGAAGGCCAGAAATGAGGTTGGAGGAAACACTGTCATGGCTGTGATTAATCCCTGTTGTTTCTGGTGTCTGGCTGTATCAACATGCGCACGTCTGTCTGCTTGCTCGCGCTCAGTCTTCATTAATTCCTGTTTTTCTCTCCACGTCAGTCTGCCTCCTGCACTTCAGTCTGTTTGTGGGCACTTCTTTGTTCGTGACATTTACTTCTCAGGCAGCCTCTTTATGTCGTCGTGTTTTGATCAGGCCCCTTATAAAGCAGTCAAAAGAAGCCATACAGATCCCACATCACTAAGTCTCACTGCAGAATAGAAAAAAGTTACACTTACAAGCAAACAGACACAGACTTCTACCACCAAGCATCTTCCTTCTCAGATGTGCCCTGAAAACTGCTAAATGTGATTGCAGTGGTCATGAAAAAGATATGCACTGATTCTATGTTTTTGAATTATAAATACAATTTAATTTAAGGGACTTGTTTTTATTTAGCTTGTGTTTTAGCTGACTCTTCTACTTAATACAAACTAAACTGTCTTTGCATCCATGACATTTATGTGGATAGTTTCATGACTGACTGATGTTGGAGATAAGGCACTTTATGCACTTATTTGCAACTAAACCTTTGGGTAAAATACTTCTCACACAGTTTAATTTCTTTCATTATAGGTCCGTCTGCATATGATGTGTGCAAACCATCCAAACATCGTGCAAATCCTAGAAGTTTATGCCAATAGCGTCCAATTTCCTCACGAGTCCAGTCCGAGGTACAAAGCTCAGTTTTCTTTGCTGTCATTGAATGTTGCTGATGGTCCTTTTATTTTTTGTTTTTTTCCTTCTTTTTTCTTTTTTTTTTTAACAGAGCAAGGCTCCTGATTGTTATGGAGATGATGGAGGGCGGTGAGCTCTTCCACAGAATCAGTCAGCACAGGCACTTTACTGAGAAAATGGCCAGTCAGGTCACCAAACAGGTAGAGGAAGTCACACCCACTACATACTAAAGGCCTTTTGTCTTGTCTTCGTCTTTCTTTTCCTTTTAAATATTTCCGTGGATGATAACATGACCTGCAGCCTCTGCGAGTTCCTTAGCAGCCATCTCGGCAGTGACAGATTATTCAAAGTGGGTGAAAAAAGATCAGCTCAGTGGTTATCTCTGTCCCCTGCAGATTAGCCAGGCGTTGGAGCACTGTCACTCCCTAAATATTGCACATCGGGACCTGAAACCAGAGAACCTGCTCTTCAAGGATAACTCTCTGGTAAGCGACCAGAGGGCATTGTTTGCACATGCAGGTGGATAATATACTGCAGCTCTCAAAGTGTGCCAGTACAGCCAGAGCTGCAACATCAAAATACAGCAGGCACCACAAAAGAGACAGCAACGCCAGACTGTATGCATTCTCATTGGATTTTCATGTGTCTGCAGGATGCACCTGTGAAGTTGTGTGATTTTGGCTTTGCCAAAATTGATCAAGGAGACTTGATGACCCCCCAGTTCACCCCTTACTACGTAGCACCTCAGGTAACGATATAATATCATATTCTAAAATCAGAAGAAATCTGCTTGCCTATGCGACACTAATCTCACGGTTGTTGCTTCAGGTTCTTGAGGCTCAAAGAAGACACCAGAAGGAAAAATCTGGAATCATACCTACCTCACCAACTCCTTACACATATAACAAGGTAAGACTACTAAAGATTCACCTTTCCTCTTTGCAACCTGATCGGATGTCTTCAGCCTGCGTTTTCTCATCACTGTTGATTGTATCTCTGCAGAGCTGTGACTTGTGGTCTCTTGGTGTTATTATCTACATAATGCTTTGCGGCTATCCGCCGTTCTACTCGAAGCACCACAGCCGCACTATCCCAAAGGACATGAGGAGGAAGATAATGACAGGCAGCTTTGACTTTCCCGAAGATGAATGGAGCCAAATCTCTGAGATGGCCAAGGACATAGTCCGCAAGTAAGTCTTTGTGTTCTCTTTGCAACATTCCTTAAACTCTACATAGAAGTGGATTTGGAGCGGGATGCATTTTTCAGTTTTGTTGCCTTTGATGGTTGCTGATCATGTGAAAAATGGAAAGGAATGACGCGGAAATCATTAATTGGATTTCGGCTTCCTTATGTTGATTCATCAGATCCCTCTGTTCTCTCCTTGCCACTAATACCCGGGTTATCTGCTTCCTGCAGGCTGTTGAAGGTAAAGCCAGAGGAAAGGCTGACCATTGAGGGAGTCCTGGCTCATCCGTGGCTCAACTGCACCGAGGCCCTGGACAACGTGCTGCCGTCCGCACAGATGATGATGGACAAGGTCAGCGGGAAGTCGTTTCTGCTTCTGAACGAACTGAACAGAAGAAGAAACGTGATAGTTTTGACGTGCACTATGTTTGTTTTTTGTTACTGTTGCTGCTGAAAATAGGGCATTTTTTTGCCACTACTTGCAGGTTTAATGTGTGCAATGTCTTTTAAACTGAGCTGAGACTGTTACTGTGAGGAGTGTGGAAAGTATTCTTCGGATTGTGTCCCTGCTGTTGTTGCCATCGCTCTGAGCCGACTCTAGCAGAATCATAAAAATGGGGCAAAGCCTAAGGTGAAAATCAGATGTGATGCATCTTAAGGCTGATCGTGAGGCTATGCTCTGTCTTCCAGGCGGTGGTTGCAGGTATTCAGCAGGCCCACGCAGAGCAGCTCGCCAACATGAGAATTCAGGATCTGAATGTCAGCCTGAAGCCCCTCAATTCCGTCAACAACCCAATCCTCAGGAAGCGCAAACTGCTGGGGTAGAGTCTCTTCTGATATATAACTGTTTACCCCTGTGTTTCAGGGATACATATATTGCCACTCACATTATCATTGCAGTTGTGATGCAGGGTGATGTGGAAATGATTTCTGCTGCTATTTATTTGTTTTGTTTTTTGGCTTTCCTGATGTTCCCTCGTGTCTTTGTACTTAAACTTTGTTACTCTGTTTGTTGCAGCCCAAAGCCCAGTGACAGTTTATTCATTCATGACCCAGAAAACGGAGGAGAAGACTCTAACGTAGCACTGGAAAAACTACGAGATGTCATTGCTCAATGCATACTACCACAAGCCGGTCAGTCAACCCGCACAGGTCATCATTCCTGACTCTCACTGCACAGAGTGTCCACAGGGCAATAATGAACACATGATGTCCTTTATCTCAGATTATGTCACGATGTGAAAGTCACACAGCTGAATTTCACTTATGAGCTCATGGGTTATCTCTACCTTGAGATATACTTTGTATCAGGAAGGAAGCAATTTCCCAAAATGGCCTGACAGTTTTTTTTTGTTTGGCCAGGTGAGAACGAGGATGAGAAGCTGAATGAGGTGATGTATGAAGCCTGGAGGTTCAACAGAGACTGTAAGCCGCTGCGAGACGGCCTGCAGGGGCTTAGCTGGGACGGTTCGTACCCGTTTTTTATTTACCTTTTTTAAAAGAAAAAAGAGGTCAAGATGGCAGTCTCATTCTATATGCAAATGACAGTAGTTTTTATGCAAATCAAGCAAAATCCTGCTCTACAGGTTTTTGTATATGATGTACTCAGCTGAGTGTCTGTACCTTCAAACTAAACAAACAAGCTTAGTGGTGGGTGGTGGCTCTGCTTAATTTCTTATTTCTGTGACAAAGTCCTTAACCCTGAGCGCTTTCATTGCAGGTCGAGCCTTCTCTGATAAAGTCGACCGCTTGAAGTTGGCCGAAATAGTGAAACAGGCCATTGAAGAGAAGACGAATCTAAAAGAGTCTCATTAGCGAGCGCTGTCTTTCTATCCTCTTTTTATATGGTTTATTATGACCCTTTTTAATCCATATCTGTAAAAAGGCTTTTTTTTATGTCAATGGATGTGATAATTTTTTTTTCTTTCATAAAATCACTTGCAAGACCTGTTATTGAGCTATTGCAAGAGCTATTGTACAGCTGTAGATATGTTTCAGAAGACTCATTGGTACTATCATTTCTTTTTTACAGACAGTTGCAAAGAACATGGAAAAAATATATTTTCATTTTTGCTAAAAAAGAAAAAAAACTAAAGGAAATCTGTGAAAGAAACTATTTTTTGGGAGGGAATTTTTATTAGCTGCTTATATAGGATGTTGTGTTTTATCCCATTTGTTATTTTAACCATGCTAAGACTTTTATTTATTGAAACAAAACGAAAAAAATCCAATATTTTGTACCTATTTTGTAGCTTGATCGTGGGCTCTAAAGGTTAGAGAAGCTGTCTATGACGTGACTTTGTTCTTCCACACACTCTGCCTACTGGTTAATATATCATTGTGCAACTTTTTCCTTGACGTGTCGAACCAAGAGGTCGAGGGGGAAAGGGAAGAGTCTTCAAAATGGCGAGAAAGTGTCATAAAGCACAAAAGTGCTGCATCCTCTTGCTACAGACCCTCACTTAACCCATCCAGACCTGAACACAGTGTTAGGACACATACAAGCAGCCTCCAAAAAGCTGAGACCTCTCTGAAAGCTGTGAGAATCCTCATGATCCACTAGAACCTTTTAGTATTGGTAAAACGATGAATCGCTTCAGGCGTGAAAGGTAAACACACACACACACTTTGCTGAGTTAGACGGGTAGATTTCTTTCATCAGGTCTTGATGGGTTAAACTACGAGATCCACACAGATAATCATTATAGGGCTGGACAATGTCTTGAAATGGTCAGTTTTTCACCGCCGCTCGTAGAAGATGTGGTGAAATCACCGGTTTGCTGTCGATTCATATTCATTTCAAACGCTGGACAGGTTCTAATCTCAATCTTCACTGTTTTTGATCGGTGGAACTGACGCAATCCGAGCTACTTTAGTGTGAAGTTGCATCCGCTGGAATTCAGACCTCCGTGGTTAATAATTTATCTCTACTAGTTGTTACTTGAGCAAACGGAAACACGAAGCTGCCTGGCGTTTTCAGGGCCACAGTCACTCGTCTTCACGGCTGTAAAGACCTGCTGGAAGGCCCGGTAGGATTTCACTCATGAATAACCCGTTAACAAGTCTCCTCTGTCAGTATTATTGTCTAGCAGACATCTACTTCATTTCAGTGATCTGAACACAAGTCAGCTGTCCCTCCCTTAATGTCATGTAAACGCGCCAGACTGGAATTTTACAGACTGGTTTTTCTTCCCTACACCTGTGAAATCCTAACTATGCCTGATATATGACTGCAACAGTCACTGTTTGGTTGTCATATCGGATTTTTTTTAAGGTATGGAGGGGGTTGAAAGAACGCCGTTTTAAAAGTAAGGCCACGTTGAGTCTACTGAATAGCACTTTCATAGCTACAAATGCATGTGTTCTTCTTCAGTTCATTTTGAATCCATCACTTAGTCTTTTGTTCCATCTTATTTCCTTAAGTATCGCTACATTAACTGTGTTTTAAGCTAAATGAAATGGTGTCTCTCCTTAATAATTTGCAAATGTCTATGTGAAAGATCGTCTGGTCCAATGTAACCGTTTCAGCTGTTGCCATCCTCCGATGAATTGAAGGAGTGCATCTACCTTGATCTAGGCTACCTAAAACCATAAAAAAGATCTCATTGTCTTGCCTGCTAGCTAAAGGCCTCATAGCAGAGCAGATGTTTATGTAGGAAAATGATTACCTAAGCGGACTGGCTTCAAAGATATTAAGTTAAGTTATTGTTAATACTCTGCAATTGGGAGAGATCATGATGACTGTTTTCTCCCCGAAAAGCTCAATTACACCCACAGCTCTTAAAAGGCCTTATAAATATGTGGCTGAGTGCATGCTCCAATGTGCCTTGTCAAAAGGGTGCCACTTATTTCATCCTTTACTGCTTACATTAGTAGAAACGCATCACATAAAGACCTTGAAATCCAGTTTAAGCAGTAGGATGTCTACATTGTGATTTGCTGGTTTTTATGTGAATGTTTTCATTCCACTGTTTGCAAATGACTTGTTTTTTTTCTTTTAAACCTTTTTTAAAATCCTGTATTTCTTAACTGAAATACTACAAAAGCAAGTTACAGCAAAAATCACCCAATTTCCTTATAGTACGATAAATATTAAGCTATAGTTAACTACCGATTAATCTTCCCTTAACAAAGACTAGAAACGGCGTCAATGATGGCCTGCCTTTATTCAACTGCTTAAAAAAGACCGTTCACATGCTAAACTAATTCATTTTTATATTTATTTATTTATTTAGTCTATCTAAAAAAGTTTAGTTGAGAAATATTTATAAAATACCAAAAGCAGTAATTGCTTCCTTATAACAACCGTCTCCTCTGGTTGACTAGTAATGGATCCCCCATTAAACAGAGACGAGCAGTTTTGGTCAGCCTGTTGGGGAACTTCAAATCCTCTAACTTAAACAGATCCAAATGTTCTGGATGATTAGAAGAATCAGCCTCACAGAATCTGGTTGTATGTGTGGTGTTAATATGCAAAACGTCCTTATATTTAAATAACACTTGGGGCTTCGTCAAAGCGTTATTCCAGAAGTGCAGCGCAGTTTGATACTCATATTGGGAATGTATCCAGACACTGATAGTCTCCACGGTAAAAGAGAACGATGCAAACATACAGTCCCGGTGAAAGAATTGGTGATCTCCTCTGTGCTTCTCAGTCTGGGTCAGTATTACTTAAGAGGACAGGTATTTCGCCTGCCACCCTTCTGAGTAGTTGCTGCTGCAGGCTGTATTCAGATTTATATATTTTTCACTAATATCTTTTCTGCCCATATAAAGAGACTTATCTGAGCTTTTCCTACACAGAATCTTGTTTTGAGTGAATAACTGCACCTCTTTTCAATACCAGCTTATTAACATGACCTTAAAGGCAGAGGTGCGTTCAGCTGCTTCCTTTTCCTCTGCTATAGATATGTTCACAGCGGAGGTATTTGAGTTTCAAGTGCTTTGTTCTTTGGTTTTGGCATCTAATTGGTTTTATTTCCTCGGAAGTGGGTGTTCCTGTTCGCCAGTGGGAAATGTTTAGGAGATTAAATCATGTCAAAGCTCTTAGCCTTTGCCTCACTCTTTACTTTTCCTCCGGCGTGGCCGTTATGTAGCATGAAGCCCACAAAGACTCGCCGTTTTTCCTGTCTGTACACATAGTTGTGTTCTGCCTTCTTGGAATGTCATCAACATGCTGAATTTGTAATAAAAGAATACATTGGATTACATTTAATGTTGTCGTTTAATTATTCTGTATCACATTGCTCAGGTAATAGTTACCTTCTCCAAAGAAGTTACCAAAGAAGTTCAAACTGTATGTAGGTAATGCTAATGACACATGAACAGCTTGTTTTTTTAACGTCTTTTATTGTAGACAGAGTGTGAGAAAAACAAAGAAATTGACCAACGCAAGACAAGGCATGCACACTCATACACAGCCAGAGTCACAGGCTTTGCTGTACATATTTAAGGCACTTATTTTATCTTTATTGGACACAGCAATAAAACCTGACATTTTCTCCCAGGATGGGAGAATTTAACCATCAAAAGCAAGAAATTGTAGAGTAAAGTCTGTATCATGGCGTCTTTAGGTGCACCTATTTTTTAAAAAGTGAACTGGTGTTCAATGCCAGTGGAAATGTTAGACTGAAAATACAAAGATGATATAGTTGAGTTTCCACAGATCAGTGTCATGAAAGTTTATAATTTAGCATAACGTCCCCATTCATGCACAAGTGGCACCCTTAAATTCAGTTTTAAGAATGTAATCCAGGAATGCGTTTCACTTTCAAATCCCAATTAAAGGGGAAACATTCCAGTAAAATAAACATTTCAATGCCTCCCAATGGACACGCAAGTGGTTGAGCTGTAAGCTGCAAAATGTAGTTTCCAGTTTAATTTCAGGGTGTAGTTTTATAACTTAAGCACAGCTTGAAGACTTAACACAGACCATAGTCAATCCCGTAATCTTCACTGGCACTTTAATTCCCATTTTAATAGGTTAAATGTAATCCGTATGTGTGGAATGTGTCTCTTAAGAGCTCTGGTCCCTTTTACTGCACAAGTGTGTTCCTGATGCTCTTCATGATAAATTCCCTACACGTGGAAATGCACTTCGCAAAGCAGAAGACCTGTAAATCCATTTAATTCAGTATTTTGAGAGTCACACTGAAGAGATATGGTGGGCTGAGAACTAAAGTGTTTGTACACAAATAATCGAACTAAAATGGAGTTAAAGAAAATCCATTTTAGGCCTGAAATAAAACTCTAAAGTCCCACACCCCCCACAAACGCATGGTAGATAAGTGACAGTGTTTTGGCAGGGTTGGCTCAGTCCGAGTCCTCATCATCCAAATACTCCTCAGCATTGCTTTGTGTGCGGGTCAAATCTGGAACAAGAAAAAAAGAAGTTAGTGGAGAAAATTTGAGTTAAATCTCTACCCTCACATTAATATTGTATCTAAATACTTAGTATCAAAGAAAGTTTTAAAAAGTGGGAGATTCGCATTGGAGATCCTACTGCTGCAAATTAATTTAGAGTCTGAATATGAATATCCTATTCATCTTTTTTACTCTCTTTTTTAAATATTCTAACCAGTATGTGTTTTACCCTGTATATCAACATGATTAGGGAAAACAGCTCAAACATTTTACAAGTAGCATTTAAGTTCTGCATTGTTTGAATGAGGTGAGGCTCGTTTTCTGTCCATTTGGCATTGCATGTGAGCGGAGGCAACCTTAGCTGTCAGCTGAACTTACTGCTTCCCTGTTTCCTTTTGAGAAGGGAAGCACACTGGGCGTTGGTGGCCATCTCCAGAGCAAGTTTATTCTCGTTGTTTTTTATGTCTGTCCTCGCATCTGAAACAAACATTTCACATGAATGATCGTTAAAATTAAAAATCTTAACCTTCAAAAAGCTAAGAACAGATGAAACACTGTAGCTGGCCAAGTATGTTTTTTCAGATTCTCAGATGAGGAGTTAATAAATCGTAATCAAGCTTTCTTTCTTTGTCTTTTCCTTATTCAGTTTTAATATAATTCAAGATAAAAATATGAACCTGCAGGCTGACATCTTTTGAACTTACTCTTGTTAAGAAGCATTTCCACAATATCAGAATAACCCTTCCAAGAGGCAGCATGAAGGGCAGTGTCTCCCAGTTTATTCTACAAAAACAAAACATCATTATATATATATATATATATATATATATATATATATCATAAGACAAGCAAAAACATCAAGAGACAGACACAGAGGCAAACAACTACACACTTGCACTGGTAGGGACACTTTATAGTGTCCAATTAACCTGACATGCATGTTTCCGGATGGTGGGAGGGAGCGGGGGGACACAGGGAGAACATGCAGAACGGCCCCTGGTCCCACCGGGGCCGGAGCTGACTGCTGCTCAGTTCTCAAACAACCAAGTGCGGTTTTTTTCCGGCTGGACTACAGTTTCTATAAGTTATATACTCTATAATAGTTTTATTTTAGTTCATAATTCAACGTTGATATCGGCACACAGTTTTGTTGAGCATACATCTTACCAGCTGAACTCACTTATCTTAAACTCTTCAGCATGGCAGAGCATTTTGCTCATCAGGAGGAAAACCTAATTTAAATCTGTGTCATTTTAAATATTTTCAATTTAGCTTGCCCTTTTTTTCCTAGCTCACATCAGGATTTTGGTTGCTCCTTGAAAGCGTGCATGGTGTGAAGAATGCATTAGGTGCGTGTTTCTTTTGGTGTGTGCACATTTATGGATCTGGCACCTTGTTATGTAGCACAGTCCAGTGGTTTTTCACCCACTAGCGAAACGGCAAAAGTCTTTTAAGGCTCTTCTCACCTGCTGGTTGAGCTCCACATTGGGCTGGCTTAGCAACACCTCCACAACATCTGACAGAGCGATAAAAAACAAAGCGTTTTTCACACATATCTGATGTTACTTATGTAACCAACACATCAGAATAATGGAGGCCAGGTGCCAACTTCCTTTTTTTGTGAGGCTCACTCCTCAGGCAGAGCCGTTTGGCTCCGTTGTCAATTTTAGGCTCATGAAATCACATTTACTGCTGAAGATTCACTGTCTGCTCAGGAAACATCCAGTTGTGACCTCTTTCTGGTTACCTTTATGTCCCCCGTGGCATCCCCAGTAGAGGGCAGTGTTCCCTGCCTTATCCAGCCCATTGATTCCAACCTTGTTCTCCACACATTCCCTCAGCCAGCTCAGATTGCCTGTTTAAATAGCAGTGCACAAACGTATTTTAGGTTTGCTCATGATTCCAGTGCAGGAACAGACAATAAAAGGAACAAATAAGAAGATAAATACAGAAAACATAGGGATGTTTAATGTCTGGTGGCCATACCCCGTTTGGCTGCTTCATGCATTGGATTGTCAATGGATTCAGCCTGCTCAGCCACTAAAAAACAAAAGCATCAGCGTATTCATTAAGATTCATCCTGTGCCACTCAGTGCTATTGCATTTCTTTCCAAACACAGCATGTGAGAAATAATTTACTCACCATAGTTACTAGGAATTAGTCCCGTCCTTCCCCTACATGTCCCCTTCCACCAATTAGTGTCACTCTGAAAATGACACAAAAACAGAAGCATGTTTTCCCCCGAAAAAATCACAATACAAATTAGTAGACATTTGAGAAGGGAAAAATAAGAAGGGGAAACTAAGGCAGACAGAAATGCCTAAAAAAAGATGGACAATGGATATACTAAGCATATAAGAGAAACACAAAATGCAACGAGTGCAACATCATAATAGGAAGAGGAAGAAAAACTGCATATTCAAAGTCAGCAGCAAACAAGAATTTGAAGAGGAAGGGAGTTTTAAATTTCAAGCTTCTACTTACTGTGTCAGAGATGTATAAAATGTCTCCTTCTTCAAAGTACAACTCATCTGGCTGAAAAACAAACATGTGACATTTTCACTCTGTGGTATTCTGGTCATTTCAAGTCAACACTTGTTTTTCTGCTGTTTTATTACCATTAAAAAAAATAAAATTATCATGACATCTTACTATATAACCCAGGGAGGATGTGAGAGCAGGAACTTCTCATTTAATCAGCAATTTAGTGGGTTTTTGTTTTTTTGATAAAATGAAAATCTTAAACCAGATAATGGACCAAGTCCTCCTAAGTAGTATTTCTCAATCATGTTTTCTCAATGCTGAGATGTGCTTTTCTGTCCTTTTTCACAGAAAATCTTTGTTTTGAATACTAAAGCAGTTAATAAAAGGAACTTAATCACAAACTTCATATTCAGGAAAATTCAATATTGATAGTTTTCTAAATTGTTGAAATGAAGGAGAATATACTATGTAATAATAATCAAATCCGTTCTTTAAACCACTTTAGATGGATTTCTTTTATTATTCTATCCATCTGTATCAAATCATAGAATGATTTCAGAGAACGCATCAATAGAATTAATTAATGATCAATCAAAGGACATTTTGAAGCTTGGGGAAGAAAAAAAACAACTTACTGTTCTGGGGTCAAAGGTGAACAGTGCCCTAAACACCTTGACTTGGCCTAGTAGAGAGACAGAAAACATGCATAGTAGGTTATATGAAGGATTTGTATACCACTGGACATCACTTGTGTTTGCAGAGGAGCAGAGATCAGAGCACACTGCGTTTGAAAACAGATTACAATGCACTCCATGCTACAGAAACACCAGCTCAGGTTCTCTCCTGCAGCAGGCCGTGCAGTTTAATGTGGTCAAATAGTCCTATCAGAGTGATACATCAGAGAACGGCTGATCTTCTGTGATGCAGGGAGAAAGAAGGGGTCCTTGTGTTAACTAGGTTGCTCTCTGGGCCCCAGGCGTTTGTTGGATCTGCAGTTGGAATGCCACCAGTGTAGTTTTGGCCTTAAAGTCAAACTGAACTAGTTAACAGAGGCCCTCAAACAGCTTACAGACTCACAACTGAGCCTTTTAGATATTTGATGGGAACCATTTAATTCACAGACTACACAAAACCAAAGCTACAGATGCATGCTGTATAGCATATTTGAACAATAAACACGTGGTTTACAAAACAGATTAACTGGCCCACCATCAGCTTTTGTTTCAGGTTGACAAAACAGAATCACTATGAAGGTAACATCTCTTGATTTACATCAGGGCTCTAGATTTATATTGCTCACTTCTTTATCCTGACTTCCTTTTGAAAGGTGAGTCACGCCCTTATCAGCCAAGTCAACAACAGACTTTAAAACTGAGCACAACCCGGGCCTCACATTCTGACTGCGCACCTTTATTAATGCTTATGCCGCCTCATTTTACGAGTTAATCTAACGCTAAACTTTTCAGTTCGCCGATCAATTACTGTTTGCCACTCAGAGGGGCTTGGGCGTCCTCTGTTCCTTCTGTGGTTAACCTCACCGGCCTAACTTTGAACGGTTGTGACTCCCCTCTGCCGTTGCGCTGGCTTTCTGTTTAGCTAACGCACAGCTTCAGAGTGTCGGAGCCTCAGCACAGGACCAGCTCTGTTCAACACGCCAAACACGTCTCCTGGGCAGGCCTGGTCATGCAGCTACAAACACACCAGAGCCTGTGCTGACTGAGCGGGGCTTTCGCTGCATTTCAAACCCTCAGGCATGTATGAGGAGAAGCTAAAGATATGAGGAGTGTGATTTATTTCTACCTTTTCATTGCATCATCTTAAATCTAGTCCTGAGAATAAAAAAAACATGTCTGCTCCTGGAGGCTCCTTGGTTTTCCCCCTCTGCCATAAGCCCCAGAAAACAACATAACCATCCAAGCATCTCATGTTTTTGAAGAAGGATTGTGCAGGTGTCTTTTTACATTATATACTTTATACTGAATCTTAAATCTAAAGATTCAGACGAAACACCCCTACAACCTAAATATGAATACAATGCTCATGGTAGGTCAGACCAAAGGCTATTTAAAGATATCATACTTTGCATGAAGTACAATTCCAAATTTTCTGAATCAATCTTCTATATTTCTAACCAGCTGTATTTCTAACTATTTGCTTATCACAAGCCAGTCAAATGATAGAACGGTAATCCTTTGTAAAGAACCAAATGCTAAATGTGCGCCACCACATACAGCATTTACTGGAGGCTAATCATAACGAAAATCTATTATGTAACCACAACTATTTGTGATGTTGTCAATGCATCAGGATCACAATTATCTTAATTTGCTTTTAAAAACAGTTGAACAAAATGGTGTTTCGCCAGATTTTTTTCAACATTTAATAGAGCCAGTTGACTACCTTTTTCAGCTCAATCCTGACGAAGCATATCTGCCATGTGCATTTATTTTTGTTTCAAGTCAGGTCCTTTTCTTCTTTTTAGCAGCCTTATATTTTAATGCCAGTGGCAAAAAAGAGAGAATGATGAACTGCTGTCTGCTATGACAAATAATCTATTAAGAGTTTCCTAATAATGGCAGCTCGTGGTGTCATTCTCTCAGTCTCTTGGCTGCATGTGAATGAACTCATTGGATGCATCAGTCATGACAACACGAAGCAGAGCAACTTGGCCAAATTAGACTAAAGGCTTTTGCGAAGAAAACTAATGAGCCATCTGTCACAGTCAGGAGGCACAAAGTCAACTCATTAATAACCAGGCGTGTGACGGATACTGTTTAAAGCACACGCGTCCTACACAGGCGAGCATTTCTGTTTTGTAGATCTTCCCCTTCAGTGTGACGAAGATTGAAATGGTTGTAGTTTACTTCGTGATGTAGTTCAGAACTGCCAACTTCTGTAAATAATTTGATGAAAGAACTTGCATTCTGGGATGCACATGGATGTCAAGGGGACATCCATGTGCCTACCTAAACACGGTGGAGGGGTTCCCCTCACCTCTTAACACCGCATCTTAACACTGGATCTAATAGCATATACGAGAAGCAAGCCCAGGACATGAAGGCCCCCATTCAAAGCCACACGATCTAATCTAAAGGATCCTTAGCCAAGCTCCGAGAACAAGACGACCAAACTTTTGCTGCACTGAGCACTTTAGGCAGGACGAGGAGAGCATTTTGTACACAATGCCACCTGCATTCTGTGGCTATAAAACATGCATATAGTTAAAACAATGTTAGATAGGAATTTACTACATTTGAGATGCTAATGACATCGAATTTTAAAAAACTACCTTGCAAAAAGCTTTAATTTGATAATATTCCTATTTCTGCCATTCTGAAAACTCATTTTAGTTTCACTAGTGGGAAAAAATATACATTTTACAGCCAAACTTGTTTAGTTTTGCACACAATGACTTAGTTAAGACGGTTAAGTGTGACAAATCAATTCAGTTGGAATTAAGACCATAGTTTTGTACTTAAAAAATAAAATGTATAGCAAAAATAATGACTAATCAATGGCCCATTTGCTCTGCATTGATCTGCTTTTTTAACATTTTAGTTAAATGATTCGTTTGAGGGAGATGTGAACAGACACGTTTTCGGGAAACCAGAGGAATATCTCTGACCACAGCATCACCTCGCCACTGAGAATGGCATCATTCTTCGTGGGCTGCATGAGTGATGGAAATAGGGAAGTGACAGAGGCCCGCGACTCTAGACTCAATGTCCCAGCAACTCGGCAGGGAAAGTGAGGCAGCGCTTTCATGAAGACACCCTCCGTACTCTTTTAGTATGTGGTACAAATGTAAGTGGCCACGAATCACATTCGAACGCCTTTTATTTCATATTGTTGCTAAAAACTTTCGCAGACAAACGACAGACGTCACTCGTTCCTGTTGAGTGCTCAACGCCCGCCCAATTAGCCTACATCCCCGACAAGGTGCGCTGTAACAACACACTCAAAGTTTTGTAGGTTTCTGCTCAAGTAAAAAAAAAAAAAACGAACCGCGTAGCGTAAGCCCTACCTGGCTTTGCCGGCTTGGGAGGAGGCTTCGACATCTGTGAGTCTAAGAGTAAAGAGAGGAGAAGGGCGATGTGAATCCTCAGCTGGAAACGTCGCTGGACCGTGGGCCAGTAAGTAGCAAACTCTCCCAATGAGGAAGTCTGCTTACGCGGAAAAAGTTGTTCTGCGCATGTGTGAAACCCCCAACAGTTCCACCCATAGACATATGTACGTATATCAATATCTATATATGTCTATGGTTCCACCGAGGAGAGAAATAGATTTAGTTTTAAATTAAGAACTCACTTTACACATGTACCTAATCATATAAATGAACTTTGCATGCATATTTGAATGGGCTTGTATTTTTTAAAATATATACTGAACATAGTAATTAAGCATTTTAAAAGAAATTACATTCAAAATATTGCTATATCGATGTTTAGTTATTTATAACTACTCTTAATGTTTAATGATGTGCTTTGTTCATGAATCCTGGAATTAAACAACATTTTAAGCGTACTCTTGAATCATTTGTTCTTCATTTTTACCAGTCTGTGTTCACTTATGCCTCTTATTTAATTCTGCATCTCTGTGAACTTGAATAATTTATCAGCCACTAACTGATAGCCATTTTTTTCAATGGACACGTCAATAGTGACGTAATATCTCTTTCAGCGAATCACGAGCGTCCCCCGGCGGAAAAACACGAGCGAGAGCAGGCCACGTTCAAGAATTTGTTAATAATAATGCCCGTTTCTTAGTAAAGTAAGATCCGGTGTTTTGTTTTGCTTTATCCACGTGTTCCAGTAACTTTACAGTTTGCAGTTGCAACTGACGGAAATGAAGACTCTGATTATTGGAGTTGGCGGGTAAGTAAGTCTGTAAGGCTGAAAACATCAGTTTAAGTGATGACCTCAAAACATTTTGGCTCCAAAAAAAGCGTGTTGGGCATGGGATAAACAGGCAAGCTTGCCTATTTCGTAGATGCAATTTTATCCAAGAAATGCTGTTTTAGGAAACAACATGACATAGAGACGCTCTTAATTTGTGTTAGTGTAATAACGTCAACGTGCATGGGACACTCGGTAGGCAACATGTGATTACCATGTAGCTAAAAGGGCTGATAAGACTTGTTTACTCTTCAGAGGGAAAAGTCAGTGGTCTGAGAGACAAAGTGAAAAACTGTCAATGGTATCTTCCTAACTTTGAAAGCGAATGGCTGATTGGACATTAACACTAGTTTCTAAATCTTACTAAAGGATAAGATTTAGAATTCTCAAATTTCTTACAAGTAATTGCTCTTATGCTAGCGCTTATGAATTGGTAAGAGTATATGAAAAAAACACCTCAAACAGACTCTCTACCTGAGCAAAATTTGCATTTGTATTTCTTAACTGTTGTCTTTTCATGCAGCTTTAATGATTCTTTATGTGTGAATTTACTGTTTTTTCATCAGGATGACCAATGGTGGAAAATCTACCCTTTCCATGAGCCTTCATAAGAAAATCTCCTGCAGCTGCATCATTGCGCAGGATTCTTATTTTAAGGTGAAATGCTCTGCTTCTTTTTCAGAGGAGTTTTAACAGCTAGGATTATTGCTGGCAGTTTTTTATTTGTGTGTTTTTTCAGCATGATTCTTTGGTACCAGTGGACAGTAATGGGTTCAAGCAGTATGATGGTAAGAACTTTTGCATTTGTTGTTGAACAAATTAATATTCAGTTTTAGAGTATATTTTATTTAATAATATTTAGGTTAAATTGTTTAAAAAAAGAGAAAAATACACAAGCTGGAACCAAACAAATCAACATAATGTTTAATGAGTTATCAAACACTAAATGAATCGTCAGTACTTCATTCAGTATCCATGCCGACTGTCATACTTCTGTTTCAGTGCTCGATGCTTTGCACATGGACAATATGATGAGAGAAATCAACTCGTGGCGAACAGATCCCGAGTTGTTCCTGAGGCATCGAGGCCTGATCCCCGAGCCTTCATCCACTGATAAGAAGGTGTACGTTCTGATTGTGGAGGGTTTCCTCATATTCAACCACAGGTAAACTGACCCTAGATCTGCTAATAACAACCCCTGCATTTTTCCAAAGTTGGTGTGATTTAATAGACGACCTGTACTTTACAAGCAAACTATCAGTTTACACCACTGATGCATTCAGTCAACATGAAATAAACAACAAAATCCACCATTTTTAGTAAGACTTCTTCCGACAATCTCATTTATCTTCCCAGGCCTCTGAATGACCTGTTCGACAAAAGATATTTTTTAGAAATACCGTATGACGTCTGTAAGAGGAGACGAAGGTAGGCTCTTTGGTTACTTCCATTGTCAATAGTAATTTATGCATTTTCTTCAAGCGGTCAGGATGGGAAATTTGACCTTTGCTACTGTAGTTCCAGGGTGTACGCCCCCCCTGACCCACCCGGCTACTTTGATGGATATGTGTGGCCAATGTACCAAAAAAACCGCCATGAGATGGAGAGTATTGTATCGGAAATCGGTAAGGGGCGTGTCAAGGAGGCTGTATGTGCAATTGTTGGGTGACAGTAATGATGATACTGTTGATGAGATAAATGTGTTCTTAATTGATCAGTTTGGCTACAAATAAGCGTGATAAAAGATCATGATATTGTCACTGCAACTGCTCTGCTGTCATTTGCTTAACTGTTTAATAGAGGATAAATCAAAGCCATTGCCTGTTTATTAATTTATGGCCTGTTTATTATTTATTGCTATCCCAAGTGTTTCTGGATGGTCTGAAGCCAAAAGAGGAGCTGCTGACTGCTCTGCATAAAGATGTTGTTCAGGAAATAGACAGACTCCGAGGTAAGGCTGCTGCATGATAACTGAAGCTAAATGGATTTTTGTCCTTGGGACTACTTTCATTTTGAAATATTTCCATTTGTTGACACTGTCCTGGGATTTTTATAAACATAAAACGTGTTTAATTATTTAGAAAAACTTTAACTATGTTTGAATATATGCAAAAAGGACAAAATTACAGGGAAATAAAGGTAAAAACATTCTGAAACACTAAATTCCATGAAAACATTTTAATAAAATGTATGTTGTTTGTTTTCTTTGCAGAGGAAGACTGAGGTCTGAAACAATGACCACTGGAAGATGGAGCCTGCTTCTCTCTGCTCTTCTTATGAATTCATGTGCCTGGGAAAGGACCAAATGTGATGTGACTGTTGTGCTGTGGGAATATCTTTAATGTATATCTGATTTTTTATATTTTATACAACAACAAGCCTTCCTTTCTAAACTGTCAGGTACTTTTTCCCCCTGTGATAACCCATCAGCAGCGATCCACAGATTCATGTGGCCTCTATGAGTGTCCCATTGCTCAGGACGGTGGATCTGAAGGTGATGGTGGATTGTGGTTTTAAGGTGGAGTCTCCTTTGTTCTTTAGATGCTCAATCAGATGCCATCTGGGAAGTTTAGGGCACTGTTTAGGGACTAGTATCTTATATTGTGTGACTGCATTGTACTGAGAGTGTCGGACTTTAGGCCCCTGGAGTGATGTCCTTGATTTGTAACAATCTTTTTAGTCCATTAAAGAAACAGCGGCATGAATGGTTAGGACCCAGTAGAGCATTCACAATAACACAAGATTAACAGCGATGTTCAGTGTGCGTGGTTTAATGCTGTGGAGGATAATTGTATTGGTATTAAAGATGTCGTGTCTTCTAATATTTAAATAATAATTGATATGGCTCAGACCATTATCAATGCAGCAGCAGCACAGAAGATCAACTTCTGAGGTCCACAGTAGTTTGTCTACACCTTGTGGCTGAATCCGATATTCAAAGCAAGGCCCACTCACAAGGCCTTTGCTGATTTACACCAGTCTCTCAACAGCTGATCCTGAGAGGATCCTTACAAGTAGCAATGTAGCTCAGAAGTGTATCAATTGAGTATTGTTTATTTGTGTTTTAACTGTGTCTTTCACAGCCATACTCATCCAGGGAAAGGAGTTATCTTACATGCTATTGTCTACGCAATGCTAGATCTTTAACCTCTGTTTAGTATCCATATCAGGAAACTGTTCTAATTAAATTGTGTCACTGGCTGCATAGTTTTCTTTTTGGTTAATTCTCAAAAACGTTTTCTCAGTCCTCAGTGTAAATGTTCACAGGACAAAACTTTTCCATGAGTTGAAATGCACCGCGGACAGAATAGTGCAGTTTGATATTAGGCAGCCCCAGTTTTGGAACGATTATCATCACAAACATTATCATGTGATTTGAGCAGTCGTTCTCAAACAGTCCCAACAAAATTCTCTTTTACTTACCATAAACAGGCTAAACAGGTTAAGTTACCATTTTGAGAGGGGAAGTACAGCTAAAGAAGATAAGCAGTCCCTCTGTTGTTTCTCCTGATGAATCTCATTCAAACGTTTGTGTTCACGTTTAGATGTTACAGCTTTGTTGATAAAATACATATAAAAGATTTTAAATATATATTTTACATATATTAAACATAACTTTTTTCTCATATAAACCTTTATTGGATCAAACAGAGTTGCTGAATAGACCATTATTTTAGACTAAAGGCACCTGGTTATATGTGGCCAAAACCACAGGGTGGGTTGAGTCCCACAGCACTTCCGCTAACACTTAATTTCAGAGGTCTGATAACACTTAAAAGGTTTAAGCCTGGAAAGACACAAGGTATGGTCAAAAGGTCAGCTAAAATGCACCAACAATTTAGCTAATATTTAACTTTGGGGTTACAGAGTCCTCTCACATAGTATATCCAACATGTAACATTGCTTTTCATACTCAAATGTTCGAACTTTAGTCTGAATACAGCAGAATTTTTCTGTTTTGGTGTAACTTTTCAACATATATATTTACTTTAAACAGAGGAATGAGCTGCTCAAACATTGCAGTACTAACATAGACTCATTCAAACCTGATCTTCATTTATTCAATATATCCAGGCTACTTTTTTGTCATTTGCAAAGCTAAAATATTTTAGCATGCTGTTATAAAAACACTTCATTCAGACATTTGCCAGACGTAAAGGACTTGAAGTGAAAAGAAACGCTGAAGTGTTTCTTGATTGTTGTGTAATCTAAGTTGGAACTTCAGCTGTTTCAGTACATGTTGCTGTCAACCACAGCTTTTTCTTTTTTTCTATAAGTGTGTTAACATTTCAAAGTGACACACTTCTGTAAATGCTCTTGTGGCTGTTCAGCTGTAAAACTGCTTATGCATCTTTTTTTTTTTCTATGGTCACTTGGGGTTATAACCAATGTATTAAAAAAGTGACCGAACCAAAAATAACAAGTTCATGCCTTTGCTATAAGCTTCCCGTCTCCCAGAAGCCCTTGCTTTCATTTTCACACCGTCAAGCTTCTTTCCTTTAACACTCACATATATGTGACCCTTCTTGCAAAACCAAGCTGGAACACATGAGGCTGTATCATTTCCCACCGATCAAATGAGGAAAGAAATTTTGCCAAAAAGTCCATGCTATCAACAAAATATTTGTGGTTACCTCAGTGATCGTCCTTCCTGACCAGTGAGTACAATAAAGCTGTCATCACATGTGAATCTGGGATTTCCTCACTTCCCTTCACTGGTTGTATCCTCTCACATCTGGACATATTTAAGTCTGCAGTCACAACCTGACTCCTCTGTTTGCTTTCTAGCAGGATTGCTGAACTACCACCAACACCATGTTCAGCGCAGAATTGCCAACATATTTGCTGTTGCTCTTTTCCTGTAGCTTGTGCTCCAGCAGAGCTATGCCGGCTAAACTAGACCAGGAGGCTGTTAATGACAGACCGGTGATCGGTGAGTCACTTGTGTTGTTTGGTGTTTCTCTAAGACGTAACTTGGGGTTTGGGTGAGGGATTGACTGTCTGTTAATGTGTCACTTCTGATATATTTAATTAAAACCCGCTGTTTTGTTTATTTCAATCCCCACAGGTATTTTAACTCAGATCGTCACTGATGACATCATGAAACCGTTTGGGAAGACTTACATACCAGACTCTTATGTGAAATATATAGAGTCTGGGGGGAGCAGGGTGATGCCGATCAGGTGAGCCGAGCTGTGTTTTATTATGAATGATGATAATGATAATGATATACAGAAACAAGACAGTCATCCCTCCTCTTTAAGAATCCGTAGGAAAATGCATAGAGCCTCTCTTTAGGAAACAACATCAGATTAATGTGAAGCAGAGGCATTAGTTGAATGCTGCTCATTCTTGCTGTCTATATAAGTTCCACTTTTTGTGACTGGTCAGCGAGCGTTAACGGTGTTGCCACCTTGCGCAGACTGACTCTCACCAGTGCTGAGTATGAAAGTATCTTCAAGAAGATAAATGGGTGAGCTCAATTATATATCACTATATGGCAACTTAATATCTCCATCCCCATCAAAGACAGTAACCGTGGTTTCTTGTACATTGTCTGTTGAGGCTGCTTCTCATCGGGGGAGCCGTAGATTTGGAGACTTCAGACTTTGCCAGGGTGGCCAATATCTTTTACAGGCTTGCGCTTAAGGTTTGTAAAGCAAGTAGTTTTGTTTAGCTTAAAGCATCTGTCTCTGTCTGCTTTTACGTCTTTCCTGTGAAAAAATCAGTGCAAAATACATTAAATATACACACATTTGTACCTTTTTTTCTGTCATTTCTATCATTATTCTGACAAGGCACTGTCTGTTCACTGGGAATAATCTTCTTTATTAATGAATAAAGGGAGATTTCAAAGTAATTTTGCATGCATTTGTTTTATTAATTTTATTTACGATATGGTAAATTAATAGAAATGTTTTTGCTTCTTTGATCTTCTTTGGCTTAGTGATTTTCTACTTTTTACTGTTGCAGGGTGTCACATATTGTTTGTTTTGTAATTCTTTGAGGTAACTTTCTGTTACTTGGTTGATTTTTCTAACATTGTTGATGTTAGCATTTGCCCCAGATGGGAAAGAGTTCCCCATTTGGCCCCATTATCGATAATTTGACTGCCACAAAGTTGGCAATATCTCATCTTTAACATATCTGTGCTCTAGAAACCATTCATTGTCCGACTTTGTGTGTTCCAGGCCAACAATGCCGGGGACTTCTTTCCCATCTGGGGCACGTGCATGGGCATGCAGCTCCTCACTGTGCTGGTGGCCGGTGAAAATCTGCTAACAGAAACTACAGCTGAGAACATAGTTTTGCCTCTCAACTTAACCAAAGGTGACACAAAACAAAACACGATATAATTGTAATATCATAATAGTGTTATGTATAACACCATTTTTTTTCTCACTTTAAGAAATGAATTTTCAATTGTAATATGGTGGATTGCTTCATTGATTAGCTACAATTTGAGGGAAACTGCATGAGCACAGTTACAACACTTGGTGTCAGTAAAGGGAAGTTAAAAAGCAAAGGGAAATGTTTAGTCTCAGGACTTTTGCTGCCATCATCACCATCCTTTATTCCTGCAGAGGCTTACACCAGTAGAATGTTTCAAAGCTTCCCAGAGGAACTCATGAAGGCTTTGACACAAGAACCACTGACCGGCAACTTTCACCACTTTGGACTTACAGTAAAGGTATTCCTCCGATGTCTCACTTCCTCTGTTAGGGTTTTGCATAGAAATTCCACAGAGAGGTAAATTTTAAAGGCCTTTGTAACTATGGCAGCTAATCAAATTATCAGCACACTGCAAGCCATTCATCAATCTGGTGCAGGAAAAAACATGTCCTGTATTTCCACAGTTCCAGACTTGCTCACAATAATCTGCCGAACCTTTACAGATGAAATGTTTGAAGTAATAATAAAGACCTCAAACAGATATTAAACAGAATGAATGGCAAATCACCTTTAAGGGGTGGACGTTACTCAGTTGAACTATCAAACAATGGAACAGAAAGTAAGCCGCATATGACTTGACAAGCATTTTTACATTTTGATTTAGGTCAGAGTGAAGAGGACAAGTGACTGGCTATTTAACTATGTGAGAAGAATTTGCGCCCCCAAAGTTAAATGTCAGCCAAGCCACTGGTCCCTTTCAAGCTTCACCGCATCTTGAGTTTACATGTTGCAGATTTGTGGACGGTTACAAAATTACGTCCAAGTCTAGCATGGTGATATGACAAATATTTTCACAGTCTTTCCAGGAAAATGAGAAGCTGCGTGGTTTCTTCTCCCTCATATCTACAAACATTGCTGAGAATGGAGCCCACTTTGTCTCCACCATAGAAGGTTTCACACTCATTTGCATGCAAACTTGACTAAACCAACCTTTGCTCTGGAAAAAGTTGTGTCAGCCTGCTTTGTTTTTCCGTCCCATCAGGTAAACGGTTTCCATTCTACGGTGTGCAGTGGCACCCGGAGGTGAATCGTTTTCAGTGGGACAGCAAACTAAACTTCCCTCACTCCTCTCATGCTGTTCAGTTATCATCACTGCTGGCTGAGTTCTTTGTCAATGAAGGTAACAACAAAATGTTATCAATAATCATAACTATTGAACGGATCATTATGAGTTATTTATGTTGTGGAAGATGATATACACACTAAAAGAGTAGTTTTTACTAAATCCACTGTATATTGATAACCCCTTCTTAGTTAAAGTATCTAATAACATAGACTTATATAGTTTGAAATAATATTAACACAACAGACTATTAAGGTAAAATGTGTGTACACAGACAAAGAAAAAGCTTCTTCAAAAATAGCTAATGCTGTCTCACACTTTGAATGTACAGAATTAATAGTTAAGAAGAAAAATAATCCCCAACTAATTGAATTTATTCTGGGGTTCTCAAAACATTTGACCTATTGGAACCCTGATTAAATCAAACCCCCCTTTTTTTAGACTAAATGGCAGTCTGATGCAACCTGTCTCTGACTTTTGTCATCTCTGCTTTGTTCAGGAAGGAGGAGTTTACATAAGTTTGACATGCCCGAGGAAGAGGCCTCTTCGCTGATTTACACCCAGACACCTGTCTACGCTGCAAACTTCACAGCTTATGAACAGATTTATTTCTTCTGAAGAACAACTATAGATTGTTATATGTACAACACAAAACTTTGCACTCAAAATGGCCTGGTTTTAATCATTGATAGGCTTTTAAACAGGATGTGAGCTCAGCTATGTACACTCTGATTTAGAGGACACCACTCTTGTTATTGCACTTTTTGTTTTAACCAGTAGAAAAGAATGGCTTATTTCCATTATGTTCTGTTTTGTCAATCATTAACGTGATTGGTTGCAGAAATAAAGTCACATTTTTCTCTCCTTGGATGGGAATAAGAGTTGGACATCTGGAGTTATTTTAAAGAAAATTGGGTCATGGTATTTGTGGAAATTTAATCAGCTCTCTTTCCACATGAATCAAACAGATGAAGATATTAAGCATCTTTTTAAACCGTATTACCTCAGTGACAAGAAACGTCTCTCCGCGGATAGTGTTTGACACGTAAATGTAGATGTAGAGTTTCTATTTTTCAACTTTTAGTAAATCCTGGCTGTATATTTCATATTTGAGACAGAAGTCTTCACTAAACAATCAGACTACTATTTCCATTCCGCATGTCTAAGGTCAAGTGTGGACGTTTCTCTTATTAATAAATTATTAATTTGTTAAATGAGTTTCCCACCAAGAGCTTTGTTTCTGGCAAGGGACCCAGACTGTTAGCAGTCTAGGGGGTCAGCTGTTGAATTATGGATCAGTTAGTTTCTGGTAATCTTACAATATATTTGCTAACACTATATGCTACACCGTACCCTGAGGGTTGTACCTGCTGATATTTCCTGTTTCAATCACATGGCTGGCAGCCTTTTACCAGAATCTAAAAGTCCTCCTCATGTCTAAATGAACTAAAAAGAGTTCTTATTTGACATAGGTAAGAAATTCTGACAGAATTCTGTCTGACAATTCAGATACAATTTCTGGGCAGAACATTGGTTCATAAACTACAATGACTTCTTGTAATGTCAGGTTTGCTTTTTTGCCATGATAACAAGAAAAAAAAGGATTGGTAAATTGATGTAGCAAAAAATAATGACCAAAATGTCAAAGTCACCAACACATAATCTCTAGACAAACGCACAATACGTTTAGATTCAGACCCCTAGTTAAAGCACCGAGTGCAAACCTAAAGCCTCAGAGAGTAACAGGGGTCTTGTTCTTACCCCAGAAATGTGTAATATATTCCTTCCGTAAACACAAAACAATACAAATAGGACATATAACAAAGAGGAACCAGAAATTTGAAAAATAGATGATCATGATGTCAAAGAGACCCAACAGAAGACACCAAACAACCACAAATGGACACAAATAGCTACATAGATGCAAAAATAACAGTGGGTGATAAAGAAACACAAATCGGGCAGATCAATCTCAAGCATGTGTAAAGAAAATACAGTGTTCAGAGATCATGAGGGAGAGACAGTAGACAGGATGAGACATGACCACAGTGTGATGCAACGTTGATAAAAAAGTGACTAGTCTCTCACAAACATGCCAACAATGCTGTTGCAGACACCACCAAGACATAAAAAAACACACTCATCATAAATAGGAGCAATGATTCTGTAAACAAGATCCAATTTCACTCAAAATGTCAGCAGGTGGAGCATAAAAACAACTCAATGCATCTGTTTTTTTTTTGTTTTTTTAAAGAATCTGCTTTTGTCTGAGGGTGTTCCTCTTCGGTAGGACGTATTTTGGGGGAACTTCACGCATCGTCGTTTAGTTTCTAATTCTTCTAGGACCTGTCAGGGAGGCTCGTCCCACGCAGCGACGCGCACGGGCGCGCGCGGGGGCTGATTGGTCCCCCGCGCGCGCGCCCGTAACGTCTGGCGGGGCGGGCGCACGCACGCACGCACGTACATCCAGCCATTGCTCCAGTTTCCCCCCCCTAGCCCACACAGATGCTGCCGTCTTCTCCTCTGCTGGGTCAGTGTCATGCTGCCTATTAATAAAAGAGCTCACCACAGCCAAGGCGAGAAGAGGAAAAGAGAAAAACAAAAACAAAAAAAAGAGCCCGCAGTCGTTTCTGCTTTTTGGAGTCTGCGGAGGTGCTCGTAACATGACACAAAAAAGCTGCAACTTCCGATAAAAGAAAAGCTCCTTTTTTTTTTTCTTTTTTTTTTGGGGTACATTTTTTACTCGCCTTCTGCGATCTCCTTGCAGGTGCTTTTTTGCGTCTGGCTCATCTTTGACCCTGCTGGCATACAGTTACCGAAATCCGCCTTTTTGCACTTTTCTTTTCGCGGACAGCCAGCCGCACGGCGCTGCGCCTTGTTGGTAAACACGAATCGGATCCCGGCGGCGAGGACTCCCTCTGGTGCATTGATGCACCCGTTTCAGTGGTGTAACGGTGAGCAGTCATTTTTATACGATCAGATCCGTGTTTGTTAGGCCTATAGTGGGCTTTAGAGCCCGTTGTCTCATTGGAGTAACAGTACGGTAGAAAGGGCTGAATCACAATGATGATTTCTACAATTAGAACGTCTCCTTATGTCAGAAAAACACCCCTAATATTATTATTATTGATGTTGTTTGAGTAGCCTATGTTGTGCTACAGCTGTGTTTAATGGGTGAGTTGGTGAGTTATTACTGAGTGGCCTGCTGTTCAAATTTTCATTTGAGTGAAAAAAAAAAGATGAATGATTGATGAGCAGCATGTGAACATTGAATGAATTATATTGGTGTCACATACAAATAGCTATCATTAACAGGTTATGGATATATATTCTGACAAGATAGCTTCCCCCTTTCAATGCAGGGAAGTCCAAATGACATTTAATGAATGGCATGTTGACAGCTTTTGCAGTGGAGTAAAAAAATATACATATGTGAAGTTATGACTGTTGACAAAGGCTGAATCTATGTCAGTATTTAGACATGGATTACAGCCACTATCATAAGGAAAAAATATCAGTTGAACTGAAAGTGAATGGCTTCTATTGAGGAATCTGTATTTCTTCTAAGCTACCATGCTGGGTATCAATTTCAGCTTCTCGAATGTGAAGACATCAAGCTTTTTTGTGTCTTATTAGATTGGAATATCTCAATTTTTTACCATCTGCCAAGAAAATGCAATATTTTTAAAAGATCACCCATGACAGTGGGATATTTGCTGACATTCTGTAAATTAAGAATGTAAATGATCATGTAATATTTATCTCCAGCCCTGAATGTTACAGTAAAACCATACATGATTTTCTTGTATTCTGCCTGTTAATGCATATTAGAGTTAGTATTCCCAGCTTCTGATGGCTTGTTTAGACTGTTATTGCCTGAACGTTACTCAGTGATTGAATTGATTTGCCGAATAAAGGATTCCTTAATCAATAGAATCCTTTATTTCAATATCAAGTCATTCCAAAGGGAAGCCACACAAGGCCAGCCTTTGTGCTCTCGGTCTGGGTAACCTTATTTAAACTAACCGAATCCATCTACGGTCTATCCCTTTTACCTCTTGGCTTTGAGCCATTATTTTTCAACATAAAAAAAGAAAGAAAAAAAAAGAAGTCAGGCTTATTTTTCCTCAGCAGCAGTCATATTCACACAAAACAAGCCCCTTCTTTTTCTGCTCTAATGGTGCTGTTGCCTCACTGTGACGGAGACGGTTTGTTCAAGTGATGGATTGGTCTTTTTCCTCCCAACTTTACATGTTTGAATACAGCAGCCTCCTCTGTGGACTGTTCAGACGTGAACAATTACTCCCTTTGTGTGGCTCGACTCCCTTTGCTATTCATAGTACGCACTCCCAACGCACAGCGACACGCTGCTGGAGGAACCCAGCAGCCGCCGCTCCGCGTCCACTCGGCCGTGCGTGTTTATCCGTGCTTATTTGCTCCAGTGTCTGTGCATGACACACGTAGCGCTTTCATGCATGTGATGGGAGGTTTTTTTGGGGCCCAACAACCTCATTTCTGCTGTGGAGCAGCAGCAGCGGCAGCAGCCGTGCAGGCAGGCCGGAGCGTTCCCTCTCATGTGAACTCCTGAATATTTGATGTGAAATTCTGTCTTTAGTGCAAGCGGCAGTAAGAGGCAGCTTTGTGTGAAATCAGCGTAAATAGGACAAAACCCCACCAGGCATCTTGTCTCGGGGAAACATCCACGGTTGAGGTGTTTTACAGCTCCGTCGGATCACAGAGGGACTTCCTTGCCTCTTTGAACGACAGCGCGAGAATCCGTCTGACACAGATTTTGTTTTCTCCTTTGTCTTAAAAATGCAAACTTTTGCTCGCAAGCCTTCATCCTCTCTCTGCATCTGCTACTCTTGGCACCATGGCAACGGGGCGCCTCGTGAGACAGCTAATATATAGGTCAGTGGTCATGCTAGGCTCCACCTAAAGCAAAATATCACATATAGCTGTCCAATTTCCACTCATGCAAAGGGGGAGAAAGGAAAAAAAAAAACACAAGCGTCAACCCAAACAGAAAGCTGTGACACGGGGAGCACAGAAAAACTTGAATTGATATGACCCAGATTTCGGTTGTTCGGCCTCACAGGTGATTTATGTCATCAGCTATGCAGTGACATGAATACAGGAACAACCACAAACCTCCCCCCACTCACTGTAAGTGGCTCTTTGTCTTCAGATGATTTTCTCCAGGCAGATTGTTTGACTCGACTAACAATGATGGAGAAAGAAGGTCAGAATGCCTGTTTTGTTTGCCTGTTCACATCCTCCAGCGTGTCCAGCGTTACATGTGGACACTGGGGTCATTTCCTCAGAGATATTCTGGGAAATAGACAATTTGAAGAAAAAGGGCATTTTGTGACTCATAGAGTGAGACAAAGGAGGAGTTTAAATACCTCTGCCTGCAGGTGTCACATTGTATATTTACTGAACAAAAAAAAGCTAATTTAAAAGGTTTCATGTAAATCTAGTAAGTGCCATTTTCTGTCGCACCCTACCTTGAAAATAAACAAACATAAATCAAATAGAATTTTATATCCTACGATCAATATAATTAGCCTGTTTTATGGTGCAGGGTCATATATGATATATCATATTTACAGCCTGCATGAAAGAACTACCAGAGGTGGTGACAGGAGTTCTTATTGAAACAGTAGATAGGTGCAGTTATGTACAAAAACATCTCTGGGTTCACATCAGCTCGTGCATATTTAAGATGATAAATGACTAGAGGTCTAAAGATTATTAATAGGTTATTATTTTCACTGTCAGTTGATATTTTTCAAATATGAATGAAAGATAATAAAGAAAAAGAAAATAGGTATACGTATAAAAGGTTATAGGGACTGTTGTAAAATCTAACTTGAGCTAATTGTTTGTGTTAACAAACTGACTGGAAAACGGGATTACCTGGGGTTACCTAGTTTGGCCCACCGGTCATTGGCAGCATTAGCTGTGCTAGACATGAGTGACAAACAGTCAACAGCATCAGCTCGACCGGTCAGGCCCTCTTTGTGTTTTGTAGCTGGATACTCGGCTGGTCCGTCCATGTCCCGCCCATCAATTCGGACTTCTCGGGCGTGCGGACAGTAGACCGTTTTTGGGTCAGCTGTGCTGAAGCGAGGGCACGCTAATCGTTTCCAGTGCCCCGGTAGAAGTGTGCTTATCAGCGATCCCCCCGCCCTTCTTTGTCTCATATTGTTTTTCTCAGCTGTGATGGATCTGTAGGATAGACGGCGTGCTCAGTTCTCACTGCTACAAAGACTGGATTAGCACATGGACAGCCGCCAACGGACCCAGTGGACCTTGCAGACCGATGATGCTGAAGAAATTGACGCCACGAGGGCATAGTGACCGAGCAGCCACTCAAACTGTGAATCGCCGTTTAATGAGGATGGTGTGCATGCGTTTGAAACTGGCAACAAATGAATGTGAAACCGCAACTGGCGTGTGCTTTGCACCAAACATAATCCAGCAACAAAGCCATGTCCGTAATTAACAATGGGCTACTTTGGAGGCCTGTGGGGAATCCCATGTGGGGGCCATTACTCACATGTGCTCCACATACAGATGCTTCCCAGGTACTGACGTCAGCAGTCCTTTAACAGTTGTACTTCAGTTTCCAGCCGAGCAGTCATGTCCCTCCGGAGGGTCACAAACCTGACCTGAGAAGTCAGAGATGATAAACAGTGGGAAAAAAAAGCATTTCTGTTCAAACCCAGAGAAGAGAAAGTCGAGTCTGCTTTTTTTATTGAAAGGATAGGAAAGTTTCATTTAAAACTTTTTATTTTGATGATTAAACTTTAAAAGATGATTTTGAGTATTTGAGATGTATCGAGTTTGGGCTGGTAATCAGTTAAGACCCGTTAGAGTAATGGTGCTGGCCCTAAATGGGCAGAGTTTTGATCAGGTTGGCTCAAAATGTAGCGGGCAAAAAGACAATTGTAGTGTAATGATGAAAGAACTATGAATTAGGTGAGTCTGACAGCGTGGGAAAAAAAGAGGTAACAAAGAAAAGACCAAACAGTACAGAATGAGGGCAGGCCTGAGGGAAAATGTATATTCAGAGGCTTCATGTAAAAAACACAAACATATAGTAATGATAATAACAATTCCGCTCATAATAATTCATCATGGGTACTCTGGGTTTATCTATACCCTCAATTGCTGTCCCTTTTTTAACAGAAAAATATCTCCTCAGGGTGTTGATTTTCTCTATCATCTGAAGCAGCAGCAACTCTACTTTTTGACACTTTCTTTCAACCACAGGCTTTACTTCCTCTTGAGTATCAATAAACCAATCTTTGAGATCTCTAAGATAAGATTCTTTGCTAATCGGCTTTGTCAGCTCTGGCAATCCTGAAGGAATCCCTATTGTATTGCAGGGACACATTGTTGAGTGTTGACACTGTTGTTAGTGGTTTTTAAGAAGGAAAAGATGCAGCACTGTAAAAAAAAAACAACAACAATGTGGTAGAGATGGATGCAGATTGAGTCAGAATTTAGATTCGGTGCAAAATCCTGCCTTCAGCTGTGCTTTTATCAGGGTTTCATTGGCGGGGCTGATTAAAAGACCAGGCCCAGGCTTTGATGTCTCTGCTAACGATCACCTCTCGCCGACTGAAACGGGGGCACTTGAACGTGCAGCCGTCAATATGTCTGGAGTAATGGACATTTTCTGCTCATTCAGACTGATTGGAATGAGGAGGCGGGCAGTATCGATCCACTCATTCGGCGGTTTCTACTCCGAGGCGGTGGAGGGTTCAGATAGAAATGTCAGTGTGTTTCTTTGCCTGCGGGAGTGACAAGAAATACCAGGCTTGATGAAAAAAAATGGTGCCACTCGAAAACAAAAGTCAACGCAAGAAAGTGAAACAGGAAAAGGTCTCCATCTGTCTGCATCTCCATTTGGTCATCTTCTAATTAGTCCATCTCTGTGTCTCTCTGTACACCAGTCTGATCGTAGATCTTTATAGCAGTATATTCATTTATTTAACCTGCTGGCTCTGTATCTGTGTATTACTCCATTCATCCATCCATTCTTGTTATACTGGTTTATCAATGTTCCTGAATTATAGTTCTAATTACTAAGGTAGCACAGACTGGGCAAAAATGGCACATTTTGTGTATTTATTCAGTGTGTTTTCAGTATTTTTCAGAGTGGATTCATTTAATCCTCCGTAACTAACAGCTCATTGCATTTTTCTCATTCCGGTTTTTCATTCAGCAGCACCTATCCATCATCTGCCCTGTCCATGTTATGACACGCTTGTCCAACTGTTTGTCCGTTGTGCGCTGTTTCTTCCACCTATCAATCAGTATACATTATCTTTCCATCCATCTGTCTTTCCGTGTGTCCCCCTCGTTCACTCACAGTGATGCACACAGTGGGCTGACGTCCGGCCCATTTCAGGAGAGGCAAATGTAGGCATCACATTTACACATAGAGGCAGCTCAGAGGACAAGAGGTGGGAAATGTCTTTGTTTCAAAGCTCTCAACTGTTCCTGAAATACAGTTTGCTGCTATGTGACTTTAAAGACCAATAGTCTGGAGCCCTTCCTCAAATAAAAGACAGGTTGATTTGACTGATTAGCGGCCTGTCTCTGGGTGAAGGTGTGCTAATCACAGGCATCAGCGGCTGTCGTTCCCATGGAAATGCAAAGCAGCAGATCGTCTCAGCCTTCAGACTCATTCCCATTGTAGTCTGAAGAAGTGTGTATCTGCGGCCTGCTTTGCATCCTGGATGTGCTTCAATTCACTATCGCTCTCTGGGTTAGCCTGACCCTGATCTCACGGAGCCCCTTCTCACATGCAGATAGTGACTTGTCCTACTCGCACGAACAGGGAGAATAGTGGGCTCTTTGTAGCTATATCTAAGTCATAGCTATTTCTCAGGATTTGTTTTGCTTGTTACAAGGGAATTGAAGGTTTTTCTCATTGTATCACCAGTGAATGGAAATTACGATTATTATAAAAACCAAGGCTGTAAACTTGAAAAGTGTAACACAGAATACCTGAGTTTGTGTTTTTGAACAATGGCTGACACAAATTATGGAGTTAATGGACATTTCCACTCTTGCAGGATGTCCATTTAGTTATTTGACAAAAAAGATAATTAAAAAATCACACTTTGAACCATAGTATTTAATGAAATAACTCTTTTAACTCCATCCTAACCTTTTTTCCACGAGGGGTGTATCAGCCCAACAGCATGTCCAGCAAAGGTCAAAGAGCCAAATTAATTGCGATATGAAACAGTTGGAACTCGAGTAATGAAAAACACACACACAAAAAAATAATTGAAAAAGCTTAGAATTCAAGCTGTAATAAAAGCCAGAATCTAAGCAGAGTAAAAGTAATTGCATTACGTGTCTTGATTTAATCTTTTATTTAATTGACTTGATCTGAGGACAAAAGACAAAAAGTGCACGTGTTCTGAACTTTTTCCCGGGGTTTTGTTTTCCTGCTGCTTTTGGCTAAATCATCCTGACCGATGATTTGAGATTTGTTCTTCCACTTCTCTCCAACTGACCTTGGATGCATGTGGCAGTAGTCCAGTGATGATGTATTTCATTGTAAAACAAACAAACACACACACACACACACACAGGACGGCAGGCCATGTTCAGTGGGAGCATCTGGTAATTGGGTGCAGCCATTTGAATTAAAATACATCAACATTTGATCAGACTACGAGTTATTTAATTCTTAAAGCTGAATAACCAGATTATTTAGATTCTTCTTTTTCGTTGCCTTAAAAATGTTGGAGTTAAATGTCACAATAAACATAATTTCATTAGTTTTTTTTGTTTTTGTCTGCCCATTTCAGTGTTTTAAAATGTCCTTAAATGTTTGTTTGGAAGACTGAACCATGTTGCATGGCTACAGAGTTTGTTATTAGGGACTAGAGGACTTCCAAAGGTGATTGAGTGTCCGCCTTGCCCTACCTTCTATTTGCTCCTGTTCTGACTTTCAGCTTCCCATTAGTTCCAAAAAGTATTGTGTTGACTTAAATAGATTTTGAGGCACTTTGGCAAATTGCATCTTCCTTTTTCCAGGCGTTTTTTCACTCGGCCCTAAATATGTCCTGAAAATACTGTCTGTCTTTTTTTTAGGGTGCTTCTGTGGTCTGGGACTGGTTTACTCCAACAAGTCGTGCACCATGCCACCCATCACCTTCCAGGACCTGCCTCTCAACATCTACATGGTCATCTTTGGGACAGGCATCTTCGTATTCATCCTCAGTCTCATCTTCTGCTGTTACTTTATCAGGTTAGAGGCAACACTAACAGACATGCGTCAGTGGAAAAGGACATGTTATACCTGAGAGTCTGTGGCACTGTTTGTTCACAGTACCACACAAAACAGCTCCACTTTGTAACCTTATTTCCACCATATTTATTTATAAAAGTGTTCAAATGTAGTGAGATGTAGTGAGATTCACAAAAACATTTTTAATCTGCAGCATTTGAAAAGCCATTGCTTTGGGTATATTTTGACCTCAGTGTATTTAGTCTCTTGCAAGTGTGGTTTCATATACTAGATATAATAATATCACCATTTCTTGCACTAATACACTGCTTTTAGGGCACATCGTTCAGCTTTTGGTTTTGAAGTGTTTCATGTGAAAACTTAACGGATGACAGGTTATATTATATTTGATCCCAGCTTAGCAATACTGCTATGTAAGTACTTTTTGATGGTAATCCACCTTATTTTAGATGCAGCTAAAGTCAAGGAGACTTACACAAATCTAGACTGGGTTTGTGCGTTTGCCCAAAATACAAAAGGAAGGGAAACAGGTGAAAAAAAAAAAGTCAAGAGGAACATGGTGACCTATCCTGCTGTTGTCTTTGAAATCCCCGATGAGATGAGGGGTCGTGTGTGTTTGAAGGACGGGATGTGAGGCAACAGGAAGCCCCCCGTCACAATGTGTGAGGACAGCAGTGAGCTCAGAATAAACAGGGCCTGAATAGCGCACAGTGGGTGCACGCCGAACCATCACACATGGAGGTCTGCAGTACACAAAAGCTCACCAGGAAACACCAGCGTTATAGCAGGATTTGTTTTTTTTTCTATCTTGAGCTTGCAATGGATGACTCAGCTTTTTTATCTGGCAAAATAAGCCCCCATTTCATAATATGCTTTGCTATTTATACACTTTGATTATGACCCGCTTCCTCAAACGACCACTCAGTCTCAGAAGAAAGTGGCTGAAAAGACGGACGTCCAATATTGACAGATTTACAGTATACGCCAGCTTTGTATTTCTTTTGTTCTTTTGTTTATGTAAATTAATTCTAAATGAAAAAAAAATGTCATTACCGGTAGTTTGCATCAAGTAGAAAAACCTTTCTGTTCGTCATAATTTTGCACAATCTGTAAGGTGACAAGAAAATGATTGATATTAAAATCACAAAGTGAACCACATTGCATTGTGGGCTTGCTGAAAGCACTTTTTTATGTGAAGAGAAATTGTTTTATTGACACATAAACTTTATCGGCAAATGGAGAAAAAAAATCTCAGTTTTCAACATTTAAATTAACTTTGATGCTTAGTCTTTTAACCAACTAGCACAAAACGTAGTAAAAATACTACTGAAATAAGAGTTCAATTAGATTTATTGAGAGTTTTCAATATTTCTAGGTTATCACAGAATTGAATCAGTTTTAAAACCACTAGAAGATCTAAAGAACAAAAAAGAAAAAAAGGGGCCCTCATAATTAAAATAGTTTTTTCTAACACAATCTTAAAAAAAAAAAACGTGTAACTCAGTGTTAAATATTATTTGAAACAGCCTTAAATCATAGAAGAAAAACATTTTTCTGTTTTGATTAGTAGTTAAGTGGTTCTTTCGACAGAGGATTTGACCATGAGCTCTGTGAGGAAGAAGTCACATCCTGATTCTGTCAAAGCGATCGTCTATGAATCACAACCACTGAATCACTTCCTGTGGCTCCATTAACAAGCTGAATGTTGTCTTGGGTAGGAGTGTGATTGTGAATTCATTTATTGAAAGGGTGATTCATCAGACTGAATGCTAAGTGAGGAATCTGTGTTAGGGACCGGTTTCCTGCTAGCTCACTCAGACTCTCTCAATCCTTTACATTTTTGTGATGCTAAAGTGGTTGAAAAACATGAAAACTTCTGAAAATGATTGTCAGTGAACACGGTTTGTAGCTGAAAGTTGAAATTATACAATGCAACAACAAGAACTAAACAATGTTTTCAAAGATTTCTGAAGACTGTTGTTGTAGAAAACTGGTTTAGGGACATTTGAAACCTGGGAATAACCATGCCCCCCATTTAGAACTGAGGCTTATGATGCTGCCACCCAAATTATGTCTTTTATAAGAGAAATTCTCATAAAACAATTGCAAACCTCTTTCTGCAAGTATCTATTGTTGGGGCCACATTTCTGCCAATCAGCCTGCAGCACAAAATTCTTCAGCTCTGCCAGTATCCTTTTGGCCGTAGACCCATTTAAATGTGTGGTTTAGTTTTAGGATTGCTAATTACAATGTGAGAGTTTCCATAATTTTTTCCTCCACTTCATCTGAAAAAATGGACAAGTTACAACAATTTATTTTTCAGGTGTGTTTAAAAAAAAAGCCATAAAAGTATAGTTGAATTTGTTACCTTTTTTCATAAAAAGCTGAATGATTATCTTCTGGTGCAGTGATTCTATGGTTTTTGCTTGAAGTTATAGTAAGAACCCAGATGCTTAACTGCTCTGTCCACAATTGTGATCTAATGGGAACATTTTGCACAATACAAAATGGAAAATACAAAAAAAACAGAGGCCGAGCTCTTGCATTGCCAAAATCTTGTGCCAAGCAATGGTAATGTTTACAAAAGTACAATGAAGTGATGAAACAAAGTTGTAAACATGTTGATCTCCAAAACCTTTCAAAACACAAAGCTGAAATTCCAAATGAGTTTATATTTTCTATTAAAAAAACAAATTTCTTATTATCAATAGGCTTGCTTTCTGTCATGTTACCACTGGTTGTTGAATAGAGTAATGTTGATTTGTAGATCAAATGATTCTGTATTTACAGAAATAAGATTTTTTGGGGGAGACATGGTTTTATGAAACTGAATCCACTCCATCTGAAGCAACGTCCAGTGATTTATATTCACCAGCAGGTCAGCTTGCCAGAGACAAATCATCCAAAAACCTAATTGATGATTATTTCTTTTTAAAGGTCCATATTGTATGCTTTCACTAAACAATGACTGAAAGCAGAGATATTCATCTACCTGATTGGTTTTCCCAGGCACATTTTCTATTTTCTGACGTAGTTGATTCACAGTCAGAGAACCCTAAGAAATCCCCAAAGGATCCAAACAACAACAGCCACATTTAAAAAACAGGAAATAAGACTGGTTTCTAGGATACTGCATCCTCTGAATGTTTAGAAACTGCTCCTCTAATGCCCAGTTGCATCACAGCCTCAGATTGTATCTGACCTACGGAAAATTGAGTTTTGAAAAACACATTTTTGGGAAGACACGGTGACACTGGAAAATTGAAAAAGAAACGGTTCTGCAAACAGAAAGGGCAGACGAAAGGTCATCCTGTGACGCGTAACGTAGAAGCACAGGCAGCAGAACGGGAGCCGGTTAAAAGCACGAAACAAGGCAATATAACAGCAGACGGATGCATACTAACAGCTGTAACAGATGTGGACAGATGTGCACTGACAGACTAGCGTCCCATTTCTTATGCGCTCGTCTTTGTTTTAACTGTAAAGAACATTATATTGATGAGACTCTGGGTGCAATGGCTGAGGAGTTAAGGCCAGTTTAGAATAGGGGTCAAAGAGGAAATTTTTGGAGATTCTGCAATGTGTTTGCAAGATGACAGATAGCTGGCAACAGATAATTTCATAACAAGTGATAAAAAGGATAAAAGTCCGTCAAAAGCTCAGGCAACAGCTGCAGTTGACACACTTTCAGTGCATTACAATGCCAGTTTTTTCCTCTTCTACTTCAGTCTTTTCCACATCAGAGCAAAGCTAAAGACGCCAAACAGCTCAGATGAAAACAGGGATTTGAACTATTCTACAAATTTGTGACGCTGCTTGCAAGTGGTAGCAAAACACGCTGGCATGTCGGGGTGCGGATGCGTGATGCCTTGATGCAGAGAGCACCCAGAAGTTTCTCCAGAATGTGAAGTGTTTATTTCTTTGTCTCCACTGGCGCCTCCTTTCTTGTTCCCCTCTTTGGTGTGCTGAACAGCCGAACAATGTTTGTCCTCACCTCAACATGGTAAATTCACTTGGGAAAAAAAACATTAACAATACATTCGGCAGGTTATAAACCACAAATCCAAGAGGCAGATATTCACTGACTCTCTGTAGCTCTGGTTGAATTTTTATCTTAACTTCATATAATAATGAGTAATTGATGTCAAAACAAATTAACAGTAACACTGAACATGATAATGAATAAAGAGAATAAGACATTTAAGCCCAACTCAGTTAAGCTGTATATTCTGCTTCTCAAACACAAATGTAACCTGAAGTAGCTAAGACAGAATTTAAATAAAACAAAAATAAATAATTCAAACAAAAATTGAAGTAAAAATCTTTAAACTATTATAAAAGACCTATTAAAGGGAATTAAATGTCAACGCAGAGGCGTTAAAAGACATTAACGAGGAGCAGGAAAAACAGGCAGAACTCAAAACTGTATATTAAGTCCAAATGTAATGATCATTTAATGTAATTTAATGTACAGATTTGCCTTTTTCATTGATCAATTACTGCTGAACTTGAACTAGAATGATCTCTTATTATTCACCAATGACTCCTCACCATTAAAACCCAGTGCAGGAAGGTATTTGCTCAGACCATAATGTTACGACCGATGCAGGGTGCAGATAAACATGGGTATGGCTAAATGTCACATTGTGGTGGAACATTAAATCAAGTCATATCAGAATTTTGTGTGCCAATTCTCTCCTAGTAGTTAAAGAGTGAAATCTCCATTAGCCCTCCTCTTTCACCCACTTCACATCATCTCTCAGCCATGGGAAAGCTCAACGCATGTAAGACGTGTATCCTCACATTGTTCACATGGCACACTGTTTGCAGCAATCAGTGTAAACAATAAAGAGAAATAGCAAAAACAATGAATAACTGACATTTCCCTTCTCTCTTTTCCTCATTTTCTTCATTTTTTCTATTTTCTTATTTCCTCTCCAGCTCTCTTTAGTTGAGGAGGTCTGCTCACATTTCACATGCAGTTGTTGCCTTTTAGTTTGGGGCTCAAACGGCAGACAGTGACAGACATGTGAGTCTAAGTTTGGTTGTGTAAAAACAAGAGGCCAAAAATAGCCGCTTGAACAGACACAGCTCGCCGAGCGATTAAGATCTCCTCGCCATTGTTTCTTTTTCAGGGGGTGGTGCAGAGATGCAGGGAGGAAACATACTCATTAGCTGTGTTTGTGTGTGTGTGTGTGCGCGCACATCTAAGTGTGGGTTTGCATTGTTCATGTAATTACATCACTGCTTAAGTGTATGAACACGTGTGTGTGGTTGCTGAGGCTTTGTCTAGAAATGTGTGTCTAACATAGCAGTGTGTGATTACAGTTTATAGTCGGAGAAAAACCAGCAGTTATGTAGATTTAGTGACACAGAGTCCCATAGTTAAAACGCACAACTGTGAGTCCACCAACCTGCTGTTAAAGTCAGAATGAAGTAGAGACAAACATCTTTATCTCTTAATTATCAATAGACGATGGTGGAAAATACACTGAAACAACATTCTTCCAGTGTTTAATGGTAATTACTGTGGATTATCAAATTGTATAATACATGTTTATAAGCATACTTTTTTATACGCATATATGTTTTGGAGTTTATCATATAATTGTATTCATTTTAAGCCCATTTCACCTTTAAAAATGTGATGATTTGAACACTTTGGCACATAATATTTTATGTTGATATTTGCTTTGTTTTTTTAAATGTGTTTTGAAATGGAATAAAATGGAAATATTTTCGTAATATTACAGCTTTGGACTTTTAAATATAGTTTAAACATAATTGATTAATTGTCTCCTCTCATTCACAGCAAACTACGACACCAAGCCCAGAGCGAGCGTTTTGGATACAGAGAGGTGAGGCTCAGACTAATAAAGAGTAGCATGTTTTTTTACCCTGACTGAAAAAATGCGTCTTTTTAAAAACATATGTTATCGCTTTTCTAGGTGGTTTTAAAAGGAGACCCGAAAAAGTTAAGTCTTCATGGGGTAAGTTTGAGATTTCTTCTTTACATGATGAAAAACTTCAAATTGATGAATCATGGGTGAATTTATCCCCTCACCTGACCCCTCTGACTCCGTCTCGTCTTTCACTCATGCAGCAGACATGTGCCGTGTGTCTGGAGGACTTCAAGGTGAAAGACGAGTTGGGTGTGTTGCCATGCCAACATGCTTTCCACAGGAAGTGAGTAGAGCACATTGGAGTCTTTCTCAGTCCTTGTTTGCCCCTTCACACCTGCTGAAGCCTGTTAAAAAGAAAACTGTCATGCTCAGTCCGATGTTTAAGGATCAGACGTTAGTTAGCTCATCATTTATTGATGTCTTCTGGCTGCGATAGCCCATTTGGGATTAGAGGGCTGGGTCAGGGCGGCAGTTTATCACAGCCAGACAGAACTGCTCCTGAGATCCTGCATGGGAAACATGTCTCTGAGATTGGAGAATCATTTTTCTTGGGCTGGATTCACTGTCAGGAGTGTGAAAAATCTAAAGGAATAGTTTACCATTTTTGGAAACACATGATCAGTGATCTCAACAAGAAGGTCTTAGTCAAGCTGGAATGAAAAACGTTTAGAATCTTCCACATTAATAAGTAATACGTATTTCAATTAATATCCAGCTGTTAACTAAGTTAGGAATCTCCTTGAAATGTGTGATTTAAACTTTCCTGTGGTGGGCATCTCCTGTTAACGCTGCGAGCTGTCAGTCTGGTGAGCCTGCAAACAGGAGAGTCGGTCCAGCTATAATAACTGTTGCCATAAATCCCGTCTGTCGCCACAGTAAAGTTTTGGCAAACAGCGAGTGACACACTTTTCCTGTGTCGCTTTGGCTCCGAGCAAAAGCCTTCCACTGAGCGTCCACCTGTTCCTACCGCCCCGGAAACTTAAAAGACACCAAAAAGCAATCAGTTTGTGAATACATATATTAGAATATAGTGGTACTACAGTATGTGAATACAGTCCGGTAACAACTGTTGTAAGAGCTCGTCTCATTGGCTCTTCAATTAACTGAGAATGAAACTTATTTCCAAGGATTATTTGTAACCCCTCCGACTTCTGCATCATTACATTTGAGCTCTGTCCTTCACAAACTTTTTAAAACGATTAATAATCTTTCATATTCCTCAACAATATCGGTTGTGTCATGGAGCTATGATTTCCAAACCACCATAAAACACCTTCAACAGGAAACTGATGAATTCCATAAACATTGCTCCTGGTTAAGCCTAAACTTTATGAAGCAGTCTTCTCATACATATAACATTCTTAGTTTTGGATGTACTTTATCATGATATTTATCAAGACAGATTAAAGTAAAGGAGGTGATTTCCATAAACCTCAAGCTAATTCTGTGCGCTAAAATGTCTTTAAAACACTCAAAGCCTTTTGCCTCAAAGGATGGAGACCAGAAAAGAAAGAGGAAATGATCAGTCTGTTTCCACTCTGTGTCCATCCAAAGAGTTAAAACAACATATTGTGTGTATTCAGACTATTTCCTTGCCTTAATGCAATGTCTTTCCTTCCTTGTCATCACTGTGTGGCTTCTATCCCACTGATTTATGCTTGCGAAATGCTGAAGCAAGCAAGTGAGGTGTCATTTTGTAAAAACAAAAGAGATGGATATTTCATTATTCCGATCTAAAAATGGACTTTGTTCATTTTTTTCCCTCTATCCTCGCAGGTGTCTTGTAAAGTGGCTGGAGGTGCGCTGTGTCTGCCCCATGTGCAACAAGCCCATAGCCGGCCCCCCTGAGCAGCATCACAGCATAGGGACCCTGCTTGATGAACTGGTGTAACCTGTGAACTGCTGCCAGTCTGGGTGGGACGCTGGCCCCGCGCCCCACCAGCTGCTCCGAGTTAGTGACCAAACGGAGGAGTGACACCATTTTGCTGTCGGAACACAGCAAAGCACCAACATGATGATAGTATGTTGGGGTAACCTAGTTACCACTCGGAGGAAGACTCTGAAAGATGCTGTTGCTTAGCAACTGTCTCTGCGATAGCGACATGACACTTTACAGTGTCTGAGAGGTTATCTTCAGCCACCCACACATCACTCCACCACTCTTCTTTCAAGATCTGCCCTCTGCACTGTCCCTCACATCCTATATTGCTGCCTTGAGTGAGTTTAAATGGCACCAATGAAGAGGAGGACGCGGCTCTTTCACTGCAATGTCGATAAATGGGTGTTGACGGATGAAAACAGGAGGCTCTGGATGAGTCCTGCATGTCACGGCGGTCCCAGGCATGAAATGATATCCCTATCGTTGGAAACTCCTGTGGAAAATAAACGGCACCTCTTCAGTCTTTTAAGACCTGAAGATCTGAGAAAAGGCATCATGCTCCTGTTTGTATTACAGGGTTTATTCTTAGAGTTCTAAAAGAGGAGCTGGTAGAAGGAGAGCATCAAGAGCTAAGTAAACAATACCATGATAAATGTATACACGGGAATTATTTAAACGGTTCTAAACTGTTTAATTGGTCTAGCTGTGATTAAAAAGTTATAAAAGATAACTCACATCTTATCGGCAGAATTTAAAGTATTAGGGTTAGCCCAACCAATTTTGAGGTGTGACAAAAGTTTTCTTTTTATAAGATGTGTTTAAAATCCATACTGATGCCCACCCCAACAACGCCAACACGTATTCCACATACTGTACATGCTCCACGTGTGTGTGTTTTTTTTGTCCTCTGGTATTCTTTATCGTCCCGATATGTGTTTTGGGTTATTTTGGGTGGAATTAAGTAAATCAGTCTGCCTCTTACTGTAACAGTTTATTTGAAATGTGTTTTAATTCACACACACATACACAAGAAAATCTCTCTGTCTGTCTGAAATTCCATTATTGTTTGGATGTAGCACAGCAGGTCCTTTATTGAAAGGTGCAGACCCTAAGAGAGTGGTATCACTCGTGATTCTGTCCCACATTCCTCGGTCATAGGGTTTATTTCTCTGAAAGCGACACACTGCCTAAATTGAGCACAAAACTCACAAAGCACATTGTGCAGAGACAGCAGGCACCTGCACTGTAATCCAAATGTCCATGAGCCAAGAAGAAAAAAAACTCAATTGCGTTACATTGAGGAGGAGAAATGTTCATTCTGACTCCGACCACATTCCACACTTTGTAAGCCAATAGATGTAAATAACTTGAAACAGTAAATAAAGTTGTCTGTTTGCTCAGCATCTCGCATGTTTCGTGACTTTTTGCATAGAAAAGAGTGGAATCACAAATCCAAAATGTGTTAAGCCCTGATGATGATTTAGGAATTTAAACACTTATGAATAAAACTTCTGCATTTGAGAATGATTTATTTTCGTGTTTTTAATTTACTATGCTGAAAATACTTGATGCAGTCTTTTTGCAGATAATCCGATGGAAGGACAGATTAATATGTGATGGTTTTCCATTTCTAACACATTTTTAAATTCCATGTTCAAGTCTTAAACATTTTATATCCTTTATTTCCAAATTATTACTTTGATTTTTTTGTTTTTGTTTACCTTAATTTGATATCCAGAGACCTGTTCATTTAATCGATAGTTTGTAACATCTGGCCCTTAAGATTTACCAGTTGAACCTCCAATATTTAGGTCTTCAGCTGTACACATATTTTTCCCAAATCAATTTTGTTTATATATGGTTGTGATGATACCTTGTATCACGAAATACCTATTTTAAAGTACCATGGTGAACATAATTTATCTCTACATAGTAGAGTAGTTATTGTTAAATGTTTCTCTAGTATTTATTCTACATTATTACTCGCATTCCGATATGCAAGATTCATACTAATGATTAGTGACTATACTATGCAATTCAGATGGATGCAAAATCTCAGTCAAAATAAGTAAAAATCTGGCAATCTCGGATCTTAAGAAGAAGTACGGAAACCACCATCTGAATGGGTGGAAAACATCAGTCCTACTGACTCATTAAATGTGCAAGACCCAGTCCTATTCCTGCAACCCAATAGATACCTGGTTACTTCCCTTTAGCAGATTGCAGGTGGCAGCGGGCATTCTTTCGTCAGGCTGCCTTATAATTAGGCTTTAGAGCCTCTGTGAACTAGAGCGGGAATAGACAATAAAAGCAAATGACTAAATTTGTCGCAGGAATGATGGTGAGGGACAGAAAAATGTTGAGAGGGAGGAGCTGGAAAAAGGTGGAGATGGTGAGAAGAGTGGCCCTATTTAACACAGTGAACTCATGTGGGAACCACTTCAGCCCTTAAAAAGAGATGTTCAGCGGTTTCCCACACATGCAACCTTCTAAGTTTGAAAGCAAAGGGAAACTCATTTTATGAATACAGACAACCAGGTGTTACTTGAACTTGAGATGCACAGCATTGGTGAGTATAGTTTTTAATCTCTCCATCCTTTGTTCATCTCTCACATTTTCCTTCATGTTTGCTGATTTAAGAACTCTATGATCTCTATGAATTGTATTTGTTAAGCTGAGATGATGGGTAAATGAAGAGAGTTTGAACAGATCAGATTAACATTACCTCCAAAAGGAGTAAGATTAGTAACTAAGACAGAAACTGAAGCAGCAGAAGTCTGTTATAAAGTCCATCAACCGTAGGCTGTGTAGTAGGTCAGGATAGTGTGAACACAAACTTCCAGCTTCCTCCATCCACACACACACTGCCTGTGTGAACCTGGAAAAATAAGCAAGTCTTTCATGGGATCGGCCTCTACCTGAACTAGAAAGAGCCAACTGTGTCGTGAATAAACTGATTATGGCAAAACATACTCTGGGTGGAGAGATGCACAGAGAAATGCTTGTTTCCGTCACTTCCCACCTTCAGCGTCAGAATGAATGTCAGGTCAGGTTATTTCTCTTTCTGTGCATTTTGTAGCAGCCAAACTAGCACTGAGCGTCAGTCCAGCACCGACAGGACCAGGGCGAGTGCTGTGGCGAGGTAATGACATAAGCTGTTCACCTAAGACTCAGAGACATGAGGACAAGATTTGTAGGTTAGTATGTTCTTGTTGTTTTTGTAGATTTGAGGTTCCTGTGTTTTTGATGTAGCTTTTTCTGACGAATTCAAACAGGAGCACAACTAATCTAAGACAGTTATTTCACATTTACATGCCTAATAATTCTTTAAAACACTAAGAAGTCGATTCTCATTTGATTTGCAATCCATTCACTTGGAGTTGAAGTCATGCAACTGTGTTGGGATACTTAGAAATCCCAACACAACACAGATGACTTACTGATAAAAGCATAAATACTAATTCATTAAGCATTAAAACATTTATATAGTAGAAATTGGTTTAAAAAAAACATTTAATATGAGTAAAATGATGTGGAGGCAGCAACGTTACTTGATCCTGTTTGTTTCGTCTTGAGGTGATGAGCTACGTGAATGTGGTGGATATGCCTTCCATGGATGGAGTGATGAGGACGTCATGAGAAAAGCAGTAGGACTTTAACATCAATTTTTGATCTATAACTCATGAGCAATGGACTGCTTATCTCATTGTGGGTGCACTGACAGCGATTTGAAGCGTTGAGGAATAATTTTTTAGACAGTCCACGATGTTGAAGCGGTGGCTGCTGGCCCTGGTGGCCCGAGTTGGCCTCATCGCGCTGGGTCTCTGCTGCTGTCTTCTGCTGTTCTACCTCCTGGCCTGTAAACCCTCACACTACGGCAAACAGCAGTCTCTGATGTGGTCTGGAGGTGCCACCAGTAAGGAGGGATATATGGCCTTATTACAGGAGCGGGAAGACTCACACAGACATTACATCAATGGCCTGACAAAGCAGATATCTGAGCTGAAAGAGGCCCTCCAGGACAGAACGCAGCAGCTTCAGGAGTCTCTGAATAAAGCTAAAAGTAAAGGGATTCTGCCTCAGGGACTGGAGAGTCTGCACAAAAACCCAACGCAGTCTGACCTCAAGGTAGGAATGAGCACAACAGGACATTGTAACCACATGAAATGTGTAACTTGATTTGTTCTGAAGGCATACATTTTGTGGGAAGTAACACGTGTCAGAGTAAATACTATATTGCGTCCTTCAGGAGTTCTTCCGCTCCCAGCTGAACAAAGCAGAGGTGAACTTTGGTGCAAAGCTGCCCAGCGAATATGCACTGATCCCTTTTGACACTTTCACCCTACAGGCGTGAGTGATCCAGTCCAACATCCAGACATGTGAAATCCAAATTTTTGTCGCGACTCGTGCAATTTTCCGTCCTTTAAACATTTTTTTTTTTTTTGGTAGGTCACTCAGGGTTTACCAAATGGAAACAGGGCTGACGAGACACCCGGCCGAGAGGCCTGTGAGGAAGGACCGCAGAGACGAGCTGATAGGCTGTGTGGAAACAGCTCTGCATGTCCTCAATGGACCCCAACAACATCTAGACAACACCATGCGCAAGACTACATACTCCCCTTCAGACTTCATACAGGGTGAGGAGTTTGTTTCTTGTATTCATCTGTTCTCAAAAAATTGAATATTTCTCACCATTATAAGATCACTGTGTCGCTCACTGTGTTCAGAGCAGTTACAGGTCAGACATATTTTTAACTCGAGGGCAGAGTTTAAGTTAAAGAAAACTAAACAAAGGACCTCTTGAAAAAAAGAAAATGGCCTTTAAAAAAACAAATATCAAACCTTGTGTGATTCTGCTGGAATTTTCTGTGGTAGAATCACCCACACAGACGCCTGTAATGTTTTTTTGTGAAACGTATGTGAAAAGTTGTGCTTATAGTGGTTCAGAAATAAATGTTTTAGTAGATGTTTGAGTGGTTTTGGTTTCGTAGGCAGCAGGTCCATGAGGTGAGCCCGTCATCCTGGGGGTTTAGCACAAGGTATTCCCAGGCCAGAGAGGACACATAGTCACTTCAGCCCTTTAAAAGCGCTGTTCAGCTGTTTCCCGCACATGTAACTTTCTTACTTTTAAAGCGAAGGGAAAGTCATCTAATGAATACAGACAACCAATTGTCACTTGAATTTGCGATACAACCATAACCAAACTATTTTGTGAGCTGGGTCTATTTAAAGAACAGAAGTGGTGACCAAAAAGTCTTTCTCACTTCTTTTTTCTCGATGCCACCGAAATCACTGTCATCTCGAAAATAAAAAAACAAGAACTTTGCTGTCAGAATTTCTACAGGGACTCCACGGGACTGCTTTTTTTTTTTTTGTGGCTGCACATGAAGAGAAAAGACCACAGTGCTTTCATCCCCAGAGCATAACATTGTGGTCCTTCTAACATCACAGAATATTTCTTTAATAATGTCATGTGTAATTGTATCTATTGTATCTATTTTAAAGCCTTGTTACTTGAAAAAATAAATGTAAATGTACTTTTTTCCATCCTTTAGTGTTGCTTAAATTTTATGCACTACATCAGCTAAACTGAACTAAACTAAATTCCTTTGACACCACAGTGAAGTGGCTGGACATACAATAGTCCCAGGACAATAAAAGCTTAACTTTGAGCTTAAAGCTGGAAGAGGTGATGTTTTGCTCTCTGTTGCAGGACTGACTCGCACAGAGAGGGACAGAGGAAGTGTTTATGAGCTGACGTTTAAAGGTGGCGGCCCGCAGGACTTCACGCAGCTGGCGCTCTTCAGGCCGTTCGGCCCGCTGATGAAGGTGAAGAGCGAGATCGTGAACACGCACAGCTTGCTCATCAACATCATTGTTCCTCTCTCCAAGAGGGTGGACACATTCAGACAGTTCATGGAAAACTTCAGGTAAATGTAACTGAACAGTCTGACACCAAATTCTACCGATTGGATCATCTCCGTCTCAGAGCTGGTGTCTCATGGCAGTGCGGTCCAAATAACTCCTGTGTTTTCTTTTTGGTTCAGAGAAGTGTGCATTCAGAAGGACGGCAGAGTTCATCTCACGGTTGTCTACTTTGGTCGAGATCTGATAGACCAGGTTAAAGCTATCCTGGATCAGACCACCAGGTAATGAAGTGACCATCCCAGTGGTCCCACATGTTGAAGCTAAACACCATTCATACAATCACCCACACTTTAAGACTACACGACTCAAAGTCAGCTGGAAATGACATTGATCAGAGACAGATGTTGACTTTTTCACGTCACTGGAAGTTAGACTAGAGACCATTTGTACTTTCCGGTGATTAATAATTTATGACCCTGGTTGGCTCTCCATTCTTTTCAGCTCAGGGGGATGTTTATCCTCAAAAGTCAGGCTGAAACAATTAATGAGCAGTTGAATTGCCGATCCAAGATTCTGAATCCAGTCGCTGTTATGAAGATCGTGTTAATGGTGTCCTGAGAGAATCCTGGAAGTTTAGTTGCAAGCCTTTTTTTTTCTCTTACAGTATTTATGACAGGAGTCACACAGCTTAAAAGTCCACGCCTTGTGATAACGAACTGTGAAACAGCAGATAAAGATCTGATTCTTTCTATCAGCTATTTAATAACAGAAGTTTCTGTGCCACACAGATATGTTGGACTTTGGAATAATAAAAAAAAATGGTGAGAGATAGTCAGTATTTCAGAACTGCAGGCTAAAAAACACAAGTCTTTGAAGCTCCTGCCCCTCCAGGGATCAACACACACCACCCTCTCTTGTGTATAGGCTGTAAAAAAATACAGGAGCCTCTCTGTGAGCTTTTGATTAGGTTTTACATCTGAACGTTTTTAACAGTCTAATGGGACATCATGGCTGCTGGTTCAGTGTTTTTGTTTTGAGTGTTTTGGTGATTATTTGCCACATTTAGACTTAAATAATTAGCGGAATAACTGCTGACAACACCCTTTATGTCGGCGTCTTCCTAAGAGAGACTCGGTTCAGGAGCTTCACTCTGATCCAGATGAATGAGGAGTTTTCTCGTGGGCGAGGCCTGGACGTGGGTGCCAGAGCTTGGAGGCGGAGGCAGAATGTGCTGCTCTTCTTCTGTGATGTTGACATCCACTTCTCTGCTGACTTTTTGACTTCCTGTCGTCTGAATGCCGAACCTGGTGAGAGGAGAGATGATTACACTGCAGCCATTTTTCACCATATTTCCCACACGTGTTAATCACTTAATACTGTAAGCCATTTCCAGAGGAACGTGGAGGCAGGAAATGAACGATTACACAGTTGACGTAGGTGTCACCCAAACAGGTGTTTTCATTTGTTCTAGTCCATCAGACAAAAAGATTAGGCTAGCTGGAGACACATTTCCCATAATTGGTTGCTGTTAAGACTAAATATTAAATGATATTCTGATGTTAAACAGATTCCGCAAAAATGTGTAATTAAGAATAAAAAGAAAGAAAAAACATGTAAAACAAGGCATCAGTGCGGTTAAGGTTGGACATAGATTTAAACTGAGTCATTTTTACGGGTTTACACCAACATCTTTTAAAATTTGAAAGTTGTTATCTGTTCATGAAAGCTATTTTAAAAACTTTACAATTTCAGGAGTACAGTAAGCAGGCATTTTATTTTCAGTTTAGAATTTGTGGTTCTCATAGTCCAGCCCCTATTCTTCACCGGATATGTGTGCACAAACAGATTTGAATACCTTTTTGCTTAACAGTGTTTGCTTCGTTTTATGAGCTTTGTGTGACATGGTTTCTGTTCTTGTAGGTAAGAAAGTATACTATCCTATCCTCTTTAGTCTGTACAACCCATCTATTGTATACAGCAATCAGACAGTCCGTCCTTCCCTTCAAAAACAGCTGGTGGGTACCAAACAAAAAGAGATTTTCACCATTACTGCAGCAGACGGGTCTGATTTTGTTTTCCCTTTTATCTCAGGAGATAAGGAAAGAAAGTGGATTCTGGAGAGACTTTGGGTTTGGGATGACATGTCAGTACAGGTCGGATTTCATCAACATAGGTAAGAACCGAATCTAAAAAAATAATAATTTCCTAAAATTCTGTTTTCAAAAGTTACTGAGGAAAGCTCAGCTTAGTGTATGTGATATATCAGCTGTTAGTTTCAGCTATGAAAGATGCACTTCTGTTATAGAGAGGGGGAAAAAAGATACACTGATGTATAATATGAATTCCTTTGTTGGCTCTGACTGTGACCTTTCAATGGGCCGACAGGTGGCTTTGACCGTAGCATAAAAGGCTGGGGAATGGAGGACGTACACCTGTACAGGAAGTATCTTCACAGTAAGCTGATGGTGATTCGGGCTCCGTCTCGAGGGCTTTTCCACCTGTGGCATGAGAAAAGCTGTTCACAGGAGCTCCCTCCAGAAAAGTACAAGATGTGCATGCAGACCAAAGCCATGAGCGAAGCCTCCTATGGCCAGCTGGCAGAGCTCCTCTTCAAAAGGGAATTTGAGCTCCATCTGAACTCCCAATAACAAACTGCAGAGAGGTCTGATGTGGACAACTGAGTCGGACTTGTAATGTGACATCCATTGATTGCAGCTAACTGTTGTTAGACTGACTGAATAAAGGACATTATTCGGTCTTCTGTTTGATTGCTCTGTTGTTAAAACACAAACACTGAAAACTTGTAAAAACTTATCTTACAAATGGTGGACCTGAATAAAGAAAAAATATACCAACCAACCACAGCCAACAAGAGTGAAACCAACAGAAAATAATCAAATTGAAAAAAAAAGAAACGAGAAAGCAAGATAGATAGATCTGATAAATAATCAGATTTAAGGTTGTTAAGCTCTCATCATACCTGATAGTTGAGAGTAGTCTGTAAATGTGGATATAATTATTCCTGCGGCTGAAATCATCTGCAGCTCAACTTTAGGTGGTTGTTTTCTGGTTTCATGAGCAGAGAAAAAACAGAACAAAACAGATACCAACAATGCTTGAATCAGCCGTTTCTGACAGTACACATTGTTCGCTCTTTTGTTGTCCAGTAAATGCGGATTCTCTTCCTCGTTTTTGTTCTCACAATGTCACGAACGAGGAGTCAGTCTGCAGAAAGCTGCTCAAACGTCAGCTTCACCTCAACGCATGGTGGACGGCACACTGGGAACCATGCTGGTCAACCTTCAGGCCCCTCAGTCCACTGTGGCATTTACCTAATTATGAGAATGTCTGAAAGCTGAATAAGTTGCTGTCTGTATCAGTGAATCGGCTAAAACAACAACAGCAAATAAACTTACTAAAAAGCTAGTCTTTAACTAACTACCATTATGAAGAAAAAAATATAAAAAAACACAACGGAGAAGCAGAAGTATTTACATTGTCACATATTGTATGAATATATACAAATTGTAAAAATATTCCATTTACAACTTACTCTATTTTTTCACTACTACTGTTGTTCTAGTATTGATTCTGTGCAGCTTGTTATGATGGAATTTAGTGGAACAAGGTCAACCCTCCAGAGGCTTTGGAAGCATAGATATTTAGTAGGATATGTGTTTTTTTTTATAGCAAACGGCTGTTATTATGTTACTTATTAAAAGTAGTCGCACTGGATAAAACTATGTCAGTTTAATGCTTGTAAATCTTCCTTTAAAAACACATATCCTACTAAATCCTACATTCTATTCGAAGAGTCAAAGTCAGTGCTCAGCCTTTGTGGCATTGCTGTCTGCACTCTGTATCAGAGACATCAGTAAACACATTTCCTCTTCTGACTAAGGGGGTTCGTAAGAGTGGAGATCACCACACCGCCAGCTGGGCTCCAGCTCTCACCGTTCACTGAAAGTACACATTTACACAGATGGGAGAAGCCCACTTTTGGATCATTATTTGGTTTATTTATTCTTTATTCAAGTCTAATGATTTTCTTTCCTTTTAAAAGAAAAAATCTGATTGGGCCATACCTTTACAGGTGACTTTCTGTTAGATAAATCATCTCTCTGCTCTGCTTTAACCTACATTCTTTATTAAGAAAGAGGAGAGATGCTGAAATTAACAATGCTGACATTGACCTGAGGTGGGAGCAACACCAATCCACCCTAGTTCTGATGGATGTGTTGCTCTGATCAGACGACAGGGGGCTCAGTTTTTATCAAAATGAAGATGCCTTCAGAAGCAGCGGAGGGAGGAGCAGCCACGCATCAGCAGACGGCTGTCGTACGGCCAAAGGTTTCACGCGATAGGCCCGAGACTCTTATTTCCTGTACTGTTTTCTATGCTGCCTTCAGGTGACGCTCGGAAATGTATGTACGAAAAGTAGTTTTTGTTTTCTTGTGTGTTGTGTCCACAGTTTATATTGAAATGACCCGAACAAAAAACATGTTATCTATTATGTCATTATGTTACTTATTAAAAGTAGTTGCACTATATAAAACTACGTTAATTTAATGCCTGTAAATCTTCCTTTAAAAACAAAATGATTGGAAGATTATTTCCCTATTCGTAAGATAAACACTATGATGGACTATTTTACATTTGGTAGGCCGTCCGAGGGCTCCCAGCCGTCCCTGAAGGCAGCATTAATCAGACTCGTAGAAGAGCTCTAGTCCGCTGAGTCTCTCCTCTAATGTCTCATCCGCTGACCGGGCGATATTATGAGCTGAAGAAATCCCGCAGTGTTGGGATGGTCCCTGAGCAGTGGAGCGGGTGAGCGGCTCTCTCCGTGCGTGGTGGTGTTTTTTTTTATTTTTTAGATTAGTTTGACCCGACTAGAGCAGTGATTCGGACCTAGAGTTGGCTCCAGACCTGCTCTCTGAAGGCTTCCCCCCCCCCCCCCGGTAGACTGTAGCTGCTCGGGCTGTGCCAGGACAATGACAGCGGTGTGTTCTGACTTTGTGCTGCTGGAGTAGCCGCACGTTTGCGGCAGACCGGCTGCGCATCGGCCCTCGGAAGCGGACGTTTCTCCCGGAGACCGGCGCGGTGCGCACAGGAGGACGCATCATGTTCGACGCCTCCGGGATCCCGCTGCTCCTGCTCGACTTTACCTGCCTCGTTCTGGGTATGCAAATCCGATCCTTTAATCCTTTTTATTTAACTGGAACCTCTCTCCGTAACTTTCAAAGCACAAAACGGCAAGATTTGTATTCTTTTTCTAACCCAAAGTTACATAAAATTGTTTTCAAAGAGAGCCATTTGCGTAAATTCCATTTGTATGCTTATTGGAAGGTTGGTTTCAGGGACCAAGCAGGAAGATGGAAAAAGCCCCACCCTCGGTGTTTTCTCTTCTTATTTTTTTTCCATGTAGGGCTGTATTTTTCTGGTGGCTGTGGGGAGTGAAGTCATGGCCCACAGACATGCAGCAGCTCTTTTTTTTTTTTTTTACCGTGCCCGACAACGTGCTGTTAAAATGAGCGCGTGCCCGGCGATGGAGAAACAAACACCCGTTGAACTTGGGTGCAGTTTGAACGCAGCCGGGCCTGATCTGGATCAGACGCAACTCCAGGAGTCTGTCTCTGACATGAGGCTCCTCTCTGTCTCTGCCCGGTCAGCGTGGCTGTGGTCAGCCTGCTGCTGACTGCACAGTCCTCTCATTAGGTTGTGAAGCTGGCATTTATTTCCTCTCCCATTTCATCAAGGCCCCCACTTTTGAATTATTAGAATGACTTGGACAATTTTTGTCATTTCATTGATTGACACTCAGTGAATAAAAAAGCTCTGTTTAGACATTCTGAATGGACTATATTTAGAAGTGATCTATAGTGAAATCACAGTAATATTTTCCAAATTGTCTCTCCAGGAATGTTGCGACCTGCTGTAATATTCAGTAGCATCACCAGTGAGGCATCAAGCAACATTTCTGAGCCTGCTGAACTGAATGTGATTGGTCCTTTATTACATACTGTTTAAAACAGTAATAAAAAAAAGCTTCTTTTAGATTGATTAACAAAGCTCTGCATGAGATGTTGGGAATTTATGTTTTTTCTGACATTTTCGTACATTTAAGTTAGCCGCATGAGCAGCATGTTGTAAGTCTGAGCTAAATAGGGTCCATGAATATAACAAATGAAAGGTGTTGTTGGAAGGTTTTCTGGCTGTTAGGAATTCCACAAAAATTGACTTAACGTAAATTAGATTTAGTTTTAATGAACACAGGCAATTGTTCATGGTGGCTCGTATCTGTTGCGTAACTGAATTGGATGATAAAGACAATGGTAATTATGGCCAGAAACTATGGAGGAAACAATAAACAGGAAACAATGCTAATATACGAGACGGTTTTGTGCTTGTCTCTGTGATACCATCTCGTGCTTGCTCAGTCTGGCTCTACATCTAAAGATCTCTAACACAGCCTGCACAAGTTCAGCAAGAATCTGAAGTGGCAGCAGAGCCCAGTGACTGTATGAAAACTCATTTAGCCTAAAAGCATCACAGGCAGACTTGGAGGAGTGCCTGACATTGCGTTAGCCTCTTCAGATTAGCAAATTGCATCAGATTTAAACTCGTCTAAAAGGAGGAAAAGAGTGTCGATCTGAAGCGAGTCAAAGCGTGTTTTCTGTGGTGCATATCAAAGCCACGATAACTCCTGTTTTTTCCCCCTTCGTCATTCCACCGCATTCCAAATGTTTACAGTGGAACGCTGCTGTACAGGGTGTCGTCTTGTGTTGCTGCGCCTTTTGTTGCTAAATTGTTCTGCTGTAACTGGAGGCCTCGGGCATTTAATCAGTTATTGCGGAGGTCTTTGCAGCAGAGAGGAAACCTGAATATATCATTTGTGGGGAAGGCTTTTCTTTTTTTTTCTTCTTTTTTTCTATGTAAGGATGAATTCCTGTGTGATACCAACACATGATTTCTCCTGTGCCTGAATGTCACAAACTGAGCGTTCTGTAAATAAAACAGCCTGATTTATTTATTTATTTTTCTAATCTTTACTGTGAGGTAACTTGACATTACATTAGGTCTAAGACAGGTCAAAGTCCGTATCAGATATCAAACACTTTGTAACGGATCTGCCTTTGTGGTTCTTTCTACAGTTGGACTTCCCTTTTTTATCCTTAATCTTCAACACAGCCCTTTCAAACGGGGCTTCTTCTGTAATGACGAGTCCATCAGATACCCCCTCAAAGAGGACACCATATCCTACCAGCTGCTGGGGGGGGTCATGATTCCTTTCACACTGATTGTTGTAAGTCTACAGTCCTCTTTCATATCGTCACCACAAAGAGAAATTCGACTCCTCGCTTTTTTTGTGGTCCTTTTGATTATTTCACAGTTTGCCTACCCGTTGTTTGTTCTCCTCTGTCTCAGATAATCTGTGGGGAGTTCGTTTCGGTGTACTTGTCCCGCATCAAGAACCAGTCGCTGGGGAAAAAGTACATGTCGTGCATCTACAAAGCTGTGGGGAGCTACCTGTTCGGAGCTGCTGCCAACCAGTCCCTCACTGACATAGCAAAGTACTCCATCGGCCGCCTGCGGCCCAACTTCCTGGCCGTATGCAAACCGGTATGGGACCGCATCAACTGCAAATCGGGAGGATACATCGAGAATATCACCTGCACGAGGGAAGACGAATTCATGGTGGATGAGTCAAGGTAAGCTTCTTGAGCCTCAAATTCATGAAACCGTCAGCAGGCATTCAATTTCCTCTGAGTTAACCAAGATGTTATAGGCATTACGCAATGATTGCAGAAGCTTTGTAATGTGTTCACTTCTGGAGACACGATGTTTAACTAACGGCATTTTTCCAAAGCAGAATGAGCCAATGAATGACAGGAAACAGTCTTACACCATCATTTCTATTAGCAAACACAGTTAGTGGGTTATTTTCCTCCAAAAAGGCAAACCTGAGAAAATGAGTTATTTTCCTCAAGATAATACACTGTGCAGAAATGGCACAAAGCCAGTCCTTATAAACTTATGGGCTGGAGTTACACAAGAAAAACAGGGTAGATCAGTGGATTGTGGTCTAGCAGTGCCTACACCACGCTTAAGACAATCCAGACTGTTTTCATGTATTGTTCTAAGATGGTGGAATTACTCACCAAGAACAGCAGCTTCCCTGTCTGTCTTCAGGCAACTCTTAAAGACCCACCTCTTCAAAGAGCATCCTCTATCCTAACTCTTACCCATACCTCTATACCCCCTCTACTACTCTTTCTGTGCTTCCCTCTATCTCCTCGCCATCACCACTGACTCTGAGTAGGGCTTTTCCTCTAGAGATCTTATTGTCAGATTATTGATAACTGTAACATTGTGAAGTTCTTTAATCCTTCTGGCAAAACAAAAGTTTCCAAGAGTTTATATTAATAGTGATGGATACTGATGATGAAAAATATTTCAATTTCATTGTGAGAAATGCTTTGTTGATTAACAACCTAATTCATAATGCTGACTCTTCTGAAATTCATTCTTTTTTTATGATTCTCTCATAGACTGTCCTTCTACTCTGGTCACTCATCCTTCTCCATGTACTGCATGCTGTTCCTTGTTGTAAGTAAATATTATCTACGTTAGAAAGAAAATATTGTGAAATGAAATGTTGCATGCTGCTTTGTGATGGAGCTAAATATAATCATAACTTGTTGTCAAACACCTTATCTCTCATGGACATTTTTGTAAAAATAGAAATGTATTTGGTTTATTTGTGAGCAAATGTGATATCCTAAGGCCTTTTCTCATCCTGGTGTTTCCTCGTTTCTTCCCTCGGACTGCTGCAGCTGTACATTCAAGCCAGACTGAGGTCAAAATGGTCAAGACTCTTGCGTCCTACCATCCAGTTCTTCTTGTTCGCTACTGCCATTTATGTAGGCCTGTCCCGAGTGTCTGACTACAAACACCACTGGAGTGATGTGCTCACTGGCCTCCTGCTGGGGGGCTCAATGGCTGTTTTCACCGTAAGTTGAATTCAAGAAGGTTTGGGGATTATGGTAAAACAAGGAGTTTGCATGTGCAATGTAAAAGTCAAATTACACAGGACATTTCCAAAAAGGCCCTGTTGATCTCATTATACTTTAACATGAGTGAGTGTATTGTTTCAAAGCAGTCAAAATAATTGCATCTAATGTATTCCACATTAGCTTGTTCTAGTTTGTGATTTCACCACAAAATACTTTCCATCCGGTGGAGAAATGTCAGCTTCTGGGATGTTGTTTTAGTCAATTAAAGAATAGTTACGGATTTAGGCAATTGGGGAATAATTAAGCAATGTCCTTTGCACAGAATCATAAGTGAAAATGTGTTGCTGTTTTTTCTGCAGGTGTTCCTCGTCTCCAACTTCTTCGCACAGCCAGTTGAGCCAGTTGTGTCACAGGAGGAGGAGGAGGAGGAGGAAGCCTCACACACCAGTTTGCAGGAAAACCCCTCCAATGGGAACCACTACGGCAGCACTGACTGAACTTGGAGCCCACAAGCCAAAAACAACAAAAAATCTCTGCAGTACCTCCAGTCTTTAAAATAGCAATGGAAGGCTTAACTAGCTTAAATGAACAGCAAATCAAGACCTTATAAAAACTTTTGCCTGTCGGGATGTATGTTCTGAACACAGTTTGCCTGCTTGGAGCCAATGCCTGCAGGCTTTAGCTGCTATCTGCTGTGACTGATACACTTCACAGACCCTTGCACTTAACTTAGGCATAAAGAAATACGAGTTCATGCAGCTTTTTGGTCAAATCCAACTGGTACTTATAGAGTTTTAAAAAAGGATGTTGGGTATAACTCAGGAACATTACTTTTTTTTTTTTTTTTTTTTTTTTTTTTTACAATATGACCTTGTTGAAAATGTGGTTTCTTGTGTTTTTTTGGTCTGATGTTGCCATGAAGGAATGTCATTCCTTTTTGCCCAGAATATAACGAGTGCCTGTATGTACACTGCAAGCAGGCTTGTAGAGGTCTGATGGTACCTGTGAAAAGGAAACTAAGGACGGTCCATAAAATGGAGACGAAACTCAGAAATAATATATTTCCTTTAGTTTTTTTTGCCTTAGATTTTTGCTGCTTCCTGCTAGCAAATACCCCCCCTCAAATGGTTATTGTATGGAAACAACCTTTTTCATATAGTTTGGGAAAAAATAATTCTGTTTTTTCCATTCATAAGGTTAAAACCCTATGGTCCCTTTTCTTTGGGAAATGAGAAAAATACAAGAAAAAATGCCCATTTTTCTACTTTGATAAAAATGAATTATGTTTAATTTTTTTTAAATATGTTTTTTAAGAGAATCCAAAGCAGAGCTGTATTAGCAAAAATTCTTTTTTAAGTATATATATATATATATAGAGGTTTGTACTTTGGCTTCTGCACATTGTGGAAAGAAAACCCAAAACTGTCTCTCATAAAACTGTATTTGAAAAATAAAGTGCAAAAAGACAGAACTGCAAAATGATTTAATTATTGTTAACCATGAAGAAAGTATGAACCTTTAACTGGTCTTTATGCAGTGTTTAGAAGGGGACCCACATGTTAGCCAGCCCCATATCAGAGTCCAGTCTCTTACTGACCAGACCATCCTGTCTGTTCTGCTTATTATTGCAACAGTTTTTGCTTTCCCTACAAATACCCTTATTTGGGTTTTATTTTGGAAATACATATTTCATGATTCGTCATGTACTTTACTGAATGAGTTCATGTTGTACATTTTCAAAATTCCTCCTAAGTTATTGTTTTTGATCTGACTAAACTCTAAACTCTGTGGAGCAAATTTGATTAGGAGGAAAACTGGCTGTTTTGTTCTTGTTGTCCACATGGTTGTTCAAGCCACAGACTTTGTTTTCATAGAGGGACACAAACGATGCAGTTTCTTTTCCAAACACTTTGATAAAAAAAAGGATATACTGCGACACGGTTACGTGTACAAAAATCTAAAATGCTGAAATATTGTGATCTGTCTCTGGCAGGCTGAGCCAAACCAATTTTAAGACGTTTTCCCGATAGAAAACGGTCCCAGATTTCGTATTTCCAGGCTATTTTTCCACTGGAAAAAAGCACATGACTTCTGACTAATCGTCTGTCATTGTCTGTTGCAGAACAGAGCTCTCTCTTATTGTCATGCTGACTTCAACAATAGTCCTTTTAGAGAGCAGCTCTATTCTCTCTCCGTCACATGCCTGACATGATCTTATTAGGTGGTGATGCTGACGGGGAAAGACACGACTAGAAAAAAGCAGAAAATGAATTTTAAATAATTACCAGGTTACAGAAATGTATTTTCATCACACTGTCGTCATTATTGCCAAATCAAACAACCAAATACTGTTGAATAGCTGGTTTCAGTGAGACTGACTGTATCATGTATAAGTATAGGGAGGAATAATGACAGCAGTGAGGAAAATCTTCTGTAATATACCAGCATATATTCAGGAAAATGAGATTTCAATTGATCTTGCGTGTCAGCTTGATGACACCAAAGAGAACAAAATGCTCTGATCCAAAAAGACTACACGTCTTAATAAACTCGTACAACAAGCAGAGAACAGGCCGACACGAAATAAGAGTAAAGAAACCACGGAGAGGAATGAGATCAATGAAAAAGAGTTTGGATGCATAAGCAATACCATGTATGTAGCCACCAGCTGAAAGATTTGAATTTTTACTATGATGAGGAAATAAAACTGTGAGATGTTCATTTAAATAACGGAACCAAATAGGCCAGAATATACACTTCGGTTCAGCAAGTAATGAAATCAGTGATGACTTCACAAACTGGAATCCTCTATGGTCTCACCACAAATGTCTGCCATCATTAGTGAGGTGGTGGAGAAAGCCCTTATGGAGGGATGAGGACAACAGGCCTGGTCAAAAGCTTCATGGCTCAGAGTCTACAGCCACCTGCTGGACACAGGGTGCACAAGACAATCCTCCAGCCACAGCACAACATGACCCACGAGTGTCATGTTAAAGACACAACTGAGTGAGCCAAAGCATGTCTTAACAAAATAATGTAAAAAAAATTCCACACCAATCAGTTTTTTCCAAGAGTATTTCCCTTTATTGTGCGTTATTCTATTTTCTTTACATTTTGGGGCATTTTCTTTCAGCTAATTAAATATACATAAAAAATATTACCTCATTCAGAATGTTCAGGTTTTTATCTTTTGGCATTTTCAGCTTATAGATTTTTTTTTTTTTAATGTGCAGCTTTTTCCTCAAATTCAGTTTTCACCAATATGAATGGGATAATCTTAAAAAAACCTTCAGCACCACTTAGTGTTATAACAGTCATGAGGCATCAAGTCATTTCTAAATGTTTCAAATATTTTGGACAGTAGTACGATCCTTGTGGGTTTTGATAAATGTATTCTTTAAAAAAAAAAAAAATCTCTTTATTCTCCTCTTTAAACTTGAAACACTCAACTTTCCCTGATGGACGCACCTGTGTCCCGCCCAGGGCCCTCTGACGGGTCAGGCTCGTCACCAAACGCTGGATATGCGACTACTACAAAATGAACAAAACCAAATTGCGTGGGAGAAAGATTTTGGAAATACTTCCAAGTAAATATACTTTCATTTACAGATTTTATGTTTTCACCATGTCCTACAAACAGAAGACAGGACAAGATGCGTTTGGTTTGTGACAATGTCACAGAATTTATTACTGTAGTATCAAACAATGAACCTCCTTTCATCCAGAACTACACCTCAGCAGGAAATCGGTGAAGGGGGCATCCATTTCCCTGTCTAATAATGAGATGCTTCTATGACCAGCTACAGTAAACAGGACTCATGAAAGTGGTACGCTGAAACATTCAGAAACATTTGATGTTCTCAGAAAAGTAAAGTCTCCTTTTAACAGGGCTAATAACTCCTCTGCCACAACTGAAATGAACTCCATGAACCTCACTAATTTTAACTGTAGTCAAGACCACAATCAGAAGATTTTTTTACACCACAGCAGGGTTGTAAAATTTTATTTGGAGAAATCTGTACATGGATGTCTTGGCCTTCAGTGTGTTCACATATATAAGCATTATGGGGGCACAGACAGGGAGCTCACTGAAGATCAGGAACAAGTGCAATCCACTACTCAAAACTGGAGAGGAAGTTCAGAACAAGCTGCTTCAACTTAGCATCTGATGCCTCCGAGATATTTCCGTCAGTCCTGAAGCAGAAAACACAGCAAATCAATTCAGGTTCGTAAAACTACATTAAAAAAAAAAAAGGACCTAACCGATTAAAAACTAAAAGATTCTCCTCACTTGATTGCTGAAAGCAGGTCCTGGTGCTGGCTGAGGATGTGCTGCAGGAAAGCCTTCTCGAACTTTGTGATCTTGCTGGGCTCCATCTTGTCCAGGTGACCTCTGACACCAGCATAGATGACTGTCACCTGCTCCTCAATAGCCATGGGAGCTGGGAAGGTGGGCGACATTAGGAGGTTTGAATACTAAATACCAGCTTAGAACTTATGCTGAAGGAACAGGAGGCACAAAGTGCTGCTACTCACAGTACTGTCCCTGCTTCAGCAGTTCAGTGAGCCGGACGCCTCTGTTCAGGAGCTGCTGGGTGGCAGCGTCCAGGTCAGAACCGAACTGAGCGAAAGCAGCCACCTCACGGTACTGAGCCAGCTCCAGCTTCATGGTACCAGCCACCTATGCAGTAGGGAAAGAAAGAAAAAATTATGAAAATCTTGAAATAAATGTGGCACGATTACAACTTGAGGTCAAGATTCTCAAAGTCAACAATTAACCTGCTTCATGGCTTTGGTCTGGGCAGCAGAACCCACTCTGGACACAGACAGACCCACGTTGATAGCTGGGCGAATACCCTTGTAGAACAGCTCAGTCTCCAAGAAGATCTGCAGCAGACAGGATAGAACAAGCAACGACAAGTCATGAAATGATTCTGCAATGGGCCTGATCGGCATCGGCGGCTGGCGAGGACAGACCTGCCCGTCCGTGATGGAGATGACGTTGGTGGGGATGTAGGCGGACACGTCGCCGGCCTGAGTCTCGATGACGGGCAGGGCGGTGAGGGAGCCGCCGCCAAAGTTGTCGTTCATCTTGGCAGCTCTCTCCAGCAGACGGGAGTGCAGGTAGAACACGTCTCCGGGGTAAGCCTCACGACCGGGGGGACGACGCAGCAGCAGCGACATCTGACGGTAGGCAACAGCCTGACGGGAGACAAAACCACCAGTTTATTTAGACGATCAAGTCTTAAACTAACTAAGAAGGATTACCCTTCAGAAAAGGTCATGCACAGCTCCCCCACCTGCTTGGACAGATCATCATAGATGATCAGTGCGTGCTTGCCGTTGTCCCTGAAGTACTCCCCCATGGAGCAGCCAGAGTATGGAGCCAGGTACTGCAGGGGCGCAGCATCGGAGGCGGTGGCAGACACCACGATGGTGTATTTCATGGCGTCGGCATCAGTCAGCCTCTTCACCAGCTGAGCCACAGTGGACCTCTTCTGACCAATGGCGACATAGATGCAGTACAGCTTCTTCTTCTCATCAGTTCCCTCATTGAAGCGCTTCTGGTTGATGATGGTGTCGATAGCAATGGCAGTTTTGCTGTGGTGACATTTGATGTCTAGGTTAGCTTCGGAACTGCTAAAGCAGCAGTATGTAAACCATTTAAAGACTATTTACCCAGTCTGCCTGTCACCAATGATCAGCTCACGCTGGCCACGGCCGATGGGCACCAGACTGTCCACAGCCTTGATTCCAGTCTGCATGGGCTCCCTCACAGAGATACGAGGGATGATGCCAGGGGCCTTCAAACCAACACGCCTACGGATCTTAGAGCCCAAAGGACCCTGAAAAGAACAGATTTGAAAAAAAGGATGGTCACAAATATATTCAGTGCAAATTCATTATAAGAGGCAATTTGTCAATCGGTTTATTTATTTAAAAGTATAGAAGTATTTGAGATGAGGCAAGATGCTACATGTGAAAGTAGTAGCTTGAATTTAATCTGCCATCTTATGATCCTTTTAATAAACATTTCAAAATAACCTTTCCATCGATGGCATTTCCCAGAGCGTCCACTACACGGCCAAGCAGCTCCTCGCCCACAGGGACATCTACAATGGCCCCGGTCCTCTTTACGATGTCACCCTCCTTGATCAGCTTGTCATTACCGAACACCACAACACCAACGTTGTCAGGCTCCAAGTTCAGAGACATACCCTGTTGGACAATAATGTCAAATTGTTAGAAAGTATTTTTACAAATATGTACTATGATGCATTGAAAGCAGACAAGCTCAAATGGAAACTGACAATTTAAATTTATTTTGTAAATTTTCAAAAAAATAAAAAGTTACCTGCAACTTCGATCTATTTATAACTACTCGTTTTACTTACTTTGAGACCAGAGGAGAATTCCACCATCTCTTCAGCCTGAACATTCCTCAGCCCGTACACTCTGGCAATACCATCACCAATGGACAGCACACGTCCAGTCTCCTCTAGGTCAGCAGAGGTGTCAGCTCCCAAGATCTTCTCCTCCAGGATTGAGGACACCTCAGCTGTGCCTGTGAAAGTGGGTGTGCGAACATTTAGATAAAAACACTATTTCGAAATGACATTGGAAACTGTGTCTGTGATTAACATAAGAGATCGCGAGTTTTCCATTACCGTTACAGAAAATGTAACATTGTCCTGGACTGAATTAAATTAAAATGTTCCAGGATTAAGTGAAATGGGCAGCGTTAGTGTCAAGCCTCAACCAAAGGCTTTGGATGGAAATACAAACAATTAACCTTGATTGGAAAAACCTTTTGAAGTTACTGTATTATTTATAAAACTATATGTGCAATTCGATGGCTGACTGTGGATACATTTTCATAAAGTTTGACCCACATATTGAAGGAGAAAAGATGTGTGTTGTGTTTGGCTCTCACCAGTCTTCTGCAGCCATGGTCTGTGTGTGTGGAGGTGGTTGACCCCAACCCAGGCGGCTGGCACCGTCTTAGAAACCTGAGTTCGGCGACAGGAAAATGTCATTTAATGCCAACTACAAACTTGAGCTAATGAATATTGCAAATACGGTTGAAACGTTTCGCTTTAAGCGCTGAGCCTGTTTAAAGCTGCGCAGCTGATAGGGCATGCGCTGTCAGGCTTTCTGACCTTCAAGCGTGGCTGAATGAGCCGTTAGCTTACGACTAGCATTAGCTAACGTGCTAATTTAGCCTCTGCAGGACGAGGACCGCAGTCACGCAAGGGCAACTCGGATAAACCACTTAAAATACATAACTCAAAGACTTAAAAGTACATTTTTTCGAAGAAATTGATATTTGCATTTACAGCCGCGTTCATAAGCCGGTGACAAGTTAGCTAGCGGCCCATGACGTACCATTACCCTTCACATCGACACGACAGGATACATTTTGATCGACCAAATAGCTGCAAAACCTAAAAAAGGTTTAGATCGGTTATTCAAAATACTTACAAATCCAGCCCTCCTAGGCAGGGTTCTGGCCAAAGCTGCTGCAACTCTTACGGATAACATTTTCTTGGGTTGCTAATGACCTGTCCTCCACCAAGCGGTTCCGACCTGCCTGTGAGTGAATGTAATGGCTGAATAAGTCTTCTTCTATTTAACTGCCACCGAAGTTGTATTTCCTGCTTTACCGTGCAACTGCGCCCCCTACTGTTAAGGCAATGATACTGCTCTCTCTACATATTCTCTCTAGCTATATATAATCACATTGTTTGAGAAATCACGAACAAGTATTTACTGGCAGATTTGACCTGATGTTGTTGAAATGTCTGGTAATTAAAAAATCCCCTGTTGATAACTTACAATAAGACCTTCATTTCTCAAGTTTTCCAAAAATGTAAACATTTGAAAATACAAATTAATTCACACATCATCCAGATTTAGAGCAGAGGTCTGAAAGACAAACAAAGCCAGACTAAATATTATTTTTATCATGTCAAAGTTTTACATGACAATTCTTCTTACATGTTTTGATGAATTATAATAGCACAAAAAAAGCAAAATGCATTATTTTGCATGCTTTTTGGGGTAAAATTCATTAACAAATTACTTTCTACAATTCCTCACTTAATTTTCTGTATAACTGTATAATGAATGGGGATCCATGATATCTCTGGATGATGAGCAGATTGATATAAAATTTGGTCAATGTGGTCTAAAATATATTGGCACGACAACCACCTGACTGCAAATATATAAAATATGTATTTGTCTGAAATGACTAGAAAGTATATTTTTCTGAATTTCCATAGAAGCTTTGAAAAGAATTGAGATATTTCGAAACTGGTTACTCTGGTGTCATATGGATCATAAGCAGGGATTTCAGCTTTCAATGTCAAATTCTACAATACAGCCCCCTCGGTCTGATGTCAGTGTATGAACTGACCTCCTTAATGTGAAAACTGCTGTATGTTACTGCAATATAATCAAACAGATCCTGCTTTGGATGAGGACAGATCATAACTCTATGAATGTGACCTTTACATCTAAAATATGACAACTGTAGGTGCTGTCAGCTGCTGTGCATTGACCACTTGGGACACGTTTGGATTGTCAGGGCCTGAGTTTTGGACAATAGCGGGGTAAGTATATACCACCTGTGTTCTGCGTACAGTACAGAGTGAACACCGTGCTATTCTTTCTGACCTCAACCTTTTTTTGCCACCTTTCCAAGCTCAAGGACATTCGAACGCATGGTCACAGTCCGCGTCGATTCAGGGGTCAGAGTTTTGCATTTTAAGATAGAACTATTTGACAGCTGTTATTTTTACTGGCCTGTGTCCAGATCCACAGTTTCTGCCAATCAAACCGCTCTGTTCCTTTGGAAAATGTCAACCATTTTGATAACATTATCTTAGGTAATTGGTGGAGTTAAGTGATTATTTTCCTTTAAAAAATTCAAGATTATGTCACCATTTGCTGTTTTAATGTTTCACATAACATGTTTCAGTTGAATATCTCTTGCAAGTCGCCTGATTGTATGTGAATAAAAGGGCACATTGATGACGGGACATTTTAAGAATGGGTTTCCCTATTTCCCCTACATCTCCTTCTTTCTTCCATCTCACATCATTTCACACCAACAGCCTCTTCCCTCGTTAAAACCCTCGGAATAAGGGGAAATTGGCAGGCCCGGACGGCTTAACCTTGAGATACCTCCAGTTGTTGTGTGTAGAGCCGCAACATCGCCCTCTTTTGCTCTGGACAACAAATGACATGTCTGCTTTTGTCAGCAACAACCAGGCGAGTCAGACAGTCGCTTGGTTTGCCTGTAGTAGCCAGCCAACCAGCCAGCAACAACCAGTCGCCTGAATGTAGATCCGCATGGGCTGCTACTACTCCATCTCTTTAAATAACCCAGCGGAATCATAAAATAAGGATCCCAGGATGGTGTTAGTGCATGTCGGATATCTGGTTCTTCCCGTATTCGGCTCAGTAAGAAACAGAGGTACGGTATTAATATTCATATCGATCCAAACATGTGCCCTGTTTATCTTAATATTCACTGCAGCTGTTGGCTAGCTAGCGCGAGCTTAGCCCTCAGGTTAGCTCCTGTTAGCTAGCTTTTAAATGAACTGTTCGTTAACTGCTCGTGGCGACACCTTAATTTGTGTTTTTTGCAGATTCAGAAAACTCGACGAACGATGTAATTCCCCCATTTTTATTGTCCGTTATGGAACCCAAATGCGGTCGCTAGAGGAAAGCTAACTGGCTCGCTGGCTCAGCCTATATCCTGGAACGGAAACATTTCTCACAAAGGCTTTCACATGCTCGTAACTTGCGGTCTCACGTATCAGATAACACCTTCCTCTATAAGCAAATGTGTTAAACGGTTAACTTAAGAGTGAATTAACAAGGCCTTTGCCCAAAATTCTGCTTTAGTATTTCCGTTGTTGGTTTTCTCCAAACTACCGTCTATTCGCACTGTTAAAATGCCGCAAAATAGACGTAGCCTTCTCATCCAGTCATCTTATCTGTGCCTGGATGATGTCATATGAAGATCATCCGCTGCTACCAGCTCAAGCCGATTTTACACCGCGATTTCATTAATTATTATCCGTGTCAGTTGGTCAGCGCACTAATCCATAACTGACCTATTGATCGGTTTGCGTGGATATCCGATCCAACATTCCGCCGCTTTTTTCTTTTATTGGCTATCGAGCAGCTGTTCGTCTGAAGCTGCAGACCTGCGAAACACACGAATGTGCGCTCACAGTCAAACATACATAGAGCTACAGTGTAACATTAATTTTATAACAGTGGCATCAGTGATTTCATTGTGCTTTTATTTCTGTTCTTATTTCCCTGTTTCATAGTATGGAGGCTGGCTCTACATTCTGCATTTATCAGATCTTTGTCGTCCCCCATTGTGTAGCTAATGATCATCTGCTGCTGTGTGGTGTGGCGTGGCCTCTGCCTGTTCTCTGCATTTAGCTGTATTGTGAATCCCTTCTTCATTTCCTCTTTCCATCAGAAGACGACATTGGTATTAAAAAGCACCCCCTCCCAAGATGTATTCTGCCATAGACTTTTCATGTTAAGCAGACTAAAACTATAGCTAACACCATTAGAAACAGAGCACCTTTTTTGTCTTTTTTCTGTCAAATTGCTGTAGCACTGAGTAAACATTTTAGCTCCTTTCTAGATATCAGTTGAATGTCATTGTGTACCTCCCATCCAGTCTTGATAGACAACATGCTGTAAATTCCTGTAAAGTGGATACATTTTGCATGATCTCCAAAACTGCACTGCATTGTTGAACACCAGAATTTGGCTCATCTTCCTTCTCTTCACACAAGGTGCAATGTACATTATGAAAGTAACACGATTGAACAAAAAAATCATGCAAATTGAAATCACAAGCATGTAAATTTTATTCTCAGACATTTCAGCAAATGCTGTCATGTGACCACTTGAAATTACTTAAAGTACACTGCACCTGAACACAGCAACCTGCCATAACTGTCTCCATTTTTGTGTAATCCTTTTGTTCCCTTTGCAAATTTCAAGCTTTGAATCACACTGAATTGTCGGGCTGAATGCCCTTTATGGGCATATTTACCAAAAAAAAGAAAGAAAAAGAGATTAATTTGGAAAACATGCTCACTGGTGGTTCATCACTTCCCAATTTACCCCACTAACATAAGTCCAAAATGCTATCCATTTCACAGGGATGCCTATTTTCCTGCACTGCTAAAGAGATCCTCTATTAGTAATAACGTCTTTATTGTTTGGTTGTGGTCTCTCTTTACCTTTTGTTCTGGTAATAGTACTTTCAGTGCATGGTCACATTTATGATTCATAATTTTTGTTTATGTTTTTCTACATTGACTAGTAAAAATCCAATGTAATCCTTCTGTAGTAAAGATGTACCCTTGCTGTACTGAAATCATGTGCTGTAGCCAACACGTCTGCTCATTGGATGCCGCTTTTGTTCTTTTTAACCCTATATGGAGCATGGTGGGCCTTGCCTTCAGTCTATGTTGTTTATTTTTGTTGCATGGATTTATACTATTATTATTACAAACAAAAAAGAAAACACAGATTCCACATATACTAATATTTTTTCAATAAAGAATATAGTGTTTTTCCTAACCTTCAGTGTGCTTCTTGCTGATTTCCATTTATTGTCCTCCCTCTCCCTTGTCCCAACCTGCCCCCCCCCCCCCCTTCTCAGACCCTCCACTCCCCCACCCACCTCCTCTCCTGCTATGACAAAGATAGACGATTTCCATGCTTCCTCCATGACAGGGCCAGAATGAGTCTATCTGCTGTCATTCATGGTGATCGTTTTCATTGAGACGCTTGAAAACGCAGTGTGCTACTTACAATCCGCACCTGAGCCTTTACATGTGGCACAAGCCCAGCTAGCCTGCTGGGCTGCGTTCATGAATAGTCCAGCTGGGAAGATTTCCGAAAAGCCACATTGCTTATCTTTCCTGGCTGTTTGAAAAAAAAAAAAAAGAAAAAAAAAAAAGTTGTACTGCGTTTTTTAAGCATACTCTAAGTAAATGCAATGTAGATTTTGCCTTAGTCTTCCATGATTTTAGAACAACTTTTCCTCTTTGAGTCTGTCAAAGAAGAGACATGGTGGGTTCTGTAAGGCAGAACTGTACAGATTTCTAAAATGTGAAACTCAACACAGAGCAGGTCACTATGCTGTTGCAGCCTGATTGCTTAAAGGCATGTGGCACCTTCCCTTTGCAGAGATTTAGTCCAGAGTCTGTAGTCGCAGCTAAAATTCTTAATGCAATGTGTCAGCCCCTCCACAGCAACAAGAGTAGTATTAAAACCATATTGCACCAGAGCAGGAGCAAGCTGGCTTTTCTTTTGTCTTCTTTTCTCTGTCGAGTCTCGACTACAGTCTGTTCATAGCAGCTGCCAAATAGCTGTGGTTGTGGAGTTGGAAAAAAAAGAAAAAGCATTCAAACTATTTCCTCTCAGGTCCTGAATGTTCAGTCTGGAGAAGAATGGCAGACATTGTTTTCTAAGAAAAAGAAAATGGTAGATTGTAGTGAAACACTCACACACAATGTGAATTACTTTGACTGGTTTGTAATCATTCATATAGGGAGTGCTTCTTAAAAGATTTACCTCAAGAGATTTGTATCAGATATGCTTTCATGTATTTCTTACTGGCAGGAAGGTAATAATGGGTCATCACGGAATGCTTTTACCAGCAGTCCAATGCAGAATTTACAAGAACTAACCTGCATTTAAGGTCATGCCTGAACATTAGCAGAGCTCATGTGTTTCTCTGCTCGTGAATCAGAGGACCAGGAGTCGATCCGCGTGTTTGGAGTACATTTAAAGAAATGATAACTCACGTTTTATGCGCAGCACCCAAAGTGGTTGTCATTTTCATGCTACTTCTGGTAACCATCATTTTCCCACCCCCACAGAAGTATTTTTCACCCTAGGTAAGAGGAAGGGCTTCATTAACATGCTATTTTCACACACAGTGGCACCACATTTCACCCACAATTAATTCCAGCTCATTTCTGCCCCCAGACTCCTGACAGCTTCTCCTTATCCTCCGCAGGATCCCATTTCAACCGGCAACAGCAACAACAACAGCAGCAGCAGCAGCACAGCCATGCTACCTCTTGCCGGCACTTCCAGTTAGGTCCTCAGGCCCCTCTGCCCATGGACTTCCCCATGCCCCACCCAGGGCAGCCACAGTCAGGCATTAGCCCCCACCTGGCCCCTCCCGGCCACCAGCATGGCCCTCCGCTCCACCCGCCCCTCAATCCGCTACCTGCTCCCCAGTTCCAGGATATCCCCGCCCCGCCCTTCCTACCTCAGGCATTACACCAGCAATATCTACTCCAGCAGCAGATCCTGGAGGCCCAACACCGACACATCCTGCCACCCTCCAGGTATCTCCCACAGACTCCCTCTGCAGGCCCCCGGCCCCAGTCAGAGTCGGAGCTTTGTAGAGATATCCCATTCAGGCAGCACGACTTAAGGCGCGCCTCGTTTCCAAGGATGTTTTCAAATCCATCGTTCTGTTTTGTCTCAGTAGACGCACCCCAGAGAGAGTTCCTCACCAGCCTCACAGGCTGCGGCCTGGCTACGAGTTTGCACCCCCCCTCCACGTCCCCCCTCAGACGGTGGTGCAGCAGCCTCGCTACCTGGCCGAGGGCACAGACTGGTAAGCAGAAGGCAAACTGTTGAGCTGATGGAATTAGATGACGGAACTCCTTCTCAGTCTCTTTAGTCTACCCCAGAAGACTTTCAGTTTCCATCAGATTTAAGACCGGATTTAAGAGGCTGAAAGTTCCAGCATGTCAGATTTATTGGTGTAAAAATGCTGGTCGTTGAAACAGAATACTCTCAACCTCACTTTTCCCATACCAAACCAACTCATTCTGTGAGAAGTGCCAAAAAAACAACAACTTTATTGCATTTTTCCACCTTTGAAGAACTGTTGATTAAATATTTCTTTGTAGATTTAGAATGTTTCTATTTTCATCTGTTACTCTGTTTCAGGTGAGTCTTCATTACTTTTTCAGACTCAGCTTTTTGCTAACTATCGTCAACAAACAAACCTTATGTCGTGCATATATTGCAACCAAATTAAAAATGAAAAGTTTAAACATGTGTCTAAACTTTCCACATACCTATGGGAATTGACTAAAACACACAAATTCCTTCTTAAGGAAAACCTTTGTGACCCTGACTTGCGTGCTGCTCGCTGACTTTGCGTTTTGGTTTGTGTCCAGGGATCTGAGCGTGGACGCTGGGCTGCCGCCTCACCAGTATCACATCCACCCCCTGCCACAGCACTATCAGCACTACCTGACCTCCCCCAGGATGCACCACTTCCCCCGAAACAACGCCTCAACACAAGTGGTGAGCCCGCCCGGCCTCTGTAGAAATCAGTCTCCTTCATCTTGACGAACTCCAGGAGTTTCGCCTTTTGGTTTGTGGGACTCATCTTCCCACTAAGTGGGGACGGCCCCCGTGCCTGTTGTCCCGTCTGGTTTCTGCTGCCGAGCTGACGCCAGCTCCTTTAATCTGTCACCTCCCAGGTCGTCCATGAGATCCGAAACTACCCGTATCCGCAGCTGCACTTGTTGGCTCTGCAGAGTCTCAACCCTTCCCGCCACGCGTCCGCCGTTAGAGAAAGCTACGAGGTCTGTGTCGCCGCCTCCCCCCTCTGCTCAACAGACACACCAATCTACACTCATTTATCAGCCATCCCTCCATGACCAATGCTCTGGACAGGCTTAAATGTGTAACTGATTTCCTTATTCCCAATTATGCTGGGTTCCAGATGCTTCCAGTGGTCCAGATGGCTTGAATCCACTGACATTAGTTTCCATTAGATCAAGATGCAGTTGTTCTCTGAGAGGCCCTTTTGTACTCTTTAAACCACCAGTTTAGTTATCCCACACTTTAATGTCTTTTTTCTGTGTGTGTCATTTTGCGTAGAAATGCATTTTCTTTCAAGCAAATTATTAAAAGACCTGTTCCACAGGAACTTCTGCAGCTTGAGGACAGACTCGGCAGTGTAAACCGTGGAGCGGTGCAAACCACCATCGAGAGATTCACCTTTCCCCACAAGTACAAAAAGGTAGGGCAGAAGCTTCTTCACCTGCCGGCCGGTTGGCAGGTCTTTTTGAAGTGCTTCGCTACAAAGCACTGGACACGAAGCAAGTTGAGAGGGATGTGAATGAAGCGAAAAGGAGAGTGGCAGCACTGCAGGGTCAGAGGGATCACAGGGAGGAGAAGAAAGAGTAAAGAAGGCCTCCGAAGTTCAAAGGTCAAGCTCATTTCTCTCAGCAGAATAATGAGACGGAGACTCGGTGCGCACAGTTCCAGGCGAGGGATGACTCATCCTGCCGTCTGCAGATATGAGCGCAGAAGGAATTCAAAGAAATGTCTCCTCTGACTCTGACCCAAATTCTCTGGGAAGAGTGTCAAAATGTTGTGGGGTCTTTTTCTTCGGGAACTATGATTGGGTGACTTTTTGTTTGTTTTTTGGGGTTTTTAAACACATATCCAGCCTGGGCTGACTCAGAAGCCCCCCGTAGCATAAACACAGCATCCTCAGATAATTAAAGTCTGTTTCCTGCTGTGTGGTTATCTCTGCAGAGGATACCCCAGGACCTAAAGATGTGTCTGGATGACGAGGAGCTGGATACCGATGAAAAGTGCACCATTTGTCTGTCGATGCTGGAAGATGGAGAGGACGTCAGGTAGGGCCGTTTGCTCTGTTTGCTATCCATAACCAGGATAATGCTGTTAATGGAGATGCGATAGAAGGCTGTACTTAAATGTCTTGGCGTGGTGCGTTGTTCAGTTTGCACAGGCTGGAACATCTCAGCAGCTACACCAATTTCATCGATTTCATTTTTTGAGATACGCATCAGTGACATTTAGATGCATTACTATTCAATTCGGTACTGTGGGGTTAATGTTTTGCACTTCTGACATTTATGTAGCTCCATTATCAGGTCAAAATCATAATGCTTTCCCAACTTAAGTTTGGGATTTAATTCCTGCCAAGTGAAATGTTTTCCCCATCAGCCTGAGCTGTGCTATGTGAAGGCAATAAAAAAAAAAAACATTATTCTGCTTCATTTCAGCATGTTTAAAAGCAGCGTGAGTCATTTTTCTAAAATGATGATCTTTCCATCCAGTGGATAAATATGCAGTACAGCACTGGGATAAGCACGTACAGCCCACAGAAAACAGTCTGAATTGGTTCTGCCATCAAAGTTCAAGGGGCTGAAAATTCCCGCAACACCTTTTAATGAGAATACTGTCTGAGTGCTGCGTCAGCTCCCCACAAACGCTGAAGTGTGTGCCCTCTGTTGTGATCTGTCTGTGTGAGAGAGTCATTTTACCCCTCTGAAAGAAGGAAGAGCAGCCATGTATAAGCAGTAGATGAGCACTCAGGGTTTTGTTGGCTCAGTGCGTCTCCGGTCGTGTTTAAAAGATGAGCATGGAACAGCGAAATACTGATGGAGTTGGCTTATCTTTAACTCAAAACTACACACACGCCGTGTGTGTAGTTTTGGTTAGACAGCTACATTATGTTGCCTGCGCACCGCTTTTTGGGATTCTGATCCTGGAAAAAAAGACAGCTGTGCAAAGATTTGATAAAAGTGGAAAGCTCTAAACGTGCAGACACGCATGAAGCCTTCACATGAAGCCTCTCCATGGGTGAAATGAAATCACTTGTGAAGTGGAATTTAATCTCAAGAGGTCACTTGAGATGCATTCAGGCATCAACTGTGAACCCCAGCTTGACAACTGGATCTATTCTAGAAAAGGGCTAAATACCGGCCCTGACAGGACCCATGAATCACATCCATGTTTAATCTCAGCTGACGTGGTGTAACTAAGAAGAACTGTGAACGTTGTGTCATTCAGCTGTTTCCAAACTCTTACGGTTCAGGGCACAAATGAAAGAGAACATGAGGGGGCAAAACACTAAAAGCAATGGACATGTAGCTACCGTCGTTGCCCCCGTTTTCAGTCGGTCAAGCCTCGCCAAGACGGAGACGAGCAGCTAAAAAACAGCAGACAGCTGAATCAAAAGAACCTTCTGAAAAAGGTCTCACCACAGAGTCAAATATGGCATGAGTGACAGTGCAGGTCAGAGCTCAAAGAGCTTTAGTTTGAAGTTACTAATCATTGGAGTTGTGCAGATCAAAGTGCCTTTTGAAGGCAAATGAATAGAGCTTCAACCAGTCAGAGCAGTCCACTGACCATCCTACAAATGAGTTTGGCAGTGGATGTTTGTTTGGATTGATGCCAGCCACAAAAAAAGTGAAATTGTAGCTTTATGAACCCTTAATTATTCAACTGAATCAATCATCCTTTGAGTTTGAGAACAACATGCTAATTTAGGGACAAGTTAGACTTGATGGACTACTCCTGTAGTTCAACAGTTTGGGTTGTAATAATATCCTATCATCATAACCTTGGTTTAGGTGCAAAAATGTATTTTTTAAGTGTATATAGATAGTTGAAAATGGCATTTGGACGCAGTTTAACATGGAAACAAAGGGTATATTTTTCCCCAGTCAGCTTCAGGATGCAAAAGATCATATTTGTGTCAAATCCTAAATGGTGTTTCTTCTCTCTCCAGGAGATTACCCTGCATGCACCTCTTTCACCAGGCGTGTGTGGACCAGTGGCTGGCCACCAGTAGGAAATGCCCCATCTGCAGAGTGGACATTGAGACCCAGCTCACCCCTGACAGTTGATAGCTCCTGCCCCCTGCTGCAGCTATGGATCTGGTCTTGGTCATTTATGTCGCCTCCCTTTGGGGAGGCTCTGCCAAACACCCCTCTTTCCCTCTGCATCACTCAAAGAGCCTGCCTTCTGAGACAGCTGTGACAGAGGGATTAACAAAGCACACTCATCTACAACACAACGAGGAGCGGGGGGGGGGGGGGGGGGGCTGACGAACCGATAGGTGGCGGGACTGAAGGTCAGTTTAATGGACTTTGCTGGATGTAAAAGATGGAGGAGTGGACATGTATGGACAGATGTGCTGAGGTTTCACACAATTCTGTGGGATTGTGTACCCCTGTGTGCATTTTTCCATACAGCCACCAAATGAGAGGACACTCCGACTACCAACCTCCCCAGTTCAGTGTGGCGTATTAAGGCCATTTCTCTGCCACTATGTCCACACCCTCTCCCCCAGCTCTGTGAAAAATCCTTTAAGCTGCACTGTGCCCAAGCCCTCAGCACATCTGTACAGAACATTATCAAATGAATAGCATGAGGTTGTGTGGTGTGAACTCTCGTAGCTGAACGCTTGTGGTGTCATGGAGTATAGTACTGAATAAGTATTTACAGAGTAACAGTGTTGTGTAGCAAGCAAAAAGCCTTTTGAGAAATATGTTTGTGAAAATAAACCTACAGAGAGGGTGAATCCAACTCTAGAGTATTCAGTGTGTTAAATCATAAGCAACAAGAGAAGAGCTACTAGTCATGTAAAAAGGCCAAAAATCCTTCTTTCTTGTCTAACAGGTTTTGGATTTACAGTTAGTAGACGCCATCAAAGTTGATGCTAAACCCGCTAACTGCAGGCATGGCTTCCAGTGATGTGTGTAGTGTCGTAGTGGGGCCTCTATAACCTAGAGCAGAGGCCTCAGATGTGCATGCTGTATGGCAGGCTTGGGCTGTGTCGTTAATATTGTGGAGCCGTAGAAACAGGGACTGTGTCTGTGCATGTGAACCGTATATTATGACGATGATCCCGCTCATTCATGGAGGAGGACAAGAACGCACCTATTAGCTCACTACCCCCCTTCCCACTCATCCCAAATCGACCAAAGTTGCCCTCAGACACTGATCCTAGACCAGCGCGGCGTGTCTTTTTCCTTCTGGTTTTCCGCCGGGATGGAAAGAGCCGCGGGGCGGATCCGTGTCTGACGGCAACTCCTCTCTGTGGCCTCGCTCATGGCTCGTTCATGAGAGGCCGGCATGGGCTTGAGAATGCGGTGCCTGAGTCTTGCCATCAGATTGACATTTGTATTACCTATTACCAGAACCTTATTGCCTATCGAACAAGCACATGTGATTTCTATATACAGTGAATCGCCTCTGTTGTGTAACAGCTCCTTTCATTTCAATCTGAGTTGCTCCCACTGTTTGATTCGAAGATTGTGTCTGGTGTTACAGGGAAAAATACAAACTAGTTTGCCTGTGATATGAGCTAGAATGTGTCTGATCGTCCCACCCCTCTGTCCATGGTACTAGTGTGTGGTATTGCTAGAACAACTGTGACATGTGCAGTGATAGAAGCTGTGACTCGATATCATGCATGAACCATGCTGGCGCACTTCACGTGAAGGAGGGTGAAAGGGAGAAAAAGCCATCCATTTGAAAAATACCAAACAACTGTTTTTTAACATGAATTTGATTTCAAGTGTTTTTCCTTTCTGCCATTTCTTTTTCGTTTTTTTTTTCTCGTTTTTTAAGCTTTATTTCTGTCTGTTTAATCTTTTTGCTCACCTGCCAATTTGGACATGGTACTAATATGCTGGGTCCTTGTCCATTTTAACCATAGTGAAGAAGAAGCTGCAAAACATATTTATTGTTGTTATAATGTAGCTTGTGTTTTGTAAATGCACTATATTATGGAGTTGCCTGATTTTTTTGGTTTGGTGGCGTGGGTACTTCTTGTCCTAGATTTTGTGTTCTTATTGAGTTCCGAGTATTTTCATGCTTTCTTGTGTATTATCGGAGGGTAACTTGACTGTTTGTGTTGCTTTTTTTTTTCTCTCCTTTTTTTCCTTTTCGTATGAAACCTCCATCCAAAAAACTACATATGGATGAAAATGGAGGTTTGCTAGTTCACATAGAATGCTGTGATTAAAGATGCCTTAAGTATTTAACAATCATTATTTATTACTAACTGTAGCTAGCTAGCTATTGTGGTGGAATATTTAATGTCTCTATCTCATAACTTTGCAATTTAATCAATATATTTATTTAAAATAACACAAAATATAAAAAAAATACCTCATTATGCATTGGTCGGTGGGGATGCTTCTGCATGCCGTCAGTGTTTTCTTTTTCAAAGGAGAAAAATAGAAAGTTGTTGAAAAAGCAACTGGGGGTGTATCCTAACACATTTTCTAGCCAGCATGGTGCTGTTGATCTAGATGACATTCCATTCATCTTCTGATTTACTCTTAAATGTTTTATCTCTTAAAACATCTAAAGCAGAAGTCAGGGTCAAACCCTGCTCGTCTTATCTTGCTTTTCTCATATGATATCGCTTTACTCGTTGTAATCAGCACATTTGATTTCAGTTTTCACATTGTTCATTTTGTTGTTACCGCATTCATACTTTCCGTCACGCCAGGATCTCTATTTAATGTTTATTGCTTTAGGACTCACATAAAAAGCTGTATGACTTACATATTGCTGGCAGTTGCTTTGTGTGGGATTTTGGGACGTACCTAACATGCTAACTTGAGCCATTGATCTCTTGAGCAAACTTCTGGTGTACTGTGGTTTAACAATATAGATGTTTCACACCTGGTTATGATAAGCTAACTCTGTTTTGGTGTGCATTCTTGATAATACTCTACTAACCCCGCAAATTATTCAAACATGTTTTGGATTGGAATGAAGCTGACTGGTCTTACGTTTTATTATTTCATTTTGTGCTCTCACTGGCCTTATCCCATGCCCTCCACAGTGTACCCCATAACTCCAGAGTGAACTGGACAGTAGCCATAGTATTAACTCAAGCTGATGAACCGGAATGAACAGTAGAACTTAAAGCACAAGCTTTTTAATGCATGTCCTTCTCAGGTTTTCCTATGTGTATGTGGGAGTAGCTCTGTAGATGTGTTTAATATGATGCTGTACCTTCTTGAATATTTCAGATGTTTCTTTGCTGCTGAAAAAATGTTGATTATTAACCTGCCAGTGAAAAAGGGAAGTGGCCATCTTTGTACAACACACTGCTGTTTTGCTGTAACCGCGCAATGTTTTATGATCTTGAGTATTTTATAGAAAAGTAGAAGTATGTATCAATAATATGAAAGCAATAGCTAAATCATAATGAAGAATAACATGATCAGTGAATATTGTGGAAAATCTTTAGATTCACTCTGGGTGGATTTTGTACTGTATTTATTACTAATGATGATGCAAAAAGTTGCATAGCTTAACCCAAACTGTTCTGTCTCTTTTTTATTTATTGTCTTGTATATGATCTTTTTGTATGTGTTTTTCAAATAAACTGCCTAAAATACTGACATCTGATCTAAGCTGGGGTTTTTTTTGGTGTCCTGTCAATCGGATCTAAAACATTCAATTATTTAAGATACACATACTGACCAAAGATGGACTAATAAGCACAGATTATCAAATCTGGTAAAAAAGTTAGACAATTATATTTCAGCTCCTTTGAATAAATGCCCCATTTTAATTTTTTTTTATTACACTGCTCAGTTCGTATGTTGGTACAAATTCTTTGAGCATATCTTGATTTAATTCCAGGCACATGGTCAATGGCAGAAAAGCTCTTTGATAAAACCAACAGATGTCTTTAAGGTATTTGAATGGTGACTTGGTAACATGGCAAAGTTTAAAATCAGGATTTATCGACAGTCTGGATATAGTTGAGATAATATCTTATCTGAATGAATTTCAGTCACAGATTTGGATATGTTCTATCTGGCGAAAGGAACAGAAGATATGCAAATGGAATCAACTTTATTGGGAAAAATGTACACTTATTGTGTCTCCAAAAGTCAAATTGACATAACTGATTCCTCTTAGTTGTATTTTTGAAATATTCCAAGCAACTGAATTACAAATATCCAATTAAATTAAGAAACAAAAAACTCATGCCAACATAAACTAAATTAAACTCTGTTGTTTTACATTTCCAATGTCCATGTGTCTTAAATGCAGCGTTGATGCTATTTTTAAAGAAAGAGCAAAGAACAAATTAAAACTTAATGTTTATTGTGTTGTTTTTCCTGTTTTGTGAAATATTCAGGTCAATTTCCACATATCATCATATACAGGCAAAGATGGTAGCAAATGGCTTTTTCTAGAAACGGGAGGCCTTAGCACTTGGCACCAACTCAAGAGAGTACGATGGGTTTTATCCTTTAAAATTTAATGTGAAGTCACATTCAGTTGTGGGTTTTTCACTCATCTACCATGATGTAAAAAATAGAGCAGAGCACAAGGGGTTTAATCAAGTTCTCACCCACACTTTCCTTAAGAAATCCTCCTCCTAATATCTGGGGTACAGCACTCTCTGAATCTGCCCATCTGCTTTATGAGCATCGAGCCAGTTCCCGCAAGGAAAGATGGTTGTGACAGAGTTGGCTGTGTTGGTCACCTCGACACACTGTAAATACCACCCGCAGTTTGAGCTGCTGCCATCGTGTTCCACTTTCACCCTCAGCAGCTCCCCGAGGTCCAGCATCTCCAGGACGAAGCGGTCGGTTCGGCCCCGCTCAAAAAGGTTGCGGAACTTCTGCTGCAGAGGACGTCTGCCCGAGTCACCGTTCACACCGTAGATGCTGATGAAAACGTTGGCGTCTGTTCCGGCCCCTTTCACGTCCCCAGTTATGACGATGATCTCGTACTTGACGGGGACCAGGTTGCGGACTTTGCTCGCAAAGCTCTCTATTGATTTATAGCACTCAAACGTCAGGAATTGGTCCTTTTTGGCTGCCAGGGGGATTTGTGCGTCACAGAGGAAAAAATACCTAAACAGAGTCGGATAAGAGTTATAAACATGGCACGTAGCGTGAGATGATGTTTATGACTCCTCACTTACTTGTTTCCCAACTCTTTTTCCGTCACCACCACCTCCATAACATGCCAGAAGACTTCGTTCTTCACCTTCTTTCCATCTTTTGTGATATGGCCGAGGCAGATGCCAACAATGTCCCCCAGGTGCTTGGAGGAGAACTCAAACGTGTCAGTGGCACCGCTGTGAAAGAGTGCAGAAATCGCCACCATTAGCCCAGCTGATGCAGGGTTTGACTGTGGGCATTAAGCAGATAAATGCAACGGCTGGCTAGACAGCTTTCTTTTGTGGGCCCCACGGGATAGGCCCTCCTGAGGGTAGATGATTGGTAGAACAGAGAGTAAAGCTAGGAGATAAAAGGGGGTAGCGATATTAAAATGGAAAGAGAGGAGATTATGTAAGGCCTATATGGATTTAACAAGAGCCCCTGGTCTCCCTTTGAAGACCTACCTTAAGAACTTCTTTTTCTTATTCTCTAGAACAAACTCTTTAGATCGAGCTTTCCTCCCCTCCAACACAATCCAGGCGTTTTCCGAGGTGGAAGCCTTGTCTGTACTTGCAGTTGTTGTGGCAATTTCGTATTCTGCGGGAATGCAGAAAAGCACGGACACATTGAGACAATAATCCTGTCACAGCTGGCGAGTGTTTGCTATTAGCGATGTAGTTATTAATCTCTGACAATTATAGAGCCCATAATTATTCCAGCACACTTCTGGCATAGTTTGCACACATCTCTACTAACTGGTTTTGTCGCTGAGGTCTATAGAGTCATTGTTGGCACACGCCAGCTCCCTCATGATCTGCCCATCGTCTTCATTTTTAGCCAACCAGCGATCACAGGGGAACCTGAATATCTGGTCCATGGCCTCATCTTTCACATCAATGTACTCCAGGTGCCAGCCAGGGGCAGGGCCTGTTGACAACAAGAGCAACACAATTCCTAAAGGCTGTGATAAATCATGCTATTTCTGTTGTTGTTGGGTCCAATTTCTTTTAACAAAGAAAGATATCTGGAAGTGTTCTTATCCACGGATTGGTATTAATCGCAGAAAAGAGAAGTGGCTCAAAGAATAATCATTTATCGAATAATCTTTCCTCATATTGTCTATCATAAAAGTTAATAGATTGATGAATGGATGAAAATAGTGATTTTTGTTGCTGTTTTGTGCATAAAACAACAACATACCCCTGATGTCTATCGCTCAGTTAGCATCCATCTCTCCTCTCACCCTCACCTTTGTTGTCATGCCACACTCTCACTTTAGACAGTTCGCCCAGACTCAGCATGTCAGGAAATCTGAACACGTCCTTCATTTTTCGTTCAAACTTGTTCCTGTTGGTGCTCTCCTTCAGAGGCAGCATCCCCGTGTCCCCATATTCTCCAAAGACGATCAAGAAAACATTGGCATCGGTGCCAGCAGCTGGAATAGCAATAGATCATTGACTGTTATTACAGATAAAGCAGTTGAATATGGTTCAATATGATTCAGCTGGACGAAAAAGCAATCAGCAGCCTGTCAGTCAGTCAGTCAGCCGGCAGTCAATTTAAGAACCAGGAATAAATTTGCAATAAGAACATAACACAACCGCAAAATGACAAAACAATACTCAATAGTTGTAAGTACATGTATCTCTGTTGCAATACTCCAGAATATAACAGAAGAGGTTTTCAGGTGAGGAAGAATTTAAAGCATATTCAGAAATACAACGGCAACTTGTGTGCTCCATCAAAGAAGAAAGGGGCGATTGGACCGTTAGCAGAGATCTGTGGGAGGAAATGATCAGATGGGATAAAAACAGGTCTGTAAGATGGAGAAATCTCTTGAGACGTCTTTCAATGTGCAGAGTAAGGATTTAAAATCAATATGGAATATAACAAGCAGCCAGGGCACGGAGTCAAACAGAGGAGTGACACATTTTTAAACCTTATTTTCCTGGTAGTGAGTTCAGCAGCGGAGTTTTGAATCCCTGACTGACATGCTCTCAAATGACTTTGAAAACTGAGTTTGGAATCAAACATTTCTCCTTAATTCTTAACTGCCTGGGTAAAATAATATGAATACCAGCAGAAGGCAAAGACTAATGTAGTTGATATTTTGGGAGATAATAAAGAAACGTGTGTGACTTGAAATGATGCGATATAAGGGAATTTACTGCCATGCAGAATTTAATGTCACAAAAGAGGAGCTATGAGATAAACACGTTTGCTGGGAACTGTGTGGGTACAAATGTGTAAATGTCAGTCAGGCTCAATAAGCTGGGAGACTATATTATTAAAGACCATGAACGTCATGATCTGGAAGAAGCAAGCTAAGAAAATAAATATGGAGCAGAAAAGGGCCATGCTCCATGTTACACAATGCTTTAGCTGAGCTACTGAACAGGCAAAGTTAGTCAGTTTGACCAAATATGAATGTAACACACTAGGAGCTACATCTTTAACCTTCCTGCACTCAGAAAAAGACCATCATCATTTATGAATGACATCAACTGTTAAGTGAAGTTTTTTTGTGTTGGGATTTCTCCTGCATTTTAAATGATGATATATTACAAACCGTAGGAATGGCTTCCTTATGTTAGTACCATGCAACAAAGCCAAACAGAACTGTAAGAGAACATTGTGTGAAAGTCATGTGACTCACCTCCGACATCGCTTGTCTGGACTTGGATGATGTATGTCGTTTTTTCAACCATCTCCTCCTCATCTACCACAGCCGGAAGCTCACACACCTTTGTCCTCTTTGGCCCTTTGGTCTTAGACAGCCAGTTCTCATACGTGAAGAGATACTCTTCCTCTGTAGTCAGGTTCCGCATGAGGATCTGAAACATTTTATGAACATCAGGATTGACTAGTGCTGCTTGATTTGAGACAAATAAATTTCAACATTGAATTGTATTGTATTCTGGCCTAAAAAGCATCAAAACAGATTTTCAAAAATGATCACAGTTAATCTTTATTGAAATATTCAAAAACGGTACTTGGTCTATGTTGTTTCTTTTGCGTTCGCAAAACTTAAACGATCAAGTATTTTACATCTACTTTTTATCTGCTTTCATGAAAAGTTTTCTATCAATAGCCCAGTGCTACTCAGGGTTTGCACATAAAAGTCAATGCAAAGTCTGTCTTCACAATGACATGTGTAGCATCAGTTTCATTGTCCTAAGCCGGATTGTACCTACATTGACGATGATACTCTGATCAAAGATGGGGGTTTTCTGCTGATTTCCTGCCACTTTGTATGACTGTTGCCATTCCTTATTTCATATTAAGTTTCATTATGTTTCTGTATAGGCGTCTCAGTCCTACGACCTAGGCCCTAGAACATATTGTGTTACCCTATCAAGAAACCAGTCGGGACGGCTTCCGCTGCCATCGATCCGAACTCTGATCTTCTTCAGGGGAGCAATGTCATCTATCTCCAGCGAGAATGTGTCTTCTTGGTCCCTTTCAAACCTGAATTAATTTCAAACACAAAATACACTGTGCATTTAAAGAAATTGTTATACTGTTCTTTATTCAAATGTTGCTTTCTGACTTAGAGATGGACCACTCCCCTTCTGATGCCCAACACATTGACAACTATTGTTCATTTGCCCCCTTGCCTGTTATATCAAGTAAACAAACATGTAATTACAGGAAATACTGAGAAAAAAAACTGATTTTATTACGTTTGGAGATTTTCGATTTTTTCCCACATTACTCCTTTCTTCTGTGTGAGCTTACGATTACTACAAAATATTACTGATTTCTGTCATAGGATTATTGGCAGACTGACCTATCACCATTTTTGGGTAGTAGCATTTCCTCTGTGCTTCCATTGGCTCCATACACAGTCAGGAAAATGTTGGTATCCGTCCCTCCAAATTGAGTGTCTCCCGTGACAACTGTGGCTGAATAAATAACCTGCAAAAGCAGCGAATAACAGAATAGGAGGATCTAACCCTGTTTCTGTGTAGCACGTCAACTGAATCTTTTCCAAGACGTGGTATTTTAGGTGCTGTGACTCACTTTTCGGATGATGTTGATGGAGCTGGAGTCCAGCACATTGAACAGTCTGGCAGTCAGACCATCACCTCTGTCTTTAGCGAGCCAACACTTACACGGAAAGATGTACTTGATACCTTTTGTTGGCACGGCAACCGACAGCTCATCCACCAACCAGCAGCTCTCCGGCGTGACACCGTTATGTCCAAGCTGAAGAAAAGACGAGACAGAAAATAGGGAAGAGAGAAGAGACAGAGGAAGAGGGGAAGGAAGAGCTGGGAATTGATATGTCATTTGATTTTGTTTGATCTGTGTGCAGCAAGGTGCAGCTAGAGCTACTTATTACTGGCCAGATAGCTTTATTTGTATCTTTAACATTAGTAAATGTGAGGAGGCAGCCGAGAAGAGATAATTTCACAGAAAAGCTGCAGACACAGTCTCCGATTCTCACTTCCACCCTCTTGATCTCTCCCACGTCTGATCCATAGCACACAAAGTGCTCCATGGTGCCAGATGTGAAGGATTTTTTCCCCTCTGGCAGATCCAGCCAGAGTCGGTCTGTCTCGACATTGTTAGGACCAATGATGATGACATAAACCCTGGCTGTAGTGCTGGCATCTTGGTCAATCCCCGTGGACAGGGTGAAGTGATAAGGGATGACTGCATGAGAGAGAAGAACAGGCTAAAGTTCAGTCTGAACAGTTTTCATAATCTTTTTTTTTTTTCAGATGGAAAGAAACAAATAAGGATCACTTTAACCTTTCTTTAAAGCTCTTTCTTTGGTAGAGTTAAATTATCAGTGGCTCATTAGCTACCGTGGCCATTCTCCAAACAGTAGGTCAGCAGTCAAATCTCCAGCTCATGTCAACAAAGCCTTAGGCAAGATAATGAGTCCCAAATGTCCCCCAAAATAAGTGTTGATTTTATATAAATAGCTGAGTGAGCGACTGACTAACCAACACACAGTGAAGGGCTTTGTGAAGCAACACTTACAATGTTATATAGGTGTAGATTATATTTACAAAATGTAAAAATACAGAGGTCTTTTGGCCACAGAACAATCCGTGATATCCACAAATTCCCAGATAAAATTTGTGAAGCCTTTACTGCAAAGACCAAAGTAGCTAATGGGACAAAGGAAGTGCTTTGCACAGCAATCCACTGGCAATTAACTATTAACATGACCTGAGAGCAGTGCTATAAGAGGTGCTGTAACATGACACACTCCACTTAAGGTACATTTAATTCAAACACAGGCATGACTTTCAGGCTTCATGTAGAGCACAGGCTTTCAAAATAGGGTTTTCAGGGGAAGATCAATGAAGGGGAGTTAAGATATATCATACATGTTACCAAAGGAAATCAATTAGAATGACCTATGGCTGTGGGGATTGATTAGAGACCATTCACATATATAGAGTTCAGAAACCCGATTAAATTATCGCAGGGAAGCACAAAATACTGACACTCTAAATGACCACAAAGCATAAAGCAATCAAGAGACAAAAAATGGTCCAAAAGACAAAGTACCAAAACTTATTTTCAAGACGATTAAAAAAACAAATAAATAAAAAACTGGAATGATAATCCAAATTCAACAGCGGAACTGACAACAAAGCCCACAAAGTGAAAAAAATGACCACAAAGACAAACATAACATCAACTAAAATACTCAAACACCCTATATGAAAGGAAACTGGAACTCTCTGACTGTGTATCCATTGACTGGATACACACCCAGCGAGATTCAATGTGTGATGTGAAGGTTTACAATAGTGTACTCAGCTACTAAGTAAGTTATCATTTACTGATGTGCTGCAGCCATTCTTGAAAAGCACAATGTAATTTTTTGTCATCTTACTTGGACCGTCTTCCACCATTGCCACCTTTTTCTTCTTTTTCTTCTTATTGGCATTTCGGTCCAGCCCTGCTTTGCCCTGAGCCATCTTTTTGAAATATGGGTCAGTGTTCCTTTCTCCCTCATATCCCTGAAAAGCACAAAACGCACATCCATTTCACAAATTAGCAGTTGACTGGAGAACAAAGAAAAGAAAAATGACTATAGCTCCCTTATTAACAAGTTGAACAAACCTTGACATAAAAGGTCCTGTCTATTTGCTTGTCCTCTTTCGTCGTGGACAGCCATCGCTCGCACAGGAACATGTAAACTTCTTCTGTTTCAAGATCAAGCACCTCTACCTGGTCCAGGTACCAATCAGCTCCCGTGTTGGAATTGTCATGGCGAATGCGAATCTTAAATATTTGTCCCAGGTCGATGGCCTCGATGGTGAACTTGTCCACCTAAAAGCAAAAGAAGCTGCCGTGACATTGATGTCTTCAGGATCTTAGAGAACCGCAGCATAGTACATTCCAATTTTTCTGACATACTTCTCCTCTCTCAAATTTGTTCCGATTGTTCTCTGATTTGGCGAGTTTGCGCTCTCCTGTGTCACCCAGGTCCCCGTAAACGGTGAGAAAAACATTGGAATCGGTCCCAGCTTTGTACATATCACCTGTCCGCACGGACACCTTGTACATGTGAGCTGTAATCAAGATAAAACCCATTATTACCGGTATCAAGCTCTGTGATGCCATTCGCAGCGGCTGATTCAAGCGAAAAACCCTCAGTAGGTAAATTACTATTATTCTTTTGCTTTATTACGCTGTAAAATGATGGATGGCCACCACAATAAATATGTTACTACTTTATACTCAATGTGTCATGAATGATACTAGGTAAATCAAAGTGAAACCTACTCTCCAGTGCGTCCTCCACATCAATTTCAGTTGTCTTCAGTGTCCCATCCCTGAGGAGTTTTTGTGTGATGATGCTTGATGGCACGAGCTCCCTCACCGTCTCTCCATCATCTTCAGACTTGGCCAGCCAGCACTCACACAGGAAAATGGTTGTCTCCGAGCCCTGCCATTTTAAAGACAGTTTGCCTGACTTCGACAGCTCCAAAGTCAGTTAAAATTTCAAACCGTGACCAACTTAATGGGAAACAATCAACAATGGATACCTTCGTGGATGGAGTTTTATCATCTCCAATAGATTTTTTTTACCTTTCCTTTTCTGAGCTGTCGCCTGATCTCCACTCTGTCAAGGTGCCATCCTGGGTTTGTGCCCCTGTTGTCGTGTCCAATCCTGATTTTCTCTAGAATGTCACCGATATCTTCCAGCTGTGAGTAAAAAGAAAGTATTAATTAAAAAGTGACTGGCACAGTTTGAGAAAGTCTACAGTCCAAATCTCAAAACTGACCTCCACAATAAACATGTCCTCGGCTGCTCTCTCAAAGTACAGCCTTCGCTCTCTCTTGTTTACACACAGGTGTTTCTGTTGTGTGCACATCCCCTTTTGGCCATATAACACTATGAAAACATCTGCATCTGTTCCCGCAGCAAACACATCACTGGTGAATATTTTAATCTCATAAGGCACAACTGAAAAAATGGAGGACAAGATTTATTTGAGGACGTCATGGATTCAAGTTTTTCGTTTACATTTGTCAAAGTTTATTAAAAATCCTTTGATAAACATTTTTCTTTTACTAAAATATAGTTTCTTCCACTATTTAGATTTTTTGTAAACTGAAAACTTTTAACTTTTCATTTTGAAATACAATTTAACATGTATAAAACTAGAGTGGGAATACATAGTACACTTCTTTGGGAATATTGCAAAAACCACTCATAAAAACTTTTCAAAGTGCTCTGCCGCTGTAACAAATGGAACTTCTTCCCAAACTGTTCACTCACATGGAGTATAGAATTCAGTTTGTAACTCTGCGGGGTAAAGATCTCTCACGATCGCTCCATCATCCTCATCGTTATCCAACCAACGGCCACATGGGAAACGCAGTCTTTGACCCTGAGAAGGCGCGTTAATCTCAACCCAGTCCAAAAACCAACCAGCTGAACTTCCTGTTTCCAGGACAAAAAGAAAAGAAAGATTTTAAACAGTGTGCTTCTTATATCCCTATCTTAATTTTCTGCTCTGAAGAGCCTTTCCCATCGTCACCTGAGTTGTCATGTCCAATTCGCAGCTTTTCCAGGTCACCCAAGTCCACGGCCTCCACCGTAAACTCATTGATCATCCCACATTCAAACTTGTTTTTGTAGTTTTTGCAAGCCTTTAGGTTGACAGTCCCTGTGAGTAACATTTAGACTTTGAGTTACATAAGAAAATAGAGAATCAGGACGGATGTGAGCTATCGCACCTGTGTCATCGTTTTCTCCAAAGAGGATGGCAAAGACATTAGCATCAGTTCCAGCATACTTCTTGTCTCCAGTTTTTATCCTTATAGTATATGTTGTCGACATGGCTGCAGGATCGGTTCAACAAGTCAGAAACAGAAAAAAAGAAATTCTCCACAGAATAATATCTTTTTTATCTTGAGCCTCCACAAAGAGACGAGTCAGCTTTGTTACATTTCTGTTCGAGTCCCAGAGTAGCGCTTGTCCCCTCTTCATCCTCATCCTGCCTCATGAAGGCCTCATCTACAGGAACCAACTCTCTTGCTATCTGGCCATCATCTTCATCCACTGCAAGCCAGCGATTACAAGGGAAATAGTATCTACAGAGCCAAGAAAATGCCTCCGATTAGAATTAGAATCTCAGATTCTGAGACAATGTCACACAAAACTGTTCATTTATCAAGTGTGCATTATATATTTTATCTCCTTTAACACCACGTTCCGCTCTGCATGTATTTCACCTACGTAGTATCATCCTTCGTGTCCACTATCTCGACCCGATCCAGGTACCAGGATGAGTAAGAGTGTGTGTTGTCATGACGGATTCGCAGCTTCTTCAAAGCGCCCAAATCAATAGCCGTAACAATGAAAACGTCTTCCTGCGGAATACAACAGAGTTACTGTTCTGGACCGGTTTGTTTTATTTACCAGGATGAAGTAAGTTGGAAATGCTGGGCTGGAATGAAGGATGTTTTTTGTGACATTGTTTCAGTGTTGCAATGGATATAAATTGCACAATGTAAAATTATACGTGATCAATGGAATGGATGAAAAGCCACGATTCTTGAGTAAAATAAGATTCTACCCAATAGCTTGAAAATGACTACACCTGAAAAAACACTAGTAATTGTGACCTTGAACTTGAAAAAGCAGGTATGAAAATGAAATAATGGATCCAGAAGCATTCTTTTTTAGCAATATACTGGCTAAAAAAAAATTCCATGTTGTACCGAAGAGGATGGCAAAAACATTGGCATCAAAAACATTGGCATCAAAAACATTGTATGGTTATTTTTCACTGTGCGACCATCCCTCAGTGCTATGACACAGTTGAGTCAAGCAACAATGAAAGTTTAACCAAATCATTCAGCTCAAACGCAGGCTTTTTTCCCCCAGCGTACTGTAAGCACGGCAGCAAGATGTGTGTCTGAGGCCACAACACTGTCAACTATGTGGGAACTGTCTCTGTGAGAGAAGATTGAGCATGTAACTGCAGCCATGATGACCTTGTGAAAAGGTTTTGCTGGAGCCAGTCTGACAGTCTGGATATAGTTAAAAATAACAACAACAACATAATATCAGGGGATTGATTTTAAATTACTATGCAGATAAATAAAACCAATAAAAAAGAGTAGATTTATTGTAAGGCTGCATTGATACACTCAAACAGCGTTCAGTCAATCTTCCTTATAAAGTGCAGTTTTAGGTAAATTGCAGAGTTCTTTGATTTTTCCCCGTGGTCACATAAGCATGCTTACTGTTTGTTACTTTTAATTTGTGTAAATCTAAACGTGTGTGGGACCTAATTTTCCCAAGGAGCCGGTTGTGATGTATAGATGAATAATTCAGAGGTGTGAATAAAGAAATGAGTAAAAGTAGGACAGGTTCAATGACACAGTGGACTCTGCAGAGCTCTTCTCAGTCACACCTGACTTGCCTGCAGGAGAGCTTGTAATTCTACCAGAATACACTAAAGTGCTGGGCTCATATTACCTGAAAGCACTTGGATCTTTGAATAACTGATGGCTAATTTTCAGCATGGTTCTCATCTGGGAAAAAACATGCAAGTCCTCACAAAAATATTTGTACGATGTTAGAACAGTCTTGGAAGGTCTGTGTCGGTTAACCACACTTTTGCAAGCTTCTCAGAATCTTTCCGATTTCATGTTCAAAGAATTAGTCATAATTGGAAAATCATTGGAAAATGATGTGCCACTCATCGTACCTGCCCTCTCTCAAACTTGTTGAGGTTGTCAGAATTCTTTAGGTAGCGCTCCCCGGTATCTCCGTTTTCCCCATAAATATTTATGAAGACATTGGCATCTGTCCCTGCTCCCACCATGTCACCAGTGAAGACACACACTTCATAGGTGTTGACTGTGAGATAAAGCAAGAGATGACTTTTCAGCCGACCCAGATGAAAAACCATTGCAACATGGACAAAGATATCAATGTTCCCTAAGATTAGGATGTTTCAAATGTAAAAAAAAAAAATGAAAGAAAAGTATAGATGGACATGATTACGCGCAACATTTCCTAAAAGTTGAAGGCAAAGACAAAAAAAAGGTAAAAAGACAAAAATGAAAAATGGCCATTATGCTAAAGTCCAAGGAATAGAATCTGCTTTTTTTTTTCTAGAAGAGATTTAAATAGAGGAAGTTTTTTATGCCTTTATTGAAATCAGAATTGACAATCACTGTCAGGCTTTTTAGTTGCATAAAAATGCTTTAATTTCACAAGTGGTTTAACATTTCGGGCCAGAAATAATGTTTGTTTATTTTGTCTCCCCATGCCCCAATCAAAGTAAATGCAGCTGGAGATAAACTAAGAAAAAGGCAGTGATACTTTAGAAGTCTATCCATAAAGGGAATAATGAAGACCGAAAAGTGCTCACTAATTTGGGTTAAAACGTTGTGGGATAGATTTTTAACAAATGCCAAATTAGATGGCTTGATCAAATTTATGTTTAGCATAAATGTTGTTTATTCAAGGAAATGCACGCATGGAGAGAAAAACATACATAATACTTTAATTACTACTCAGTTTTAAAGTGATCTTAAAATTTCAGTCCTGAATCTTTAAACGCACCCTGGACTACACTTCAATTTACAATAAGCCAGCACCTGCACGCTTTTTCTCCAGTGACCACATTATGCAAATAAGAGTCATTGGAATTCAGTGCAGAGGTGGTGGATTTCACTTGTGAAATGCAAATTAGTATTCTGAAAGCTGTGTGGGGAGTCAAAATGCTTTAAATGACAATAGTGCAGGTGATGTAAATGGAAAAAAAAAACTACTTTTAGTTGTAACGTGCTCCAAAATTGGGGAAAGAGTCACACAGGCAATTCAACTGTTTTGTCAGAATGTCTGTGCTACACATGTTGAATATAGTTGAATGACATTTTTATGCAGGAGGATATAAAGCTGAATATGAATATCAATCTACCAGGTCTTTAAAACCATCTCCATCAATAAAGCCTGCCTTGGCAAAGCACAGTACTCATATTTCAATCCTGCTGCCACAAAACTGAACAGGAAAAGGTAAAAAAAACACACACACATATACACACGCAAAAAAGAAAATATCTCCATTAAGCTCTTTTGATAATTGAATCATCCTATTTTCATGAATTTAAATAATTTGTTCATTTCTCACTGATGTTCTGTATGACATTTAATTGATTCTGTACCTTCGAGGTCTTCTTCAGTCTCAGGCAGCAGCTCCACCACCAGCTCGCCATCTTCCTCTCCCTCAGCCAGCCAGCGCGAACAGGGGAAATGATAAGTCAGGACCACTTCTCTCATCTCCTCACCTCCTTCTTCATCCTCCTCCTCCTCGTCTTTTTTCTTTTTCTTCTTCTTTTTCTTGTCATCCTTTTTCTTTTCTTTGGGAACCAAAGCCATGATGAGATGTTTGACGTCCACTGTTTCCAGGAACCAGCCGGGCCCGATCCCAGAGCCATCGTGTCCCATGCGTATCTTGAAGATCTTCCCCACGTCTTTAGCTTCTGTCTGTAAGGCAGCGCTAAGAATGAAACAACTCTTTCTCTGGTAGTCACCTTAAAGTACGTGTGCACTATTGAAAGCATAGCATCTACATTTGATACCTTAAATATTTCGGTCGTGTTACGCTCAAAGTTGTTGGATCTACTTTCAAGGATGATAACCTCTGTCTTTCCTTTATCCCCGTAGATCTGGATGAAGACTTGGGCATTGGTGCCAGCAAAGGTCACATCTCCAGTTACTACTGTTATCTCATAGTTAATCACTGGGAAGTGCAGCAGATTGATGACAGTCAGACAACACACAGAGGTCGTTTTGTAAGTGGTTAACTCATCTCTGTATACAAAGTCATTTCCGTATAAAAATACAAATGATAATTTTCTTCATAAAAAAGTAAATCCAAGGTACAGAACTGTTAGGATGGCTTATACTTAGTTTTATACTTAAATTCAAACTTCTGCAAAGGTTCTCCCATTAAAACACTCTTTGGGACTCTCTTGCCTAGGTAAACATTTAAATTTTTAAACAGTAGTTAGGAAGGTTGCCCCAAGTCAGCTATAGATATCTGAACAGGCACCACTCAACATTCCCCATCAGCTCTGGTGGAATCAAAGAAATCAAAGTCTAAAAGGATGAATGAAGCCATCTGTTGTCAGAAGATGATGCTGAAGAACGATACAGGGATGCTTGCTCTAAAACATTTGCATTTCAGAACACTCCCATTTAAAAAACGCAGATTCAATCATGAAATACCAAAGCAGTCCTTTTTTCCCATGAGTTCTGATTAATTAGCTGGATCGATTTATGTCCTGATGATCCCACTGAGAATAGAATAACAAACCCTCAAAGAATGCGCTCTCATCAAACCCTCTCCAAAGGATTACTCTCTCTAGGATCAAATTTGTTCACTTCTGTCAACAAATCAATGACGGTGATTAGAGTAATTCAGGAAAGTAATTAATTAGACTCAAATTTAGAATATTCCCTCAAGTACATAATAAGAAAGAACCAATTCTACGACTTGCTTGATGTTAATAAGCTTTGAAATACTGCAAGGAATATTTACAAAACATACAGATGGTAAAAATATCTAAATATGAATTTCAATTTCATGATGACTACATTTTCAATTATCATATTGACTTCAATCAACAATCCTGAAAATGTTAAGTTCTTGGAATCACTTTCGCATGACTCTTTTCATTAAACGGAGGGAGAGTTTAAATGTGGCCTACTCTGTTCCGTGTCCAGGATTTCACTTGGGTAAATCTCCACCTCTGTTTTCCCATCAGCTTCATCCTTGCACAGCCAGCGGTGACTGGGGAACATGTAATTCTTTCCATGGACTGGAACCGTAATCTGAACACTATCCAGAAACCAGCCGGCACGCATGCCTTCGTTGGTGTGACCGATCAGGAGGCGGCTGATCTGGTTTAAAGTAAAATAGAAGACAATGTTTTTCCTTATTAGAGAAAAGGTTTTTCCACACGATTCCCCTAAAAGCTCATAATGAAAAACAAGAATCTAGCTGTGTGAGATTTGTATGAGAGTCATATGAGATCTTTTATGTTAACAAATGCAGCTTCACTCTTACGACACTGTAACAGAAAATCACTGATTAATAGCAGATGCTTGAGACCACACAGAGCTAATAAAAACTGCCAAACAAATCTTTTCTTAACTTTATGAATGCCATGTACATATTTTTATATAACTATCAACAATGAGTGGAAGAACCTGTCCAATATCAAACGTTTCCACAGTGAAGATGTCGACGCGGCCTGTCTCAAAGTAGTTTCCCAGGTTATTGGCAGAGACCACCAGCATCATCTTACTGGTGTCGCCTTTCTCTCCATAGAGCTTGACAAACACATTGGAGTCTGAGCTGCCTCCGGGAATGTCGCCTGTCTTCACCGCGATATAATAGTTGACATCTGACACACACAAACACAGACACACACACTTATATGCATATATGCACAGGAGCTCCAAAATTGAATGTAAACGCTGAATAGGTTTCTTATTTCTGACTTACTGTAAAGACGCTGTCCATCTGAGAACGGCACTAATTCTCTGACAATCTGTCCGTCATCCTCATTGCGGTCCAACCACCTGCACAGCACATTCAGGGGAACAATCTCTCATCTGTTCCATAAACACATCCACCACTGTAAACACTGTTCAGTATGCGCTCACAGAGCACTTCATTCGGTACACTTGCTTATTCGTGTAACTGCCCAATAAACCATTCATGCGACTGCATAAAATATTACAGAATAAGGTCAAGAGCTTCATCTAATTTTAAAATCAGATGGGAATGTGAGAATAGTGACTGTTTACAAAGGCAGAATGTGCTAGTTTGTGTTTCTGAAACAGCAAATCCATTTTTTTAGTCACAGCACTGTAGAGTTTACAAAAACTAAAAAAAGCAAGTTGTACAAAAACAGCAGGATGGCTCCCATCAAACAGCAGTTCTAAGCACATGCATACAGAAGCAAATGACTGGGACATCAGGTAAATATATTCACACAAACAACCGTATGTCTAATCAACTTATCACTGATGTTTTTAACTAGCAATGTTGACATTGTGAATGTTTTAATGATTTAATTCTAAGTAGGTGCACAGTGCTGTATGTTGGATGTATGTTCTATTCACCAGATGTAACCTGGATTTTTTCCAATACTTGTGAAAGTACTGCCTGTAGTCCCGTAGACCACAGTGCTGTGTATTCAGGAGACTAACGCACCTGTTACAGGGGAATTCTACAGCATAAGACTCCGCCTGTCCTTCCTCTCTTACAATCACTTTATCAAGAAACCAGCCACAGCCTCCGCCTTTGCCATCGTGTCCAATCCTCACTCTGCGGACCTGCCCAAGGGTCACTGCTTCGATTATGAACTCATCCAGCTGGAGCGAAAGAAATAACAGCAACAAAGTGTAGATTTGAAACAGAATTGTCAGCCTAAGAGTCGGTAATTACAATATTATGTAAAGTATGTTAACAGAATTTGAGCCAAAGCTATAGTCAATTCAAATAACACTTGGTTTTAGATCACTAATAAAGGCAAATGTTCGGAATTTTCCCTGGTTGTAAAAAGGCCCCTGTGAGGAGCTGACTATACCTACATTTCCTTTCTCAAACTTGTTGACGTTGTTTTTGCAGTTGACCAGCTGCCGCTCTCCTGTGTCTCCCTGGTCTCCAATTAGACTCAGAAAGACCGAGGCATCTGTACCACTACCGCCAACAGTTCCTGTACAGACCGTCACTCTATATTTTATCACTGCCAAAAAGAATAAAGCATCACGAAATGTCATCAAGACCCGTGTACACTTGTGTGTGCTAACGCAGTTCTTGGTTGGTTCTGGTAAGTGCTTGTGTCTGGACGTACAGGGTAACGGTTCTCCAATCAGATCTCCACTGGCCGAAAGCTCCCTCACAACTTCATTATCGTCTTCGTTGATGTCCAGCCACCGCTGACATGGAAATGTGTATTTCTCCTTAGTTAAAGTCTTCATTATAGTTACCTGAAGGAATAACAAAGAAATTTGTTTTTAGGATGATAGATGGATGGTCTCATCTCTCTTCCGTATGGGTGCTTTTACCGATGTCAACTGAAACTTGGACTAATTTGACCACACCATAGGTGTCAAATGTCTTCCTGTTTGCCTGAGGTGAGCTTTGTCCAGCAAACTTAGTTGATATGGTTTCCGTATTGTGCAACACGGAATCAGGTTTCATCTCTTATGGTAATGGTGTAGGCTTCAGTACAAAGCAAGAATGGTTTTCCAAGCTACACCGGAGTCCACGGGAGTTTATTGAACAACAATTTCTCTTACAGTACTGCCTGAGGGTGCAAAGTTCATGACACTGGGCTTTAAACACTTAGATTTGCTACTCCCACAGTCCTTGGAGTGTATAAACGTCTACACCAGACTGACTCTTTCATTTTTTAAACAAAGTGTTAAATTACAATATAGAATAGTGTTAATAAAGAACTCAACTTGCTTAAATATTCAAATAATCAATGGGATTAATCAGCATTTTGGGAAATTCAACCAATAAGGCTCATTACATTTGAGAAATCTGACCTTGCCAAGATGCCATCCTGCAAAAGGGTTTCTCTTCTCATGCCAGATCCGGAGTTTGGTCAGTTTTCCCAAATCAGGCAGCTCAACCTGTGAGTGGGCATGAAGATAAAATAAGCCTTATGATCTGACTTGTTAAAATCAATTTTCCAGTTTATATATGATCTATATGCTATACGATCCTTACCATAAACCTGTCTACCTGTCCCTGTTCAAAATTGTCAGTTTTGTTGTCCAGCCCCTTCTCATCTGACTTGCCCTTTTCACCGTACACCTGGAAGGAGATGTCAGCATCTGTTCCTGCATTGGGCAGTTCTGATGTCCAAATCCACAAAGACCATGGGTGTTCTACAGAGACCCAGAGAATGTTTGATTTTAAAAAGACAGGAAGCTATAGAGTGAAGGAACACTGATTTAACAAGTTAATGTAGATATAAATATACATTAGTAATTCATTTGTACAGCAAAAAGAATATAAAAAGGACTGGCTCTTTGAAGGTTGTTGGACTTCATTTCAAAGCAGAATAAAGATGGATTTCCATCTCAACATAACTGTGAAAATATATGGTAAACATGACTGGGCATTGAACTCTTTTTCATAGATTTCCAAAACACAAAAGAGACACTGACAGCGTGTGGTGCTGCTGCTAAGTCAAAATGATGAACTTTCAACTCACTCTTCTGTCTCCTCTGTCTGAGCGAGACCATCTCATAAAGCTCTCTTTCAATCAGTCCATCTCCCTCCTTCTCATCAAACCATTTGCTGCATGGGAAAGTCTGCTCTATCCCTGTAAACGGACAGTACACAACAACCTGCGGAAATAAATGGACTCTGCTCAGGTGATTCTATGTCCGTGACCAGACTGTAACATTTGACTGTGGGCATTTTGATCAGTGTACCTTTTCGCAGTACCACCCTGCGCTGACTCCTCCATTGTCATGCCCAATGGTCACTCTACTGATAGGGCTGAGGAGAGCAGCGATCTCAACGTTAAAGATGTCAGTCAAGCCTCGCTCGAATTTCCCTCCCTCCAAAAATACCTGCAGAAAAAGAGAAATGGGATGAAAATAATAAAAACAGAGTTTGTACAATTCTAGAGAAATTGAAAGTCAATAATTGGTATGTCAATGTCCACATGTTTTTTCCTGTCTTTGTATTACCTTGCCACTGTTCTTCAAGCCTTTTGAGCCATGCATGACCATGTGTATTTTGGAGTTTGTTCCTGCACCTCTGACATTCCCTGTCACAATCTGGACATTGTAGACAATGCCTGGTGGGTACAGTTACACATAAGGCTTTCAGAGTTAAAACCAGTGAGTCACTTTGGTTCCAGATCCAGAGTAGCCCAGCAGGAATAAGATCACGCAGATCTAGACGTTTGTATTCTGACCCATGACTCAACTAATGTTGCCACAAGTTTTGAAACACTCAAAATATATTGTACAATTGTTGTTTTTTTTCAGACCAAGCAATAAGGGAAATTAAATAAAAAATGTTGAAAATGATTGATAACAAAACCAAACGCAAGTTTACATTTATTTGACTGTATATACTGATTCAGTTTTTTCAGGTTTAACTATACATTTCAGATGTTTCATCTTCACCTGTGGGCTGGCTTCCTCCAACTAAAATGTCCCTCTGGATCTTCCCATCGTCCTCATCAATGGCGAACCAACGATTGATGGGAAATTCATACACTGTTTTGTTTCCAAGATCATCCACAACCACCTGCATCAACCAGAAAAAGATTTATATTGCCATGGTGCTCTGAATTATTAAATCATAGTTTTTAAAATACATGTGAAAATAAAATAAAAAGTAAAGCTCCAAACATAGGCAGACCAGTTGTGTAGGTATGTTTAAGAGGGTTCTGCCTGGAACACACCTGAACTAGTAAACTAGTCAGTCATTGTTTCAAAATGCCTCCCCACTGTATTTTTACTTTGTATGGAAGGATATGTGTAAAACATAGATCTTTCTTCTTGAAATAAAAAATTTCATATAGTACAAAATAGGTTGGAAACTATTTTTGTATCAGAAAGTAAATGCATTTTACATAAGACAAAAGAATAATACTCCTCAGTTCTTAGAGGATGGCACAGGCTACTTGTGAAATGCAAACGGGTTGTCACCATTGAACTTTGGTGTCAGTCTGAGAGGCAGTAACAAATCAACTGACTCGTCTGTCTGTTTGTTGAAAGGCTATCCTTTAATGAGGTATGGTTTCCCTTTACACAGAGGGTAGAATAACAACATGTGTGGCCTGTATGTGTCCATGAACGCGTCTGTTTGAATGATCTGATCTGTCAGGGCTGCACATCGTACTGTATGTGTAGTGAGAACCGGGGTAGCAGTCTCAGATAGGAGGACTGATAGGAGGAGATAGAATGTCTTCGGGACAAGAGAAAACTTTGTACCGAGAAAAGAGCTGAGCTGAAAGATGTGTGGTCTCAGACAGTTTTGTTTCAAGATGGTGTCAACATTTTATAAAATAAAATGAAGTAACCTGTTATCTGCCTTGAAAATGGATTAAAGCACTAAATTGTCCAAACGCACACATATCAGGTCTTTTACATGTTTTATATTACTTTCTTTTTTTTTACCTTATCCACAAACCATCCTGCTGAGGAGCCTTTGTTGTTATGGCCAATGGTTATCTTCCTGATTTTGCTCAGGTTTGGTGCCTCAATTGTGAATTTGTCTTCAGTGCCTTTTTCAAAGTTATCTTTATCATTGTCAAGTCGTCTCTCCCCTGAAACAAAGTAATAATTTCTATCAGCAGATTTCTTTGGGAACTGAATAGCTGCAAAACCTTAAACCTTTAGGACCTGGCACCCATTTGGACATAAACAACTTACCTGTATCTCCAAACTCCCCAAATATATTGATGAATACATCTGCATCAGTCCCACTGCCTTTTATGTCCGCAGTGAAAACACTCACTATGTATTTATTATCTAAAAACATAAAGACAATGATTGAAAAATATTTTACAATGATTGAAATGATCAATGGTAGATTTTTGTGGATGCTCAAAGGCTGATGACATCATACACTTGGGCATGTCCATGGGGTCCATGCTTCCCAGCAGGTCTCTGACATAGAGACCATCCCCCTCCACTTTACTGAGCCAGTTGTTACAAGGAAAATAGAACCTCAAGTGAGGCCGAATCACATCTGTCACAACCACTCTGTCCAGGAACCAGCTGGAGCTCATGCCAGTGTTGTCATGCTCAATCCTGTCCAAACACAATAATGACATCCAGATAAATCTAATTTATCTCCCTAAATCAGATCCATAGTTTAGTGTGTTCAACCCTGGTCAAAGTAAACACTACTCAAGTGTCAGCTGACTAAATGATACTGAAAGAAAAGAGAATGTAAGAGGGTTGATTTGTCTTGACCCGACTGCGCAGTACCTTATCTTTTTCAGGAGTCCAACATTGTGAGTTCTGATTCTGAACACGTCAGTTTTGGCTCGTTCAAATGCTGTGCGGCTCCTAGAATCACATAGATACTCTCAGTTTCATCGTCTTTTGAATAATCAAAATTTTCACTACATAATACAGATAGAATAGGAAATGGGAACGTGTGAATAAACAAAAATAAAGGTAGCCTTATTCACTTCAAACATAACAAAGAAAAAGCATTAAATCCTTTCAGAAATCTGATCAAAAGCAAGCAGCAAAAAATGTCTTGCCAACTAATGGAGACCAAGAATCACTGCACACAGTCACAATCTTTGAAAGAAACTTGGGGAAATACTTACCTCTTCTCTGTGCTGTTAATTGGAGAAAGAAAATGGTTTGAAATAATGTCAAATTATGGAATCCACTCAGTAATTACAGCCTTGTGCTGTGGAGCAGTGTGATACGTAGACAACATTACTTACTTGCTGGCTAGGTGGACTTTGGGTGTGATGCCATATTCTCCAAAAAGAGTGACAAATACATTTGCATCAGTACCTGCTCCTCTCTCATCCCCAGTGATGGTGACCACCTCATACACTGGAGGATTTAATGAAAGAAGGTGTGTTACAAAGCCATGGAAGCAGTCTAATACATTAGGTTAAAGATTATTTCTCAACAGAAATTATGGAAAGAAAATTCAGTTCACTAAAAGAAATGGCAAGACCTTTTTCTCTGAAGGTCTTTTACACCCATGCAAATAGATTAAATTCTACTTAGTGATCATTCCAGCTCTGAGCTCTAACTTTGTCTCCGGGAAAAAGAAACTTAATTCAGTGCTGAACATTATGTCTCAATAATGACCTCCCACACACAAAAAAAGAAATCTAATTTGTTAACACACAGTTGTTAAAGAGCTCACCTCTAAGGTACCCAGATGGTCCAAATAGTCATAATAAACTCTATGCCGTTAAAACTAACGGCATAGAGTTCCAGCTTTCATTAGGCTTTGGCTATTGGGAAATATAGACTAAAATAGCTTACTTGGTGGACATTTTAAAAATATTTCTTAATCAACTATGCAAACTGAATTATTATTGAAAAATTTCTATATATCTATAGTTGCTTAGGCATATTTTACTGATCTTATCAGCATCACGGTTAGTGTTTTAAAGGAACACTGGAGATGTAGGTGAACGTTTGTGCCACATGCCTCTTACTTGTATAAAATTAACATTCCAAAGCTTGTGTTTTTCTTTTCATTTTTGATTTGATCCTATTTCTTTTTTGTATTTATTCAATTATTTCTTGGTCTGTGTATCTGTGCAGAGGTTTCCAGTCCAAATCTTGGCTGGAACTCCACACCATGGTCCTTAAATTAGAGACACAAATCATCCGTGGGCGGGCTTGAACCTCCAATGTTCTGGTCAAACACTTTGATTTTTGTCCTCAAATTACACAATTGTACCTCATAAAAAGATTTTGGGACCAGATCAAACAATTTGACGTTAGGAGAAGCTTCAGAAGACATTGATGAATGGTAGCCATTGTTAGGTAAAGATTGATGGGTGACAGGTGTAATGTTGCAGGAGGCTATGCTGGCAGTACATCTGTCAGTGTAACATGACAGTGAACATTAAACTAATGCAGCCACCATGACTGATTGAGCCAATCTTTAACACACTTAAGAATTCACATCTCTGTGTATCAAATGACCTTGGTCAAACAAAACGTTTTTTTTTATCATCTACTTTGTTAAATAGAAATGGTTTAATTCTGTCACTCCACAGAATTAACATGCATCCCTCAGTGCTCGTGTCATTTTACCGTTTGGGATGTGTTGCTTGTGATTACCTTTCTTTTTGTGGTACTCATCCTCGTAGTTCTCCGTCTTTTCTGGCTGGTAGTTGCGCAGCTCATTCTCATATATTTCAACGTAATTTTCAATCTTCTTTTTCTTGCCTTTTGACTTCTTGGTGTCTTCATCACTTTCTCCCCTTACAGAACTTTTCTTCTTCTTGTCTTTCTTCTTTTTTTTACCTTCATCCTCATCCCCAACAGCCTTTTCTCCCTCTTTTCGGTTTTTATCCTTTGAACCCATCTTGTTTTTGACTGAGTCTGTCTTGGCTGTGTCAGTCACATCAGGGAGTCCTTCACCGCTCTTCTTTCTCTTGGTTTGATTGTTGTTTTCTTCATAGCTTGAATCATCTCCACTCTCATCTTTGGCTTTTTCCTTTTTATTCTTGGCTTTTTCTTTTACTCTCCCTCTTTTTTTGGTACTCCTCACTTCAGGCCCTGATGAGTCAGAATTAAATCCTTCTTCATCATTGTCCTTAAACTTCTTCCTCAATCTTCCAGCATCCTGTGATTCACTCACCTGCTTACCTTTCTTCTTAGGTTTTCTTTCCTGATCCTCTGAGTCTTCGTCATCCACATCTTTGGTTTCCTCCTCTGCTCTCTGGCTTGTTTTTTTCTTTTTAGCGGGCATCTTTAATTTATTTACTACCTTGTAACCGTAACTGATTCTCTTGTGTTCCGGTGAAACTTGATTAAACTGACCTGTGGCTGTACCAAAGTGGCCAGATGGTTGGACAGGTCAGAGTTAGAGCTTGCAGACTGCTGTCTGGTCAGAACCTTGGGAAACCCCGTTCTGTTGCTTATCTACAACAGCACCAGCTGCTCCGACCTCATTAACAATGATGAACTATAGAGTAGCCACCGGATCAGAGGAAGAAACCCTCTCTGAGGGAATGCTTTGGTACTGTCACAACAAGAGACAGGTAACTGCAAGGAAGAGAAGTATGTGGCAGTACAGATATGAAAACTTAAAGACATTTATTTATACCTTGACTATAACAAATATTTAATCAAAAAATGGTTTGTGGTTGAAAGAATTAAAGGATCTAAGATTCTAATATGGATTATACATATCATATGGGCTTTATGTTAAGATTAACGATTTTATTTAAATTAAACAACTTAAATTAATTTATGACAACATAATCCGTTTCAAAATATGATTTAGCTGAGTTTATTTGATAAATCGAATTGCCAATTTATGAAAATCTGTGCAACATTCTATTAAAGTATACTTTTTTGATAAAACAAAACCATTTTCAGTTCACAAAGAGAAGTCCTTATATATTTAGAAAACATCACTACCACAACTACGTCAGTTACTTGTAGGCTTATAATTTATTTGAGTGTAAAAAAAAATATTTCTCTATTTTCAACCTATACTATGGTTCAAGAAAAGCATAAATATCATCTTCAAATGTCTTTAAGCACATGGATAGGAATTGCTTTTACTACTCTAAATTTGTGTGTGCAATTAGGAGGAGGATTTCTTTTTTGCATTGGGCCTCAATGAAACCAGCAGATGGAGCCATCTTCCTTTGCGTTTAAGCAAAAACAGTATTGGTTGCAGCATATTAACTGTTTAGCAGAGAATAAAAAGAAATGCTTGGAACACTCCATTTGTGTGACTCTTACCAGAAGATACAGATTATTTCCCAGTCCTAAATACAATTTACAACAACAAACAGAATAAGACAAAAAGGAAATATTATGCAAAGATAAACACAAACAAATATATATTCTCTCTATATAAAACATTATGTTTGTAACACACCGACAGTGTGATGTCCTGGAGTCAGGAAAAAGTCTTCATCATTTATTCAATTTCTGCCTAGCTAAGTGTTTTCAGTGTTTTGTTTAAAATCTTAACACTGAAAATGTTTCTGTTGGCACACAGTAACCATTAGACTGCCATCATGTGCTCCTCTACAATGAATTCCATGGAGCTCTTCCTCTTTCTTGTCCTGATATTCCCCCTTCTGTTTTCCTCCACCTTTTCTCTCTCTCCACAGTTCCTTTAGTGATAAGAGCAAAGTGGGAAAATTCTTTCTCAGCACTTAATGATTAACATTACAAGTGGTGAGTGAACAATTGCAGGTTTTATGACAAGAGTTCATGTTATCTTTAGAAAACTTATATTAAGATCAAAGTCGGGTGTTAACATGACCCGACCATGTCTTTGGACCACTAAATCTGAATATGTTTTACAGCTTTTATCTTATTAATGTAAATTCCTCATTCATCTTCTTAGTCACAATGCAAACAAGAAATCGTGCCTTTGTCAGATTAATCAACAGTGAAGAAAGCAGCTTAGACAACTGAAGAGCAGATCGGTTGTCATGGCCAACCACAGGCGCACTCCTGGGAGACTGGAGTTCATATGAAGCATTTATCTGCAATCTCTTTGAACCCAGATTCAAAGAGTTTGAATCTCAAATGTCATTATCTTTATTGCTTGATCAGTAGAGCAATCCAAAGGCCACTGATCCCCATCATGCACCATAATTTCTCTTCTCCTTGGTTCACTGGGAAAACAAAACCAAAGGCGTATGTTGCAGTGCTTTTTGATGGATTAAACAGACGGGACCAAATTCTGACAAGCCTCATCATATATTTTCACATTCAGCACAGAACGCTGTATATCTTCAAATTTACAGACACCAGTTCTGCCTTTTTCATATCTACATTTTTCTTATCAGCATGTGAGCCCATTGTTTCAACTCCTGAACTTTCTGCCTTACATCAATTTGGACTGCTTTTGCCTGATTGGGGAAAAAATGTTGTTCACTCTTCTTGGAATTTAATCAGTCGAAGATAAAATTAGCTCAATTAAATTTCTTGGAGAGATGCACAATTTTCCCAGTGTGGGATACAATGTGGACAAGTCACTGGTCCGTCACAGGGCCACACGGACACTGATAAGACAGACAACCATGTACACTCATATTCATTCCTATGCGTAATTTGAGCCACCAATTAACTTAAAATGCATGTTTGCTGCGTGGGAGGAAGCTGAAGTACCAAAAAAGATCCCAAGTACAAGTGGAGAACGTGCCAACACACACTCTGTGTTTTTTCATGCAGGCGCTACGTAAGATTCACATGGACTCTCACAATCATACCTAGGGACTGGGAGAGTTAACTCTTTTGATTATGACAACTTGCAGTGATTAATATAGCAAACAAGTGGCTCTAGATGAGAGTTGTCAATTTTCCCAGTGCAAAAATCATAAAAGACGCAGCATCAGTGGTTTTAGTGGTTTCACTCTCTGTGTTGTTTGCAATTAACTTCTCCCTCGGTCATGTTTCCTCTCAAATAGCCCAATGAATGGTTTAACTGCTGGGGTTAAGATATTTCAAACTGAGTACTTGATTTGGGTGTCTTTATAAGAGGAGAGGAAAAAATGAAACGCAGCTATCTGACCCACACATCAACTACACCCTGATTCATAATCAGGTCTTGGAAATTAACTATTTATTTTTGAGATCTAAACTTGAGAAGGCTATTTGAACTCCAATAGGAGTGTAAGATAACTCTTGTAGGATGTTGACTTCAGATACTTCCAGAGCTTTTAGATTATGAGCTTAATTGCTTTCCCAAAGTACAAATGTTTATTTTCTGGCCTGTCCAGAAGGAACTTCATGATAACATAGCTGTGGCTTTGCGACACAAAGGACACTCAGCAAAGATTCTCAAAACAAACACACGAGAGGGTCTGACAGTTCACGCAGGATGCTCTGAAGGAAATGAAGGGGAAATAGATTGTCACAGCAGGATACGTGAGGGGCTCGGCGACTGTCATGTTACTCTGCCCTAAGAGTCCATAATTATGGTCAGATTATGTAATGGAAGAGGATCAGAAAACAGTGATGTTTCATCTGAATGTTTATTTATATGACAAGAGCAAGGTGGCGTGTTCTTTCTCACAGCAACTCGGTTGGGTGGTGGTGGTTATGCAACACCACAAAGAGGCCACAGCCTGTGTCGATAATATCATTATTGGAGCAAAATAACCGACTTTACAATGTACGTGTCCCTCTGGAGAACCTTGTCTTATTAAACGAACAATTCTTTAGCTTAGTTTAAATTTACCGGACTTGACATCTCAACATAATGTGGGATTCAAGGGCGACCCATGATACTGATGATTCCTTTGATGCCTCTACAGAAAGAGATGAAATGGTCAGCTTATAAAGATTCCATCTACTAATAATCGACCGAGGACCAGCCAGACATTAAACAGAGAACTGTGACTCAGTTATGTGATGTGACACACACAGTGTGAAAAGAATGCCCAGCACATTTACTGAAGCTTGAGAAAGCTGAACTACTCCTCAACAAAACTGGCAAGACCAGACTTGGAATTGAAATCGGCAATGAAAGCTATCAACCAATTTGAATTGAATGATATGACCTTTGAAGCATGTTGGGCTGCAACTCTTCAACAGGTCAACTTTTGGCCATGTTCAGTGTAACCGCAGGACAGCAAAAACCGTAAAACATGTGCAAGACACAGGTTATCATTTGTTTCCCCAAGTGAAAGGGCTTTTAACAAAGAACAGAACTCATCTTGATTAGTTTCCCAATTTAATTAACTATGAAGTGGTTATGACTGGCTGACAGTCCAGGGTAAACCCCGCCTCTCGCCCATTGACCACTGGGATAGGCTCCAGCACCCCGCGACCCCATTTGGGAATAAGCAGTTCAGGAAAATGGATGGATGGATGAATTGGTTGTGTCAGGAGTTTGTTTCATGTCATTCCCATCAATGTATTTTTCTTTTGCTTGTATGATTTTAAACTATGACCCACAGATATACAATAACATAGATATACAATAACACAGTTCCCACTAAAGAGGAACATCAATGATCGTTTATTCTTCTTTTTACTGATTTGTAGAACTGTAATAGATTGGTCGAATAGTAGACATAGTTTTTTGCTTTAAAAATGAAGAGAAAAAGAAAAAAAAAGTGATAATAATCACGCAACTCATTCAACCCCCATGTCCCTGTTTTAGCATGAAATCGTTTTATTTCTCATTTGAAAGTACCTCCACTCACTTCCAGCTCAAAAAAGTATCTGAAAGAACATCTAAGAACATCTAACATCTTTACTTAAATAACTGAAAACACGGGGCTTCTAGACTTATATCATATGAAATATCATAAAGTTTGCAGGCATGCACAAGCAAACTTGATCATCTGTTGCCTTGACGACTCTGTATCCAGAAAACTCTTACTG